TGCGGACAATTGGGTACTCCTTGGACTGATGAACTAGCGTATTGTCGACGTTGTTGAAGTAGATGCCATGGCGGTCCATGTCATCAAGACAGAGTAAGAACGGTGTGTTAGTAGGCATTACAGCGAACCTAATCACTCCAACGGGTGTCTGGACGTTGACGTCGCCGATAGAAACACACTCCGGGTTATCCCCAAATCGGATCCGGTGTCGGCCAGCAGTTGACTTGTCAATCCATAACGGTTGGATGCGGTGTAACGCTGTAACCTGTTGCTTGCCTGCTGTAGACACTCCGGCCGCGCCGGTGTCTGGCATGATGCCTTGGAACTGCTCGCGCCCGTACCGGTGATCGAGTGTGAAGAGGTGGCTTGCCTCTTTGGCAATGTCGTTGCCGGCGTATGGGTCGATCTTCGTGATCGCGTGTAGAGCGGCGGCGTTGTTGAGGTTGCGTACCATTGTTCCTCCATCAACTGCACCGCAGGTAGCAGTGAGAAACTGGTGCTTTGTATCAAACTGGTCGTTGTTGAAGAACGCGTCGAGTTCTTCGTCCGTGCCGCCGTTATCGTCGTCGTCATTAAGGTCAATGCCCTCAAACTGGGCAAGGAAAGCTTCGTAGTCTATATCGACGTTGCGGGTCTGCACGTACGTCCGGAAACGTTGTTGCGCTTCCTTTCGCTCTTCTCTAGAGTGACGAGTTGACCAGCAGCCTGGCTTGCTACAGACGTAGCACTTCCTGTTATTGCGGCGCTGTGTATCATCGTTGTACTGCGATCGGGGTAAGCTGCGTTGGAAGCGGGATCCTCCGCGGTTGTAGTTGCGGGATCCTTCGCCTTGGCCTTGTGCGCTATAGTTGCGCGGTTTGTCGCGTTGTCCGCTATCGTTGCGGTTGTATCGGCGGTTTGTGTAGAACGCGTCTTCGCTCGGATCGGACTCCTCGCAGTTGAACTGTGAGCGCGGATGGCAGCGCGTCCAGTTGCCGACAGCGTTGCGGAGTTCTGAGGCAACGGCTTCAAAGGTTGAAGCTGGGCGGATAAGGACTGCGCTACATGCTTCGACGCCTTGACAGGCAGCAATAAGTTGGCTTGTAAGAGCGAGCTCGCTTGGTCCATTCTGTTGAGTCATTGCCTGGTGCAGCAGCTGGAGCTTGTCGATGACTATGTCGAGACACTGGGTGAGTGTCTTGTCGGGGTTGTTGGCGATGACGTCTTTCAGCATAATGGTGCGCCACTCACTTAAGAACATTTGGTAGTTCTCGCTCGTGTGAAAGTACTCCCCTAGTTTCTTGATAATGCTGTCGTAGTCTAGGTTGAGTGGAGCAATGTAGTTGTAGTAGTATGCTGAGGCCTTGCCTCTAAGCATAGTAGAGACTGCAAGTTTGTACTGTGCTGGTGTCGTAATGCCAACCTTTTCGCAATGGTCTTTAAAGATGACTATCTTGTTGTCGAGGACGTCATACTTGTCGCCACTGAACTTCTCCTCCTCACTGTATACCTTTGCGAGGTTGGTGAGGGCTGTTACGTTTGCCTGAGCAGGAGATGGCGCATAGTTTATACTGGCGCTTTGAGTTGGCGGGTTGCTGCTTTGTTGAGTTGTTCTAGCGTGTTGTGCCTCTTCTGCTATCTGTCGGCATTTGAAGTCTGGGTTGAGTCGCATAACGTTGAGCTCGTCAATGGGCCAGTCGGGAGAGCGTGTAAGGCTAAGGAGATTGACTAGCTGTTGTGCGATGGTGTTGCGGCTGTTCTTCTCGATGTAGACACCTCGGTCGCGGAGTATGTTCTTGACTGCTGTACGGACTCGCATGTCCATTGCATTGAAATGATTGAGAGACCATCCTGCAAATGTCTCTTGGAAGTCTTGAATAAGCATGATGTCAAAGTCTCCGTTCTCTTCGGCCTGTATCATCCAGTCGATAGCAATAGTGCTTATCTGACCAGGGATAATAGCATCGGTTGCAATGTCGAGTTGGGTATTGGTGTACTCGTCCGCGTACACCTTTGGGTACCATTGCCGGGTAGTAATGCTTGTAGGCATGATTCCGGTGGGTTGCTTGTGAGTCGCGGGGTTGCCTGTGGGTCGCTTGTAGATTGCCCGTAGGTCGCTCGTCGCGGGGTTGACTGTGGCGGGGTTGCTCGCCGGTGATTTTGTCGGGTTTTGGTGCGTAGTTGACGCAGATCCCTAGTTCTGGATCTCTTTCAGACTCCGTCAGCCGAAACGAACGCTCGTGGGCGGATCTGTTCTTCGCACTGCTTAATACGATACAAGGTCGTACTAAGAGTCGCTTCTTTACCTAGGCTACACAGACGCAATGCTGATGGGCCCTCTGTACACAGATGTCTTGCCGATCTGTGGTCATATCAACCACTGATCAGTGTTGACACGGCAAAGGTGTCGAATACTAGCAGTCGTTGCAACGAACAAAGTGTATAGTATTTGATTAGTAGTGAGCAAGAGCTGGATGGAGAGATCTCCATATGTACGGTTGCGAGCTAAGCGGGAAGCTTGGTCTAACTAGTGGTCCAAGCTTCCGGCCCGGAAAAACTCGCCGGGCTGGCTGTACGCGCATGTTCCGACAATCCGAGGTCGCAACGGCGATTTTGATTTTTCTGGAAAAGTTGGGAAGGTAAGTGGAAGAAAAAAAACAGTGGTGGAAGAGCTTATTTTGTAGCTAGCGTCTGAGAAGGCCGGTATTTCTATGTGATGGAGGAATGATTTTGGAAAAATGTGTATGGTTAGAGAGATATCTTTAGACTTAGGCGTCCCGGAACATGTATCTCTTCCATGGACGACTTTAATATTTCGACATACGAGTAATAAGAAGGTGAATAGAAGAGAATGCGGGAAACTCAGGCTTAATTTATAGGCCTGCTTCCCGATAAGCAGTGCTTCCTATTCAGTCACTCATTCATCGTTTTGAAGCGACATTTTTGTATTCATAGCAAATGAATGGTTTCAGAAAAGAGGCATGAGAGCCATCGTGGTGGAATTTTAAATACTAATTTCTCAGAACATCCGCAGCATACAACGCAGGAAATATTTTTTTTTAGCTTTTTGGTGATTCAGTAGTATTTATAGGAAGAGGGAGTGCAGAAGCACACGCCCGAGTTCTTTTATACCCCGCTTGGCTGTCTGGGGCTAACCCAAAGGCTTGCTCGGAAAGGTAGATATGTAACAGAGGATTTCAATTTCGCCATATAGTAAGAGGTATGCGGTTTTAACAGAGCGACAGGCCCACATAGGTAGGTAACGAGTTGATTTAGGAAAGCTTCATAGTGGGTGATTTTGTGTTCTTGTGTACTGAACGATCTCACACTGAGCTCTTCTTGTATTTCTTTTTAAAAGAGGGGAGAAGCAGACACACCTTCTTTTGCATCGGGTTTTATTTTTCACATAGAAAAGGTAAGGTTGTGGAAGGGATCGACTCTTGCAGTAGAAGCTCGGTTTTATACCTGGTAGAGTACGCACACTATGCGCCGAGGAAAGGTCACATAGAATGGCCTTTTTTGATTTTGCATGAATAAATATTTTGAAATGTAGGAATAACACGAGGAAAATCGTCGTTGTTTTTGGTACGGTAGAATATAGCCAGTACTTGTGATTTATCTGCTGCACAAGCCCACACACTCATCCCTCATTCGCTTTCGGTATTTAGGATTGTTTCGAGAATAGAGGCGACTCCTTACATATCGTCTTTGTTCATATGTTTAGGAGTCAAAAGGGAGAAGATAGGCACATTGAAAACCGTACTCGAAAATTTTGAGAAAAAGAGGAACTCCACATCCCCGACGCTCGATACATTTTAGTATAAAGTAAGAAGTTCAAGAATAAGGGAGTAAAGAAAAGGAATGGCAAAGACAGATTATATACACCAAACCGACACCAGGACCAGAAGTGCAGAAAGTGCGCACAAAATTTTATACCAGAAGCAGGACCCGCTGGACACATCTCACAATAGCCATGATGTTTCTTAGCAACTACGAATAATCCGAGCAGCCCCGTCCCCACATAGATTATTCCACTCGATGTTTTCAAAACTTATAGAACCACTCTCCCGTCTTCCCCAAAATCATGAACTGGGGTTTTTTAACAATTTTAATCAAGCCACAGAAGCAATCATTCTTAGCAGTTTCGAATAATATAAGTAGCTCCGTCTCCACATAGATTGCTCCACTCGATGTTTTCAGAATACATAGAACCACTCTCTCGTCTTTCCCAAAATCATGAACTGGATATTTTCGTTTTTTCAAAACTCGTAGAGTCACTCTCGTGTCTTTCGTGAAATCATGAATAGGGTTTTTTGGACAGTTTTAGTCAAGCCACAGAAGCAGTCATTCGAAGTGTTCTCTTATGTTTTAGTAAGAAATAGAGTAAGGTGTAGAGGAGTAAGGTGAGTAAGAGGCAGGAAGGTAGGCTTTTATACCTCTCCTCTGTGTGCGTTCGCATCATCTCAGCAAGTTTTTGTTTTTGTCCGCAGAACTCTGCTCACACATTCGGCTGAACGCGTGTATTTTTCTTGGAAGCCCAGAAGACGCAGCACACATGCATCCTGTTCATTTCTGATTTTGGAAATTACCGTATTTTCAAATCAAACCCAGCGGAAATGATACTCCGACAGGGAAGTGCGCTATCGTTTTTAGTTTTCTGACAAAGGGCCGCAAACATTGATTGGATGCATTAAGTTTTTCATTTTTCGGGGAAAAAGATGTAGAAAAGGCTGACTCATGCCATCGTGTTATGAATATTTTGAAGGACTCACAAACGCGGACTCAAAACATGTGGGGACTTGTCTCGATTTTGAGCAAATGGTGTGGAGGTTTAGGAAAGAGAAGAGGAGAGGAGAGGGGATCTGGGCGGCTTTTATAGACGCAGGAGACGCTAACGGATGGAGCTAGAGAGGCAGCAGTGATGGCGACCAGTTTGTCACATGATTTGTCGGCTGAACTTTGAGATGGAACAAATGATGAACATCGGGTATCACAATGCAAGATGTTCAATAGGCTCCAGCTTACGCAGCTTCCTCGACCTCCTCTACGACCTTCTTGCTCCCCTCTCCATCTTTATCCTCGCTGTTGTCTTCTCCTCCCTCCCCGTTTAGCAACTCCGCCCCCAGCTCATCCAAGAACCGCTCTGCCTGTCCCTGACTCCTCTTCGCCTGAATGGCCTTCTTCTTGTTACGAATCATCTCTTTCCTCTTCTCAATCTGCTCTTTTCTTTCGCGTCTCACCCTCTCAGTCTCCTCTCTCTCCTTCTCAATCCTACTCATCTGCTCCTTACGCTCCTCCTCGTCCTTGGAGAAGTTGAAGAAGCCCATTCCACGCTGCCTCACCTCGGCTTTGCCGTCAAAGTGTAGTTCGGGTGGCGGGGTAAGTTCCTTGTCGCGCTTGGCGGCTAGGTCGGCCATTTGTTGGGCGATGGTTTCGTCAGGGTTGAAGGCTTGCGTCTGCACGGCATCCCCGTAAATGATGTTACTAGGCATGCTGGGCCGGGCTGTGAAGCGGTCGGGTTCGTCGGCTGCTAGGGTACGTTTTCGGCGCTCCTCGCGAGCGGCTTCTGCGCGGGTACCTTTCCGTGTGCGCCCAAACTCGTCCGTGTACTCCACAAGCTCCTCCTCTTCTGATGCTTCCGATTCAGATGATGGTGCGGATTCTGCCTCGCCTTTTTCTTGCTTCTCGGCCCATTTACGGTCAAAGTCGACGCCGTACTTGTCGTCCAGGTCTTCGACATCGCCGCGCTTTAGGGCGTCGTAGAGGCGTGCCTTTTCCTCCATACGCCGCTTGGTTCGCTTCCACGCCACTTCATCCTCGTCTTTCTCTTCGGCCGTCCGTCCCCGATGTTTTTGTGTAAAGTCTGTATCCTCTAGGTCTTTGAGGGCCCGCTTTTTGACATTCTTGTTGTGTGTCTTGAAGATGTCTTCCTTCTGCGGGCGTGCGCGGCCTGCAGCGGGCTTGCTGGATTCGGCGGACGAGTTCTTGATGAGGTTGGAGAGGGTCGAGGAGAAGGCGAGTGAGCTGGAACTAGATATCTCCTTTGCCTTTGCGCGTCCTTTTGGTCGTGCGCCGTACAAGTGGGCGTCTTTGGATGACATGTTTGGTGCTGAATGTGAAGGTCGGTATGCCGAGTCGCGTGGTGGAGCGCGTCGTAGGGCTGAGGCGATATCGGCGTCGGAGCTTCTTGCGTCACAGCTAGTTACTTACCCCACAAATTGTTTTGCGCAAACCCCACGTCAACAGTGAATCCGCGGTTCCGCAGAGGTTGAGTTTTGAATCCTCCTTGGGTTTATTTATTCCTTCTGTCCGAATCCAAGTAGTAGTTAAAGCTCGTTGTTATTCACAAGAAGACCACAAACAATTAACTGAACGATCACAATGCCTCTTCCTCGTCAAGTCTTCATTGCCGTTGTCGGTACGTACATGGATCCGTCTGTATAATGATATACACCACTAACAACCCAGGCGCCGGTGGTGTTGGCAAGGCCTTCCTCTCCCAGCTTTCCACTCTCTCCAAACGTCTCTCCCAATCGCCATCATCACCCTACTACCTCTCCCTCATCTGGCTGAGCACCTCGAAGAAAGCCGTATACCACGCCGACTACAAGTCTCTCTCTAACTGGGAGTCCGAACTTGAAAACACCTCCAAGCCCGCCCTGCCGCTCCCTCAGCTTTGCGAATACCTACAAAAAGCCCCTGGAAAGGTGGTACTCGTGGACAACACAAGCAACCAGGATGTTGCGGATAGCTATCCCGACTTCCTGAAGAAGGGCATCAGTATCGTGACACCAAACAAGAAGGCTTTCTCGGGAAGCTATGAGCTGTGGACACGCATCTTCGACGCTGCTGGTAACGGAAACGGTGCTGGAGGCTACGTCTTCCATGAATCTTCCGTGGGCGCAGGTCTACCCATCATCTCTACACTGAAAGATCTCGTAGAAACTGGCGATGAGATCACGAAAATCGAGGGCGTCTTCAGCGGCACAATGAGCTTCCTGTTCAACTCCTTCCAGCCTCTGGGCGGAGGAGGCGGCAAGTTCTCAGCTGAAGTCAAGAACGCAAAAGAAAAGGGCTACACAGAGCCAGATGCACGCGATGACTTGAACGGTCTAGACGTTGCCCGCAAGCTTACCATCCTCGCCCGTTTGTCAGGCCTCAAAGTCGAATCACCGACTTCCTTCCCGGTAGAATCTCTCATTCCGAAAGAACTCGAAACATGCTCCTCTGGTGATGAGTTCCTCGAGAAACTCCCACAATACGACGACCGAATGGAGAAGCTAAAGGCTGAGGCTGCACAAGAAGGCAAAGTCATCCGCTTTGTAGGAAGCCTAAAGGTGCCAAGCAACGAAGTCAAGGTCGGTCTGGAGAAGTTTGACAAGAACCATTCCATCGCCCAGCTCAAGGGCAGCGATAACATCATCGCCTTCTACACGAAGCGATACGGCGACAACCCACTCATCGTCCAGGGCGCCGGCGCAGGAGGTGACGTTACAGCCATGGGTGTTACAGCTGATTTAATTAAAGTCCTACGGCTACTGCACTAAGCGTGGACAAGAGTGAAAGTAAAGCTCCACGTATATAAAAGTCGATACAAAACTTCATGCCGACCCAAGAAACAGCGTCTCCCTAATTTGTCTCCCAACCCGCATGTGACTCTCTCTGGTCTTCCGACCATTAACCACGCCAGACAAGCCTACCACAATAACTCTCACAAAATCGCGCAAGACTATTCCCATCTCCAGTAAACCCAGATATTGTAGATGCTCACCTAGTTATCCAAACCTAGACTAATATTACTCACGTATTCACTATAATTCTCGGAGAAGCCCCTCCATACGATCATCCCTCCGCACATACCCCCCCCTCGCACTAAACGGAACCCCTAAACTCTAATCCTACCCACCCCCGTTTCGCCGAGGAAGCGACGATGATCTTCCTTCTTGCGCAAGTTGCCGCAAAGTTAAGTAAACAAGTTTGGGAGGCGATGACACAAGTGTGCCATCAGCCAGTAAATGCCCAGCAAACGTTGATCGGCTTGGAATTGCTTGTTTCCCAATACTACCACTACGATGGCGAAGGAAAGCTTGACTTTTGCAAAAGCGCGCGGCGAGGCGTGGAATGTGCCGTTGTCGATCAGCACATGCGTGAGGTATGGTGATGTTATGTTTTGTGACGGGCGATGTGACATCGGGGAAGCGGGGGAGGGGGCGGGACGGCGAGGAGGGCCTCGGGAAGTGGGAAAGGTGAGTCTAGTATAGTGTACTTCATCGTGCAGGTAGGAGAAGCGCATGACGTGTGATGTCTGTATACACGCATGCAACAAGGACATGTCCCCTTTTACCACACGCAGTCACAGCAAGCAAGGCGAGCAACCACGCCTCACTCCCCCATCCCTTATCGTCAATCAATCCTCCTCACACAATAAACTCTACCGTCCCAACCAAGCAACGCCGATCCCCCAGTCTTGGGAAGCTTAATTTCCTTGTTTCCTGCCATTCCAAACGCTTAATCTACAACCGTTTCATTCATTTAACAAACCCGCCTAAACAAATATACCCTTTGATCAACACGGATGACCCGTGTAACGTCGCAAGTCCGATAGTTTTACGGTTTTAACAGATCGGCTACCTTATATACAGGGTTGGCCCCGCGATGATCAGCAAACAAAGCCGAAGATCGTGGTGGGAATGATCGTTGGAGAAGCCGTGCGTCGTGTTACGTATCTGCGAGTCTTTTTTTGTTCGCTGTTCAAGCATGATATCCGTGCAATAGGGTTCAGAAGCTTAAATGTGATAAGCAGTCGAGTGACGGTGCCTAGAGTGGGTGATAAGCAGCAAGGGAGATTGGCGGTGGCGGTGCGCGGGGGGCTTGTGCGTTGGATGGGAATTCGTTTCAATGCGTCTGCTCATGACGATCATTTCTGGTGAAGATTGTCGTTTATCAATTTTTTTGATTTTCTTCGTCGTCTGACTAGGAGATGGAAGGAGTAAGTGACCACGTGCGCGGGGTCTGTCAGGCACATGCTAAAAGGAACCTGACCTAGGGAAACGGCACCTGCCACGACGCATCCATCTTTCCCTTACTGCCCAACTGTACTAAACCATACAGTTCGCAACGGAACCCCACTTTTACATCCTTTCTTTTTGCCGTCCTGCCCATCTTTACTTCAACGACGACGCCTCTCGCCTAACACCTAAAAAATCAAACCGACAAATTGGCGTGTCAAAAAAAGGGAAGGACTAGCAAGAAACCATTACGTGCAAAAAATACCCACATTCCAAACCAGCAAACATCATCCACACGTAACACGACAACGAGCCACATGCGACATCGGGTAAATACGGGCAAGCAAAGCGGAGCGGAACCACACAGACACTCTGGCTGGGCCCTCCTCTCCCCCCCTCTCTCTCGCACCTTCATGTCGGTGTAGAAAACAAAACCGACAGCTGCAGGATATGGAGCCTTGGCAGCACAGGAAACACACACTGGCGGTGTAACCCCTCGGTAGTAAGTACCGTAGTAAAGTTTCCCTGGTCCCCACCACACACACACACACACACACGTAGTCTGTGTGTACGGTACAGGAAATATAGTGATGATGCCTCCTGCACGGAGACGTATGTGTCATGAGCCCATCCATGATTGTCCAGACCGGGCCGTCAGTGCAAGACAGGACCCTGTGCGCTGCTGCGTTGCGGTGCGGTGCGCTTTGCAGCGTCGCTATCGATAGTGCAAGCGCATACGCAAGTCAGTCAGTCCATGACCATGGTCAAGTGGAACACTTCTATGTTAAGACAGTGCGAAACTATACGACCGACGGACCACACGCAGCGATGACGCGTAGCTTGGCACCGGCGTGCAACGCTTGCAGACAGTTACAGTCAACCGTACAGGTTCCCCCATGTTTACCTGTCGTGGTACAGGGGTGTGGCTGTCGTGCATGTGCTATGGTTTTGGGGTGGCAGCAACAAAGTTGCCTAGACGTGGCTCGGAGGTGTGGCACAGATTCGTGGGAAGCTGCATGTCTGCGGTCATAGTGTGCTGTGGCTTGTGTATGACGACAACGGACGACTTGCAAAAGACGACTGCTTACCGGTTTAGTACATGGATGCGGTTTCCGAACGGATCCGGGCTTTGCTTGTGTCCGGATGGGGAGGGCAAAGCAAAGCTGCAGTGTACGCCTCGTATGTTATAGCACGCACCATGGCGTTTGCGGCTGAGTGATAAACGTACGATGTATACCACGCCGTCTGTCTACGGTGATTACTACATTTTCACATGTTACAAGGATTTAGAGGCGAATACGTAAAAGTAGCATGGAAAAAAAGGTTTCGCAAAGAAAACGTTTTTTGCTTTGCAGAAATAAACTAAACTTTCTAGAATAATCTCACACACTCCACTCCCCCTCGCTCTGTCCCAGACCGAGTCATTCGTAAAAGTCATACAATATAGCAGGCCTAACCGAGCTCGTGAAATAATAAGAACGAAACAGCGAAAAGGCGGAACAAGCGCCCTGTGCGTTGTGACGCACAGGCGCTTTGTCACCGTTTGCCTGCATCGCAGCCCAACGCCAAGATACCGCCCTAAAATGATCCTGGACCAGGAGCGGAGTTTGGAGCATGGGCAAAAAACCTGCGCGCACGACCACCTTTGGTCGGTTTATGCGCCCGTAAATTTGCCAACCCCTGGCTCCATTTCCCTTCCGTGAATCAAACCACAAAACGCCACGGCCGAAGTGAGAGCGCAATTGTGGTACCCAAAATCCGCCGGGGTGACTGTGTGCGCCCGCTGATGAAAAAAAAATACAAGGAGCAGTGTGGGTATCCGAAAGTAGACATGATGAGTGAGATGCAAACGTAAGCCAGAGAACAACGCTAAGCAGAAAAAAGGTAAAAGTAGACACAGGAAGTGAAGAGTGGAGTGACTTTGTCGTAAGTTGCAAGTCGAAGAGGGGAGATGGTGGTCTGAAGAGTGTGGCTGGTGACTTATCCCCTGTGCGGGGATCGGTGTGCATGTGACCGCCGACTATGGCATCGTGATGGTCCAAAGGTTTTTCCGCGCCGAGTCGTGGGTATGTGGATCGGGTGGGGAACCGCTCTGTTCATCCGGTCTGGACCGGCATGACTTGGTCACCAACGCTATGTCGGACTACCAAGGAGCTGACGGTGGAGTGTGATGTTAGCCAAATGACGTGGCCAAGAAGTGATGCTCAATCATCTGAAGATGGTCGAGATGCGCTTGGTGCGCTGCCTCACGCGCGAGAGCATGTTGGCTTTGGGGGACTGAGGTGGCATCATGGAGATGGAGGGATGTCGCATGCTTGAGCGGTCGTTGCTGGATGTGTCGCTGGGGCTGCCACCTGTGTTGCTCTCGTTGTCATCCTCTCGTACCGCAGGGTATGGCGAGTCTGCCGAGGGGAAGAAGTAGGCGTCTAGTCGCGAGTTCATGGCGCGGTTCTTCTCCGACGCTGCTGTGACGAGACTGCTCTTGCTACCGACGCTGGTAGCGCTGTCTGTGCGGGTGATGTTGTCGAGACGGATGTCGCGGCGGGCAGCGTTCAATGAGGTCGAGTGGGCGCGCGCAAGACCTGAGAGAGAACCGACTGGAGGTGCTGGGCCGTCGCCAATGAGCTTGTACTCAAACTCGGACACGTGGCCGTGGCAGTAGGGGCAGTGGTTGCACTTGACCTCCCATCCAGAGATGCCCAGCTTCTTTCCGCATGTGGAGAGGTTGCTGGAAGGGCTGCATGGGCGGACTAGGTGGTACCAGCGGTGCTGGCACGGATGCGTGGTGACGCAGAGTTCGGCGACGCACATTGTTGCAGTGTTTTCAAGTGATTTCGAGGTAGAGTCGTTTGCGTGGGAAGCTGCCTGGGAAGGCTTTGGTTGATGGCGAGGGCGTTGTGAAAGACGTGGTGGCGGTCCTTGGTGTGAGGTGGAGGTTGGCGGTACAAGACACAACGGGTGGCAATCTGGGGTAGGCGCTAGTAGCCAGTGTTCGGGACGATAGATTGCGGCTGCAGTTAATTCCAAACAAGAGAGGCGGGCCCGACGTTATAAGTAGCAGGAGAGCCTGTCAAGTGGAGATGACAGTGTAGAAATGCCGTGTGCCAAGAGTACAGGCTGATAGGTCAAGTATGTCGATCGTCCCTTGCCTGGCTGTTATAGCGTGATTGAGCGGGGAACGGGCTACGCAGCGGAATTTAGGAGCGGACTGCAGACTACGAGCGACGAGGTCCGGGAGACAGGTACGGCGAGAAGGACGGTGTTAAACAAAGGCCAGGTTCCGGACGTTGGGGCCAGATCACGATTGGTCTCGGTCGTCGGCGGCTTGGTGAAGGGCGGCTTACTATTGCGAGGCACAGCGGACTAGCAAGGCAGCAACAGCAACACCAGCAGCAGAGAGGGGCGGGTTGAGAATGGATACAAGCTGACGTAGACTGGCCGAATCGAAGTTTGCTGCAAATGCAATGCTGAGGTCAGGCTTATCTAGTATGGGTGAATGGTGTGACGCTGGGTCAGTGATAAACATCAGGATGCTGTGCGTATTTAACACAACCACTCTGCTGGGCAGCTGGGCAGCGGAGGGCGCCCGGTTTCGACAGGGGGGGGGGTTAAGTTTAGCGTGAGTGGAGTGATTTGACCAAGGTCCCATGGATTATGCCCAAGCCTAGCAGCGCTGGTGGTGCCGAACAGGGCATGGACTGACATGGACAAGTCTTTGCACCAACATGCCCGTCGCGGCGGCGGGACGAAGCACGCGAATTTTGCGCTAACGGCGCGCCAAAAGTTGGTCAAGCAGATCCGTGCCATGATACTGGATATGTGTGGCATTCATGGCGGACGAACATGTCAATCTGGCGTACACGTCTCACCGCTCTCAGATAACGACGTGCTCCGTTCGCGCTGTTGGGGGGCCCTTTGGGAGTTCGGTCTTGAGCACCATGGCCAGCTTCGACTCGCCATTGGCACCACCGCCCCTGGTCTCCCGTCAGGAGAGGCGGAGGGGCGTCGTGTGCGTGGTGATACGGTGCCGCCCCTGTACGACCTCTGATAAATGGTCATGGCACGGACACTGGTGCAGTCAGCGACGACAAAGGGGGTTGTTATTTCTCGATCTGTCCGTATCGCGACGACGCAGAGCCGAGTCCTGAGACGCTTGTCCTTACCGCCTATTGCAGAGAATGCTTGACCACCAGGGGTCGAATAACGCTGCAGCCCTCGCCGACAGTAGCGAGCGGAACGAATCGAAACCCAAGGCGGCGTCTACGGGTGAATGCGCCCATCAGCCACACCTCAGGATTGGCGGTATGCACTTTCCCATGACTGGCCCACCTCGTGGCCTCGGAACATAGTCCAATTCTCTGCTAGATAGCTACTCCAAGACATGGTCTTTCAACCGTCATCACCAGACCCGACGTCACGATAATCGCTCAGAGTCGGTATAATTCACGCAGTTGATCACTACTGTGCTTCGCCTCGAACCAGCCAGGAAGCCCCTCGCACTTGTTCCTGCCGCCCTCTTCCTACCCCGTGTTCAGCCGACACCAGCTGCGACGACTACATCGAGTGTGTGCTACCCGTATGTCACTAATGGTAACACCTGTGTTGTCGACGGTTCGACTGCCTACCGGTACTCATGCGGCTACTATGGACTCGTTTTACGTATCACAGCAGCACCCATGCCGAGGATGCATATTAGCCTGGCTGCCGATAGTGCCATCGACCAGATAGCTTCCCGCATGCAGCAGGAGAGCCGTCGGTTATCCGCACCCCCTTCATATACGGTACCTTGGAGTCCGGCCCTACGACGACGTTTTTTATTAATCCGCAGAGCCTTAGGCACACATGCGCATCAACGCGCAAATACTAGCGAGATGAACATGATCCGAACTTCAGATGCTTCGTTCAGACAGATTACGAGTGTCAGGATCCCCTGGCCCTATGGCTCCACTTTGCACAGCCGCAACGCCCTTTATGCACGCGAGCTGCCCCGCCTCGTCCTCTATTCGCTCCGCCAACTCACGCGTCTCTCACGCGTCTTGGCCATGTGCCTCCCGCTTGGCACCGCCTTGGCCCACATTGCCTGGCCTTGAGAAGACCCCGCTTCCCATCTCTCCAACACCGCTCTCAACGCCCCTCCACATCACGCGCAGAGAGAACAAGGCCGCAAGCGCCAAATCACTTCTCTCGACCACGTATCTTCTTTTGCAACGCTTTTTGTTAACCTATCGGCCTCGACTAATTGGCCAATGCCCAGCCAACCGTGTGACTGTTCCAAGCCCAACAAGACAGCAATGGTTCCAAACCTGTGGTAACAACACACATCTAAGCTTCAGCTGCCACTCCACACTGCGGGAGACCCAGTCCGAGCGCTACCCAGGCACCTGATACTCGAGCCAGCACAGATACACATGCCACGCGACATTTGCAGTGTGACTTTGAGTGGAGGCCTGGACACCACCATTGCCAATATGTGGTGGCGACAATTGCTTTCCCGTGTTACCACCAACTTTCATGCACGTGAGGTATGAATAAGAATGATTCTTCTCCTGCTCCGGTGAAGCTTAGCGCATCCCACCTCTTCAGGCTTAAGTAAGAGATGGTAATGGATAGATCAGAAAGTCGTGCATGCAGGTAAGCAAAAGAAACCTGGGCGGGCTCCAAATCTGACGCGCATCATCGAGGCATCCAGCATCACTACCTGCTTGCCAACGTCGACGCCAAACCCCCCCCCCCCCAAGGCCACACATAGTCGCCAATCCTCTCCATCCACGATAACAAAGCAAAACTCTAAACCCAGTTCAGCTCCCAGGATGCCCTCGTTCTGAATTAAAGTGGTTTCACCGTAACAATACGTTTCACATGCCAATCGCTGCACTTGCTCCAACCCCCCCTTTCGCTAACCTACCATCTACAACGGCTATCGGCTGAGTAGACCAGATGCAGCCTTCCAAGCCGCTTCCCGGAACTTTATACTGCCGCCTCGGGGCCTGCGAGGAAGATCATACGGTCTTGACGTCTTGACCGACTTGGCTGGGGCTCGGCGTCGGTCCTTCATTGCACTGCCTTGGTGGACCTCTCCGCCATTGCCGTTACTCCCGGCGAGTAGGTCATGGCGGGGAAGTTGTGAAGAGGGCAAATTTCAAAATGGCGCTTTTCAAGCTGAGGGGAGTATCTTCCCTGTGGTCCATCTACTTCGACGTGGTAAGTGTGCGTGACGGAGAGGGCCGTGCGGGTAAGCCGGGTCCTTACACCCTTTCCACCGCCCTTTTATTGTTGAGGCAAGTTTTGTAGTTGTTGGTATACATGCTGGTACTCGTTCGTACATAGCTTGGATGACCCCAGCGCACGACTTCCCACTGAGGAGGAGAAGAGAAAGAGAAGGAAATTTCTGTTGACAAAGAGGGGCGGTAAACGAACAGCTCCAAACTCAACAGTCCCCTATACTCCGAAAAGCTGCCGTCGAAGAAAAGATAGTGACGCCGTTCAGATTCATCTCTTGGCTTCCCTTGTTGTCGGCTTATCTCTCGTTTCATCAACCATCTATCCCATCTCTTTCAACACAACAAGCAATCAGAATCACAAACACAATTAACAAACCCCCACGATCCCTCTTTCTCAACCACGATACCCTTGCATGCAGCCCTGAAAAAAGGTACCGTGACCTTTCCCCCACCAACCCAACAGCCATTACCCGTTATCCAGCATCGCCACAACACATTATCATTCTCCCATTTAAGAAGCCCCGCCGTTGAGTACCATACATGACGGTTGATCCCTTGGCACCAACAGGCTAGAATTCAAGAAAATTTTACTTGTTTCGTGAGAGCCAAGAAGTACATAGATGATCTTGTGGTCCACTGAACACATCGGGTAGACGACTGACGGTAGCAAGGCAAATGATCGACCAAGTTCCAAGATCAGAGGTGATGTAATGGTATACGTAGTCGTACCCTTGCACCTGATTTCTTGGTATTTTTGCGCCGAGAGACAGGCCGGATTTTCGCGGCTTTGCTGTATCATGTGATGGTTTTTGTGTTGCCTTGGATAGTGAATGAACGTGCGAGGTAAGGTGAAGTGTAAAGTAGAGAAGATGAGGTGAGGTATGAGTAAACTTCTAATCATTGTGATAATCGGTACGGTTCTTCATAATACTAATACCAATACTACTACAGCTACGACTGCGAAACGCCAGCCCTCCAGAGCAAAGTATTCTCTGCGTAGGCTTGCTTAAACCTGAATAATCTATACCCCAATGACGCCTATGCTTTGCGCATAAGTGCTCACCCACGTCCCTAGCTATAATACACCTCTGTTCCCTCCCTCAAACCATGATCCTTATTTCCTCACACCCTTCCCCCTATACTCATATTCATACTGAAAGAAAGAATCCCAAATACTACTTTTCCTGGCAGGCGGCGGCGGCCTCCTCTCACTCGGGCTTGCAGTCTTAATATCAGGCTGACTCCCCGCTCTCTGTTTGACAGGCTCGGCGCCCATATTCATACCCGCCGTTTGCGCGCTCGAAGAAGTGAAGGGTTCGAACATGGACCGACGCTTTGAAGCATAGGAAGACGATGTCTGCTAAGCGAAAACGTTAGTTAAAGTGTTGACTAGGTACGTTTTTCGGGGAGCTTAGATTTACAAGAAGCGCAAACCTAAGGTCCCCAGAGTAGGTCGCGCACATTGCCTCCGTTTCCATCGTCTGCTGTCTTGTCTGGGCCACGGCCGTTGGTGGATGTCTGACGGAGGTGGCTGGGACCGTGGGCGCCGGCTGGACTAGGGCCGCGTGTTGCAGCAGCCGAGTCGGGGCGTTCGGAGGGCGAGAGGGCTTCTGCTGAGTTGCGGCTGACGCCGACCAAGGGCGCACTTTTCTTGCTGTTGCCACTGCTGCGACGGCTGTCGAGGGACTTGCCGAGTTGGGTGGCGGGATCCATGGATTTCTTCTTTGCTTTTTGCATTTCGCCTTGGCCGGTTTCGAGACTGCTCTTAACCGTCACGGCGCCTTTGATGCCGGGAGTTCCGGGTGCCATTGCTTTTTCTTCAGTTGCTTCGAGTAGATACCAGCGTAGTCCATCTGAGAGCTCAAATGGGTTGTCGTCTTCGAACGATACAGCGTTACTGGAAGCGATGGAGCGGTCATCCAAAGATGCTCGAGGCGCTCCATCCATTGTCTTGGACAAATCAACAATCCGCTCTTCTACCTTGGAGATACGGGCCACAAGCCACTCTTTGCCACCCAGCCTATGAGTATCTTGCTCTCTAAGGAAGAAATGTGGCGCGCCAACGTTGAAGGCAGCCCAAGGACGATGGGCATTGTTGCGGGTCGGCAGAAAGAGGGCCAGGTCGCCTTCCTTGAATGAGCGATACGCAATCTTGTCGTGTGAGTCGGCTTGGAAACGATGTGCTTTGTCTCGGTATGCTCGAGCTTCCTTTTGCCACTTTCGTGCTGTGTGCTCCATGTCACGCATTCGCTTTGCCACAGCATCGCTAAACGTCTCTACATTGAAAAGCTCCAACTTGGAAATGAGCTCTTGGTATCGCTGGTCTTCCTCTTCTGGGCTAGTGGCCTCGGTCCACTGAAGGAAGTGTAAATCTCCAATATCTTCTAGGAAGCGCTTCAGTGGAGTGGGTGAGGGTGTTGTGGTGCTACGGCTCAGTCCCGCACTGGTGTCGGTCATGACAGTGCTACCACCAATCCTGGACGCTCGTTGGAGAACCATCTCGCCATCTTCATGAGTGATGACAAAGCCCAGTGCTTCTAGCAAACGAACTAGGCGCTCATGCTGTGTGTACAGACGCTGGCTGAGGTCCTTTGCGCGATGCATGAGCTGATGGGTACGGGATGTATCCACTTCTTCCAGTTTGCGCAGCTTCTTTTCGATGCGCATGAGTTCAACGTCCAGGCTGTTGGCGTGCGAGCTCTTCTCTGCCAACTCAGTCTGAAGACGACCAACTTTGGCTTCTTCCTCCTCAACTCGCTTCCTGAGAGCTTCAGACCCGGTTTCGCCTTCAGCAAACTTGGTGCGGAGATCATGCAAGTGACCTCGTTCCTCCTCAAGCTCTGCAGTGATAGAGGCCACTCTTGCCTTTTCTACATCCAGCTCTTCCTTGAGGGATGCGACTTGCTTTTCGTGCTCACCAAGCTTGGTGTTGAAGTCGTGTTGTTGTTCCTCAATTCTAGCGTGGGCATTCTCATTGTCGGACTTGGCCATCGCGACAGCCTGCTCAAGCTCTTTCTGATGGTTTAGTGATCGTACCGCCAGATCCTCAAGCTGTGAAATAAGCGCCGAATGGTCATCAGGCACGTTCGTGCCTGGTGAGAGGTGGCTGAAAGCCGCAGCTAACGATTCACGTTCCTGTGATTTGACAGCCTTGCGGTCGACGAGCTCTGCCTGGAGTGCTTCGATTCGCTCACTGGCACGCTTGCTCTGCTCAGCGGCATTCTTGCGCGATTGCTCGAGTTCAGACACAAGTTCTTGCAGCCTACCATCGACACCAGTCCGTTCATTATCTCGACTACCCAGAACACGATCCAACTCGTCCTCAGCCTCTTCGATCCTAGTCTTGTACGCCCGAATCTCGTCTTCAAGCGACTTCCTCTCGTCGGCAAACTCCTTTTGTTGCGCACGCATGTTCTCCATGATGTTGTTCTTAGTAGACATTGCTTCTTCAAACTGCCGTTGTTGGTCTGCGTCTTCGTCTCTCCGAGCTTGCGCGTCATTTTCGAGCTTCGCACGCGCTTCCTTTTCTGCCGCCAGTTCCTGCTCGAGGCGCAGAATGCGACGCTTATCTTCCTGTCCTGTATTTGCCGAGTATCGTCTCGAAGAGATGGAGGAACGTCTAGATAATTCGTCCTGAAGCCTGGGTGAAGCGACTTCGGCTGTTGGTGTTGATTCACCTGGTTCAGGCATCCCGAATGAAGGTGGTGCACCCACCGAAAGTCTGCTAACAGTAGTCTGGCGATGCACTAGGTCTTCTAGTCGACGAACGCGGCTCTTATAGCCTCTGAGTTCATCTTCGAGCTTTGCGTTGCCTTCTTTCAGCACACGCAGCTCATCATCACCTCTGACCAAAAGTTGTGAGCCTCTGCCGAACGCTGGCTCATGCACACTGCCCATCTTGAAGTTCTTCGCGCGCTTGATCTGTTGCTTCGTAGGACGGTCTAAGTCTTTGATAGCCTGGGCAAATGCTTCTGCTTCAGTTTCCTGTCCTTCTAATCTCTGCAGGTTCTGCAGGTACTCCCGAAGTTCTTCTCGAGTGACTGGTGGCCAAACTGTCTTCTCCGGCTGCACATTCATCTCAAACCCAAGGAGACCACCCTGAACCGCCTCTACGTTGATGACGTCAGCAATTGGCTTCAACCACTTCTTGCGCCGGCGCTCTTCCTCCTCCTGGAAAGTCGCCATCTCTTCAGCGAGCGATGATGTGTCTCTTTCCATCCTCTCCATCCACTCCCGTCTCCGAACAGCCTCAACTAACAGTGTACCGTAAATGTAAGGGAGACGGCCGACCAAGGAGATGAGCTCAAAGGCGGCCACACCCTCCTCTGGTATACTGATCTGCTCCAGTTCTGCGCCCAAGCTTGCAATAATTGATTCTATGTTGGCAATACCCTGCATACTCTCTACCGAATTTCTGATGGCAGAATTCTTCTGCTCAACAGCCCGTCGCACGAGATCGCTCATCTCGATGCTGTATTCTTGGATAGCCGGCAAAAAGTTTCGGGTATGAAGTAGAGCCATTTTGGAGACCTGCGCGACTGACCTGGAGCTTGCCTCGAGGCCCATTACATGCTCAAAGTCGGATTCCACTTTCTTTGCGACAGCATCTATCTCATTATATAGTCGGGTGGGTTCTTCGGAATCGTCGACGATGGATCGGCTCTGGCTCTGGCCGACGGCGCTCAGGAGCTCGTTGTAGTCGGACCCGATCTTCTCTAATTGTGCCCTCATATTGGCCATTCGCTTCCCGAAAGATTCTCGTACACGCTTGCTGGTGGCCGTGGCCTTTTTGACAGCCTCGACGTCGATGAAGTGCTGGAGGGTCTCGCGAACAATGGCATTGTTGGGTATATTCTGCGGTGGTCGCATCTCCTTGGCAAGGAATCGAGTGAAGTTTACGATGGCGGGTACTGTCCCTAGCTGCTCAAAGTCGGCATCGAGCCGTCGTAGGTTGTCCCCGGCTTCCTTCTCCACCCCGTCATACCACTCCTTGGCTGCCTGGTACTTTTGCTCCAACCCCTTGATATGCGCATCATGGTTTCCAACCGCTACTTGTGTGCCTCTCTCGATGGTGGCTTGTTCGGCAAAGTGCTTTGAGGCTACGCGTGACATGGAATGCGACTTCTCGAGGAGTGCGAATGCCCAGTCGCGGCGGGCTTGAAAGAGGGCTTGCCATGCTCGCAGGTCAGTATTATTTGTGAGGTGGTTTGGCGCATCGCCGGGAGTGAAGGCTTCGGGCAGTGGCGTGGACGATATGGCAGCCTGGGGGTTATTTGACAATTCGCGACTGAATACAAATATTTCCTTCTATTTGATGACTCTCAGCACATGTTATGGGACGTTATGAGGCGGCCTTACCTCTGTCAACAGCGCCTGCAACTTGACATGTTTCCCCTGCGTCGTGAGCAGCACTTGCTGCTCGGGCGGAATCTCTGTTGTCCTGGAGATCCAGTACTTGAGCGCATCGACGGAACTGAAGGCAACGGGATCAGCGTCAAGACGCTGGCCCGTATGAGCTACTGCTATCTGCAGGGACATTCAGTTGAGCCCGCCAGCTTGTCGGAGTGCTGTCGGGGCAGTTCCAGAGGAAAGACGAGGTCTGAATTGTTGAAGCGTGAGCACATGGTACCAAAATACGCCAAGGATACCTGCCGCAGGGATCGGCGCATGGGCCCGCCGACGCTGCATCATAGTGAAAGTCGCGCCTGGTCAGATGTGCCATGTCTTGGTCGCCCGCCCTGAGCAGTTGTGAATAGTCAATCATCAACATGGCGAACAAAGATGTTGACATGGTAGATGCAGCTGTCAGGGCTCCAGACTCAAACGGCTACGCGCAGCTGCTGCAAACAAATCACAGCGACGCGTTCGCGTTCTCCGAGACCGAGGAGCTAGCCCTGCAGCTTTACGATCAACTCAGGGAACTTGAGTTGCAACAGAGCCTCATTCAGGCGCAACAAGCAGGCATGTCTCATCCTGCAGCCTCACTGCAAGTATCTGGAGATTAACTGCGAATGTAGCACATGCGCATGACTTCACAGCGCTTCCAGATGACCTGGTCGAAGAGCGGCTGACTATGGCGCAGCACGAAGCCATGGAGGCAAAGGCAGAGTACGACATCAGGAACAAGATAACAGACAACGTCTTGGTCATGGATCCTGTTCTCAAGGCCGTTCATGGTGGCGAACAAACGCCCTTTGGTGAAAAGTAGGTCAAAACTTGATCATACAGAACAGATTTCTTATCATGTTCAGACGCATACTGCCGCTGATTGCGGAGAACGACACCGTCTCAATGGTCCATGGCCTTGAGACATCAAAGCTTGCTGCGGTTACGCGCACCCTGAGTGTTGCAGAACAGGGCAACATTGCCGCGAAGCAGAAGAACCGCGAGTTGGCGCAGACGATGCTTGCTTTGGCAGAGGAAATGAAGAAGCAGTCAGCACAGGACATACAAGATGCACAATTACGTCAGCGAGTCGATGCCGTGGAGAAGGAGGTCAAGGAGTCGCGGCGGAGGGTTTCGACGCTCAAAGGCATCTTGTCAGCAATGGTGGTCGGCAGCGGCATCAATTGGGCTGCAGACGAGGCTTTGACCGAGCTGGTCATGGATGACGAAGAGTGAATTGTGGGGCAGCTTAATCATCCATCCAGTAGAGTGGAATCCGGTCGTGGGAACGCAGTAACTAGCGCAGCTGGAAACCAGTGCCGACCACTTGCAAAGTTGCTTTGTCGTGAAAAGCACATCTCCCGCATTCCCGCTTTCGGTCCGGCCTCGTAGTGATGCCTCGTGCTTAGTGGCCGGAAGCGGATCTAAGAGACGCATCCGAAGAGCTCATGCCTGCTGAGTTTTGCTCTCCCGAGGTCGGAGGAGCTTGATGCGCGCGCCGACGAGCATAGCAATACATGGTTTACTGTCAAGATACAACACCAAGAAGACGTGTGAAGTGCCGAGGCATTGGATACAGCAACCAATGCAACATTATACCTTCTCACTCTGCACAGTCTAGACCATTAGGGCAAGCAGCAGCGACATGCTGCAGGGCGAGACACAAGACACTGCCGAAACGAGTGTCTGGACCTGTTGCAGGTGACTGCACTGCCTTGTTTGCAGCAGTGGACGCGCAACAGCAGGGGCCGTGGATTGCTTGTGAAAAAAAAGAGGCAGCCCGGGCGGGCGTGTCAGTGATAAGGAGGTCAAGGGGGGGGGATTTGGTGAGGACTGGCGAATGGTAGACTATGGGCTGCTGCGTGCAATCTAACCGAACGTGAAACTTGCCAGGAAAGAACGAAGGGCAGCGCCTCCGCGCCCAGGCAGGTGCGGTGACCGGTGTGGTGTCTTTTGGCGAGGCTCGCAGAGGCCCGGCCCTCGTCCAGACGACAGGCAAGCAACAACTCGATTGAGACGTGAGTTGAAAGCTGCGTGTGCAGCACAGAAGACCAGGAATCCGCTGTCAGCACACTGAGAGGGTGTCGTTTGCAGCCAGCCCGTTGGGCACAAGGTGGCAATGGTCGTTGGAGGAGGGGAGGGGTTGGTTGCCGCAGCCGTGCAATGCGCGGTTGCCAAACAAGCTGGGGCCTTAGCAGACGTCACGTGCACCCCTAACAAAGCTGGCATCAGGGTCTTTGCTGTGTCCCTCTCTGACTGCCTGCGCCCGCCCAACTTCTCCTAACAAAATCGCTGCCATACAACTCTCGCCCGCAAACACGTTTGGTAAGTCCTCGGCTGCATTTGACGAAGTCGCTTTATCACCAGCACCACTTTTAGCAACCACACACTTTTTCCACGCGTTTTCCCGCCTCAATTCCCCAAACTAGCTCTCTCCCAGCCTTCTTTCATTCATCTTCCGGACGTCATCGCGTTCGACGCTTTCTTCATCGCCATCGTCGGCACCTCTTGCACCGCGCATACTGACCGCAAAACAGACCTCATCCAACAAAATCAATTTTCTCGAAACTAGCAACTTCGGTGAGTACCTGCACCTTCTCTTATCGCAAAATCGCGCATCATCGCGTCGTGTTGTGGTGTTTTGCAACCGCGTCACCTCGCGCGCATAGCAGCACAGCACCACCAAGCCCACTCACCCAAGCACGCCATTGTTTTCAATCCATTCCACTAGCACTGCACTTGGCTTGAGCTTTGGACTACTAATATCCATTGCGCCTGCCTGCTTCCCTTCCTCTCACCTACAAGTTACTCGCAACTCCAGTAGCTAACCACAAACACTAGCCCATCCACCACCATGCCTAAAGAGAAGACTACCCGCAAGGCTGCCCCCAAGTCCAAGGCCGATGGCGGCAAGAAGAAGAAGGGTAATTCATCCACGTGCCGTTGCTTGCCTCATTGCTAACATGATTAGACCCCAACGCGCCCAAGCGTGGTCTGTCTGCGTACATGTTCTTCGCCAACGAGCAGCGTGAGAAGGTCCGCGAAGACAACCCCGGCATCAAGTTCGGTGAGCTTGCACCGTTGATCATTTTCAACCCCGATTCTAACCATCTATAGGCGAGGTCGGCAAGCTTCTCGGAGAGAAGTGGAAGGCCCTGAACGAGAAGCAGCGCACTCCTTACGAGGCCAAGGCTGCTGCCGACAAGAAGCGCTACGAAGAGGAAAAGGCCGCTTACCAGGTATGTTTTTCCAGCAAATTCGCAATGACAGCTCCGCTAACATCCCGCAGGCTGGCGAAGAGGAAGAGGAAGAGTCCGAGTAGAGTTCTCAACTCATCTGTGCTTTCAATAACCCGCGCATGCGTAATGACGATTTGTCATGTGCGCACTGGGTAGCAAACCTCTCTCGATTTCCTTTGTGATATTCCTGCTTCTTAATGGGTTCGTTATCTCTCTGCGGAGGAAGGTCTTGGGCTAGCAAATCTGTGGTTCATTTCGTTAAAGACGGCCGCAATCAGTACGATTCGCGCTGATGGTGGGCTAATGATGTTTGGGCGTCTCATCCTCCTTGACGCCACGAAAGGAACATCACGAAGCTCATGACCAAGTCTATGTACACTAGTCAACTGCTATATGGAAAATGTTTGCTGCTTCAATAATGTCTTCACGGCGCTTTTCATGTTCGTCTTGGCGGTGGTTGTCCCGGCGTAGCGCTGCTCATGCCCTTCGTAGCCTGCGTCCCAGCTCAACCCCTTATGCTGTCGTTGATGTGTGATGAAGGTATGACGCATCTGTCTATCATGACTGACAAACCCTAATACCATCTGTCAATGACAACATTCAGACCCCTCTGCTCACGTCACATGCGACCCACGCTGCCCTCACCGCCGTACCGGGATTCCGCATCTCCCCCGCCCACGCCTCTCACCTGCTCCTTCCGCACGCGTCCCTTACCAAACTATCCAAAATGCCCCTGCATGTGAATAAACCCCTCAAAAAGCTTGCTACCCATGTTCCGTTTGCTTTTTACATGTAGATATAGATCAATTAAATCAGTTTCCTTCCATCAATCAGCCAACAAAAAGCGTCGTTGGGCTAGTGGTATGCTATCGCCTTCCCAGCAATGTCAACAAGCGAAGAAGGCGGGGATCACGGGTGTAAGTAGTTGCCCTTTCCAAGGGAGCAGGTGGCTCGTTCGATATCTGTTACTAACGTTAGTGTGTAGTCGAACCCCGTACGGCGCAGTTGTTCTTTTTTGTTTTTTGCGGTTGGGGATTTATGTGGTAGAGGACGGGATGGTTCGGGTATGGTCGTATGGTACGGGTGAGGGGGGAGCACATGGGTACGGGACAGCCGGGGCTTAGATGTGACTTTACTCTAGGGTTATAAGTAGGGGCTTTGTGTTATCTTATAGACTGTAGGAATGGCTCAGTAGGCAAGTTTATTGGGACATAGCGAGTGAAGGTCAGCAGGCGTTGGTGTAATCGGGTAGCACAGCGTATAGGCTTTCATAGCAAAGAATTTATGCACGGCAGTTGGTATTTATTTTTAGTGTTTTCAATACATCACAAGTATCTTCAGGGAGATATGTTATAAACGCCTGAGCTTGCCACCTCTTCATCACCGTCCAGCAAATATACAGCAGTTTACGCCAAGAAAGCCATCCTACTTTTTTCCGGCACTTTGCGCCTCTTCGACCATCTCTGATGAGTGCTAAACTCCCAAATGTCCGTGTTTACTAACATATGCTGATTATTCTCTCTGCAGCACGACCATGACACCCATCAAACCCAACATGACTTGTTTGAGCCATGGGTGCTCACTTAGTAGAATGGTAACGTATCCGACAAAAGGTATGAAGCCGACAACGCTTCCGATGACATCTTCTTGGCGATTGAGGAAGGATTGACCGGCGGCGTAGAGTTCGGTGTCGTCTGCGAGGTTGTTGTCGCCCTTGGTGAGGAGGCGGAGGGGTGTTTTACTATAAACATGACTTGTCAGCATGGATTCTTCACGAGATGCGCGCGAGTCCCCCAAGATATCGCAACACGCCCACTTCCATATACCCGTCTCCACATGTAGCGCAACCACAAATTGGAAAAGAAGCGACTTACCCTCCCCCATATCTCCTCACAACACGATGCACAATCGGGATGTCCTTGCCCTTTACATTATAAACGACAATCTCGCCCACTTGCGTATCCGCCCCCCTGTTCCACAAGAATAGCAGATCACCTCGCTGGAACGCAGGCTCCATGGATCCGGAGAGTACGACGACAATGGGTGAGGGCGAGTCGGATACGACGGAGAGACCCTTCCACATCATGAAAGCGGTAGAGAGGACGAGTGCGAAGTTGAGAATTTGCGCGGCAAGTTGCCTGGGCTGCATATCGGCGATTCCTAGCATATTTGCGGCTGTGGTTGTTGGTTTGGGTGGTAGGTGTGGTAAGTGCTTGCTTGCTTGGTGGAGAGAGGTTCTATGCGTCGGAAGGAAGGGTGTTGCAGAAGAAGCTAAAGCAGCGAATGTGAGGTTTAGTTTTACGTGTATTACGTGGCGTATAGCGGGTGACTCAGGTAGGGGAGCGGAACTGCGCGACCGAGTGTGCGCACCCGTGAGATTTTGGGCAGTGGTTAGGTGATGCCAGATGTCCTTGGCTTTCGTGGTTGCGGCCAGCTTAGTCAACCTCCGAGATGGGGGAGCTATGAACTCCGCATTGCTGCACCCAGACATGCATCGTGGAACTTTTCTGCTTTGCGCAGGTTGATGCCCATCACGTCGGGTTTCTCTGGTTACGAATGCACAGAGGTGTAGTTGATGATCTTGTGACTTTATGGGGTCGCTGACTGTTATGAGTCGACGGCCATTACTCAAGCAGCCTACCAGGTAGCATCTCGAACAATGTGGAGTGGAATCATCACGTCTGCCATTTTTTATCGCAATGGATCAATTGAAAATATCATGTTCGAAAGCCATGCACGAAAGTTTCATGTCCCAACCTTTGTCTCTCACCTGTCGGGCTCCTTGCTTGGAGCCACCTTCACTTAGATACGAGACTCCTACTTGAAAATGGCCAATATATCTGGCTTCATCGTTTCAAGCTTCGGGATCTCTTCAGCCTCTCTACCAACTTCTTTGGGGCCTTTGAAGTCTAGTATCCTTTCCATTTTACTCCAACATAGAGCACTCAGTCATACCTATACTCCCATTCATTCAGACCACGCGCACAAGATGGTGCAGCAAAGCCCAGGCAGTCTGGTCCAATACCAGGCTTCCGGAACCTCATTACCACCATGGCCGGCAGTCATATGTACGGATGATATGGCGCCAACAGAAATGCAGCGAACTCGGCCGAATGGATATTTCTATGTCACGCTCGTTTTGTTGTTGGACGAGCGGTTTGAATTGTGAGTAGAGTTGGTTAAGCTCGAGGTGAAATCTCCGAAATTAACTAAAGCAGTCATTGGGCCCGTACGTCCGAGTTGGGAGAATATGATCCCTTCGCGCCATACGAAAACGAAGAGATAGTAGCAAGTACCCCGCGGCTCGGTGATGCGTATGAGATGGCGAATAATGCTCTAGAGGCTGGTTTCACACTTGATGATTGGCGAGATCGGGTGAATCAGCGGAGCGTTGAGTCAGACTCATGCTCAGACAGTGATGAAAGTGATGATGATTCCGAGATGCAATGGGCACTGAGGGCAAGTCAAGAGGACTACGACCGGCAGCATTCACATAATAGGAAGAGAACTCTATCGCCTCCGAAACCAGCAAGGGATTCAAGAAGTCGGATAACGGTTATCCCAAGAAAAGATAAAGAAACAGCTCATACCGACAGGCCATCACGAGCTACGCAGAGTAACCACTCCCGAACGATACCAGACAATTACAGCGACTTCCTGACTTCCAGATCACCTGCTCGCCCACCTCCATTACTGATATCCGAAGTCGCATCTTCTTCGTTACCATCACCTGTTTTACCGTCGCGTCTGGGCAGATGCGATACGCCCATAGATCTCACAGACGATACCAGTTCGCAACAGCCAACTGCTAACCAGTCAGCGCCCACGTCGACTAACGCACCAAACCGGACGTCTTTTCAGCAAAACTCGTTCCTTGACCGTACTCTTGGCGGGCTTGGTAGGAGCTTCCGGGAGCCTAAGAGCGACACCGTTGACGGCGAATTGTAAGTTGTTTTCATACTATCACCTGGCTGTCATAAAATACTTGACACCTAATAGGAGTGTCTGGCAACTACAGTGGCCTTTTTGTCCTAGTATGTCAAGTATTTTATGGCACCCGGGTGCTACCTAAGTATGTTCATTCCCACTAATTTTGCATAGGTCACAAAGTAAGGAATTCGTCCAGATACCCGTAGGCCCCGATGGCGTGGTCAGTACCCTAGCGAAAGCTTGTGTATGGAATCGTAAATACTGGCTAGACGTGAGGTAAGTCACAAATGAGCCGTGGGCGCGTCGTCTTCCCCAAAGCATGTGTTTAATGATTCAAACAAGGTTCGGCGTCAACCACTTCGATCTCAACGACGACGGCATATTCGAGCTCCAGCACCCCGGCCTTCCCGAAATCGACCCAGACGACTTCGTCTTCGCCGCCGAATACCTCGAAAGCAGCGATTTTGGCCACCGCAACCCACGAGACGGAGACGACGATCAGATGCAAGAAGCGTTCGTCCAATGCATCGCTGCATGGGGCGTGGCCGAAAAATTGTGCATGCACGACCTCATGGACCATATCGTCGAAAAGTTGGAGCGGCACATTGAGCCGGAGCTAATGGCCGTTGTCATCTTTGCTGCGCAAATCTACGAGGCTGAGGAAACGCCACTTCCATCGCAGATGAGACTTAAAGATTATCTGGCCACGTATATTGCGCAGAATTGGTGGATCTATGTGGGTGATGATCATTTGAGCGGACCTTTTATTGAGAGACTTAAGACGTTGCCGGAATTGGAGAGGGATATTTATGCGAGACGCTTGGTGGCACTGAATGAGAGGCTGAATGATGCAGGGGATGGACCGGAAAATGGGGAGATGGGTTTGGGTTGAGTGCAGAGTTTTGTTTGGGCTGAAGTGAGAGATGAATCACTTCTTGCCTGGAGCTATGCTTGCGAACATTTGCTTCGTTATATGGTCATCGTAGTCATATATACTGAAAAGGATACCCTGAACGCTATGAAGCTGCCACCATGTATTCAATACATCTCATCAAACCTGTGTATCTGGCAACTCAACAAACGCAGCTTAGTCAGAGTCACTTTCAAACTCCGGAACATTCGGATCTGTGCACAACATCAGTAAATACATCATCAGATGCACATCCATCCCTCCAACATACCTCTAAGAGCCATGTACTCCAGCGTCCCCCCAACCTTCTCCATCAGCGATTCCCTCACCAAGTTCAACTCCTCCTCCGGAAGCAGGGTATCCGTATCCGCCATATCAATCGAAAGCCTAATTCCCTGATTACCCGGTCCCAGCCTCGATATGAAATCCAAGAGACCTTCTAGTGTGAACTTGGAAATGCCGGAGATAGTGACGGTCCGGAGATATGGCAAGTTGGCGAGATGTGGCAGGACAACATCGTTGAGCTCGAGACCGCTAACATATAGATCCTCGAGTAGAGCGAGATTGGCGATGATGGTGATGAGATGGTCGTCGCGCAGCACTTCTGGTAGTATGAGATGCAGATCCCAGAGTTGATGCAGTTGTTTCAGCGAATCAACTAGGATATCCAAATCATCGCGGAACATGCCCTCGGTATCTCCACTCAAGAACAAGACGTTTAGTGAAGACTTTTGGTGCACTAGGGCCTGGTGAAATGTCCTGTGGTCTTTTAACGTGTATGAGTCGATCTCTAGACTGCACAGTTTGATCTTATCTTGCAACAGGACGGGCGTGATGATGGCTGCGCCAGACTGCAGTTTATGGAAGCTGAGGCGTTGGAGGTCTGTGCAGTTTTTGAGCCAGGATACGGTTTCTAGAAAGACGCCGTTGGCGGTTGCTTCGAGGTCAACAGTGCCATGGATGTCTTCGATACGGAGGGTTTTCAGTGCCGTGCAGCCTTTGAGTAGTGACAGATGCGGGATTGAGTCGGTGGATACGCATAGTCTCAGATCTGCGAGCGATTCTCCATGGTTGTTTAGTGCTGCAAAGGTCTTGGAGCCTGCTTTGACATCGCTGATGGTTTGCAGTGTTTCCAGCGTATTCGGGCGCATGGACGAGAGGAACTTGGCAAACTTCTGATCGTTGTCGACGGACATCCAAGTATAAATCATTAGAGATTTGAATTGAGGGCAGTGTTCGTAGATCGAAGAATGTACCAACTCATCTTCTAGTGGCTTGCCATCCCAGAGCTCAAGGCTTTGAAGGCGTGGAAGACGGGGCGTCCATTGTACGAGGGCACCGGGCTGGACTGATGATTGTCAGACGACTCGCCTACTTTTGGATGTGGTACATACGTTCTCCACTGATAATCTCAAGAGTGGGTGTGTGCTGGGTCACAACTGTCAAGTGTTAACCTATGTAGCGACGAGCAGATTGAGTATTACCTTCGCCAATCGCGTCGATTATGTCCGCTGTCTTGATTCGTGTATACTTCCTTCCCTTTATGTTCGTTCCGGTCTCGATCTTCTCAAACTGCTTCAGAGGTCCAGAGAAGAATTGCCTAGCGCAGTTAGGATTGACAGTGCTTGCTGATCAAAGTCTACTCACTTGGAGACCTTTGCTCGGAACTGATCATCATCAAGTAGATAGCCAAGGTCGCGGAAGTCAAGCGATCGAATGTAGCGACAATACGGAAAAAGAGTGGCATCAAGGCTTGATGCGACAATGGATCGCCATAGAATAGACCATTTCTGGATTGTGAGCAGCTTAGTGGCGGCTGGCAGGCCATAGAGATCCTCTCCCCCGCCTCGGACTGGAGCTAGATGATGTGACCTTTTCCAATCGCATTAGTATAGTATACGCAGTTAGAGTTGTCACTTACTTGTACAGATGAGTTAATGCAGGTACGGCAAGGGCGCGGCTGGAGCAAGCGCAATTAAACAGTGTGTCGAACTGTTCCTGGTTCGCAAGCTCCTCGCATAGAAGATGCAAGATATCATCTGGAAGCGTGGGCTGAGACATATTACAGGGAGATATAATTTCAAACCATTGGAGTTTGCTGTATGCTCGGAGCAGCAGGGCGCGATGATGTCAACAGCGCTAGCGCGTCAGAACGCGCTGTTTCCGCATTCGGCAGCCTCGCCAACACTCGCGGCCAACACCAGCATGTCGCCACGATGCGGATAGTCAGGACGAGACAAGATGGTCGTCCTCAACTTCACCCTTACACCTGAGGCAGCGTCCAAGGTCCACGACCTTCTCGTCTGCCTGGGCAAATTCAGCGATACCGTAGCCATTGAGGCGCGTCGAGAAAAGGTGGGTTTGCCGCTCTTCTTTTCAGTTGGTCCGGTGCCTTATATATATCACATTAGTTCACGTTCACCGCTCTCAATCCTTCCAAATCTGCATACGCCGCAGTTACGTTGGATGGCAAGCAGTTCTTCGCCAACTATGAGTGCAGTCCAAGTCATGGTGGGCCGGATGGCCGCTTCACGTGCAGCATGTACACGAAAGCGCTGCTATCGGTGTTCAAAGGCCGTCTATACGATCCCCTAGGCCGCGATGGCGCGATAGATCGTTGTGAAGTGAGTGTACGGGAGAATGAGACCCAATGCCGATTCATCGTCAAAATGGTATGCAATCAGGGTGTCATCAAGACATATAAGCTCACGTACGAAGCTGTGGAAGTGATGCACGCACTATTCGATCGAAGCATCGCAAGGAATCGTTGGAGTATGCATTCTGGTGCCGTAAAGGAGTATATTGAGTACTTCGGTACGAAAACCGAGATGCTTGACATCTTTGCTGGAGACGATGGCCGCTGTGTCTTCAAAAGCTACACAGAGAAGATCACGAACGGAAAAGAGATCCTGAAACACCCACTTGTCACGGCAGTCGCGGTCAACATATCCGATTTCGAAGAGTTTACGGTTCAGGCGGGCATGCACATCATCATCAACGTCAAGGACTTCAAGGCTATTGTTGTTCATGCAGACACACTAAAGACTAGCTTGAAGGCGTTCTACTCCCAACCAACACGACCATTGCAGTTCAGCTACGGCAGTGATAGCCTGATTTGCGAATTTACGCTGATGACCTCGGGTGACTACACTGCAGCTCCAGCCATTCCAACCCCGGCACCCCAGGCAATGAGCAGCAGACATACGTCCCGCGCACCATCAACTACAATAGTAGAGCGCGAGGACAGCCGCAGCTTTCGGTCTGACATGCCTCCACCGGTGCAGCCAGCATCACGAAGGGACGGGTCGGGTAGATTACGGAACCCAGGATCTCGCCAGGCTTCAGCAGCACAAGCACAGCCCACACGCCATGATTCAGATAGTCTGTTTGTTCCCGACGACGAGGATGCAGCCTGGGCTCCTCTTGACTACGATAAGGAAGAGACACTGGGCTGGGATGCGAGCGCCTCCCACGATGCATCGGCATTCCCGACGTTTACGGATAGTGGCAATATGCCAAGGAAGAGCACTGCAGATAGCACCGAAGTGTTTGAGCCCACTCAACGTGTGTCGCAGATCCAGGGATTGTGGTAGCAGTATGGCGACGGTAGAGACATTGCGATTACACGGTCGAATGACCACAGCCAGTGATCCCCAAGAGGTAACCATCAATCTAGTAGATGAATTTCCAGATGTAATCAGATGTGTCGACAGAGCACGATGATCTATCTCGCATGGTCGTGAAGGAAATTGACGCAACACCCGTAAGCTCTTCCCCCGTTGGAAGACGCCGGGAAACATGGTACCCCAAGCGAAAGGGAACACACAATACATTTTCATGAACCACACCTCGATTTCTTACTCTACATACGTATCGCGTACAAGGTTTGGCCAGGAGAAACATCTGCCAGGCTGAACCCAGTGGACCAATAGTACAACTGGAAGATACCGGTACGCCAAGTACCATTCTCCTGCACGCTCCTTCGATTTATTTTTGGTTATCTATTACAGCGGGTAAAGTACATTTCGCTTCCATTTCCGGCGATGTTTCATGGTCGAAGGATCCAAACTCTTAGCATCATCTCCACCACGGGGGCCAGCCTGGTTACCACCATCTGCACAGAAATCCTTCCACCCCACACCCCTAGATGTGAGGTATATCTCGAGCTTTGTTCGATAATCTATAAAGCTGGTCACATCTCCAACTGTAATCGAAGCACCCTGAATCAAAGCGCAAGTCACTCAACATGCTTTTCAAATATATTTCCCTCGGTGCACTTTTATCTTTTACCGAAGCTAACCCATGGAGACCTGTGGGTGGCTCTACTAGTATCGCCGCACAAGCCCTAAAAGGGCGTGGTCTCAACATACCAGGACGCGCACTCAGAGCCGCTACAACTGTAGCACGCATGCAGAAACGGCAGTCTACGTTCGCTACGACCGACCAAGTAGAGCTATCCTACTTAGAAAGTAAATAATTAGCTCGGCTTCATAATTGTATAAATTGACTCAGCATAGGTGATGATTTGCTAGAGAGCTCTTTGGTACTAGAGAAAGGTACTCGTGTGTTGCACCTCCTGCTAGGATTGGAGAAAATACAAAACAAGGTTGTTACTTCTCACACCACTTCCACGGACGTCGCTTCCATGTTTGAAATGAAAAGCATAGCCATAACATTATCGATTGTGTTGATACCATCTTTTTGAAAGCTTGTCTCGAATCATATCCCACAACATAAGGCTGCATGTATCGCGGATGCAGTCCGACTCGATGACGTGGGTCTCGCCTATCCGCCGATAGCGGGGCTCATTCGAGAAGACGTCCCTCTTGCACCTCACCAGGTCGAGATCTCTAAACTAAAACTCAAGTTTCTCCTCACTACTCGTTCTCGATGGCACCAAAGCGCATCCTGGTAATCGCTGGCTCGGACAGTTCGGGTGGGGCGTACGTACGCATACATGCATCCGCCCCTCCTTCGTTCAGCCACTAGAGCTAACTATCCCATCACACCAACAGCGGACTAGAAGCGGACCAGAAAGTCATTGCAGCGCATGGCTGCTATGCTATGACAGCTACGACTGCATTGACAGCACAGAACACACTTGGCGTACAGGACATCCATCACACGCCGCCTGTCTTTGTGCGGAAGCAAATTGATGCTGTATGTGAAGATGTAGGCGTGGATGTTGTAAAGACTGGTACTATTCATGACTTTTGAAGCGGTGAGTTGTGGCTGATGTGTGGCTATAGGCATGCTCGCGTCTGCTGAGACGATCGAGATTGTTGCCGATGCCCTAAAAAGGCATAACATCAGCACCAGTATTGTCGATCCTGTACGTCTGCATAATCTCTCTTGTCTCTTGGCTTCATAAAAATGACTAAGATGCGTAAAGGTAATGGTATCCACATCTGGATCCCAGCTCCTGCCTGAAAACGCCGTTTCGACGTTGATAAAGTCGCTCTTTCCCCTCACAACACTTCTCACCCCTAATATCCCAGAAGCAAAGCTACTGCTACAAACCGCTGGGATAGATGTGACAGAGCCACGAAACGTCGATGATATTGTTGCCCTGGCGCACCGCATTCATGAACTTGGACCAAAATGGGTATTGCTGAAAGGAGGCCATCTTCCACTGACCCGTGGCCGGGTAGTTAGCAAGGGAGAGGAAGAGAGGGAAGTAGTGTTGAATGTTTTGGTCGGTGAAAGTGGAGTAACCGTACTCGAGGGCGAGTATTTACGATCCAGGAATACGCATGGGACCGGATGTTCACTCGCAAGCGCAATCGCGTGTAACCTTGCTGAGGGAATGGCTATGGCCAAGGCTGTGAAGAAAGCAAATCAGTACATTGAAGCGGGTATCAAGACTGCAATGAACATTGGCAGTGGAAGTGGGCCGATCAATCACTTTCACTCGGTGTACATGCTGCCATTCACACCTGGTAACTTCATCTCGTATCTGCTGGATCGCGAAGAGGTCCAAAAGCCATGGAAAGAGTACACCGAGCATGAGTTTGTCCAGCGAATGGGTGATGGAACATTGCCTGTGGAGAAGTTCATGTACTATCTCGTGCAGGACTACTTGTTCTTGGTGCAGTTCTCACGAGCCACCGCGTTGTCCGCCTACAAATCAAGCAACCTCAAGGATATTGGGATGAGTGTACAACAAGTCGTCACACTACAAGAAGAGATCAAACTGCACATCAATTTTTGCAAAGACTATGGCCTCTCTGAAACAGACGTCATTAACACAGAAGAAGACCAAGCCACTACTGCATACACCCGCTATGTCCTCGATATCGGCATGTCCCAAGACTGGCTTGCTCTACAAATTGCACTGCTTCCTTGCCTCATAGGGTATGGTATCATCGCGAAGAGGTTGTACGAAGACCCAAGCTCTGTCAGAGTCGGAAGTAGATACTGGATTTGGATCGAGCAGTACGTGGCGGACGAGTACAGGCAAGCGATGATGAGAGGGAGTGAGTTGGTGGAGAAGCATGCCGAGGGTCTGAGTCCGAGCCGGGTGGAGGATTTGGCAAAGATATTCGTGCATGCTACAAATGTGAGTGATATCGCAGCGAGCTGTCAAGGATAATGCTAATCAGAGATAGATGGAGAGAGGGTTTTGGGACATGGGGTTGAGATCTGGGGAAATCCAAGACGGAGTCAGGTCGTAGACCAAGCAGGCACATCTCGTGATGACGAATAGTTCGAAAGTACCATGTATCACTGTAATGGTCTCCCCTAAATGTGCAACAAGGCTACAAGGCCTATCACGTGGGTACTATACGCCCAGAACCACATGCATGCCTACATAGTTTCTTTTGCGTTTCACCTTGACTAGTGAGATTTTGCACTTAAGCAGGACTAATCATGATCATTCTTGCATCCAAGGAAAGCAATCTCATTGACCACGACGTCGTGTGCTGCAGACTTTGTACAGGCATGTTCTTCGAATTTGCGGTGGCGACGTGGTGGACCGGCATGGGGCCGGCTTCCCCGACCAGATAACGGTAAGCTCCGGTCTAACCTGACACGTCGAGACCCTGCCGCTAGCGCGGGCTAGCGTCTCAAAAAATGTGCAAGCGCAGAGGCAAGGTAACTTTTCCTGTCGCGCTCTGCCCTTCTGCTTTCCTCTCACTACACCCTCACCCTCTACTATCTGTGCTTCTTTTATCGCACATCTCGCGACACCTTTCCGAGTCGCTCTACTACCTCTAATACATTTTCGCGGTCTCTGATCACGAAACACGCTCCCTCAAATTCAAACAGTTCCCCTTTGACGCCAGTCACTACCAAACACATATACATCATGTCTTACAGCGGCGGATATGGCGGCGGCGGCGGTGGAGGATACGGCGGCGGTCGCGGCGGAGGCGATCGCGGCTACTCGAATGGGTACGCAAGCAGCAGCGGATATGGGTCTTACAACAACTCGACAAGCCAATATGCATCGTACGGGTAGGGCGATTCACCCCCTTCACACGGGAAAGGCATCACAGTCGTGGTTCTTGGACAACCTTCCATCTGCAAGCATTCTTTTATTATGATTCTGCGCGCAGTTTGAGTACAGAATCCGAGTCTGTTACTATATCCATTGCGGATGAGGCAGACTGTGGACAAGTGCACATTGCGATAACGTAGAATCTCCCCTCGAGTCATTCATTCCATCTCAGAGATCATCTACTAACATTCATACAGCGGCGGCGGCGGCTACGGCGGCGGTTCCAACGGCTACTCCGGTGGTGGAGGATACGGCGGCGGAGGTGGTGGCTACGGCGGTGGTGGTGGCTTTGGCGGACGCGACGGCGGCGACCGCATGTCGCAACTCGGCCAAGGCTTGAAGACACAACAATGGGGTATGTCTATTATTCCGACTCGACTCACGAAAGCAGTGCTAACAAACTCTCAGACCTTGACACAATGCCCAAATTCGAAAAATCTTTCTACAAGGAGGATCCCGCAGTCACTGCTCGCTCAGCCGCAGAGGTCGCTGAGTACCGCAAGGAGCACCAGATGACCGTCAAGGGCGAGAACATCCCCAAGCCCGTCACAACTTTCGATGAGGCTGGTTTCCCGTCATATGTCATGAACGAGGTCAAGGCACAGGGGTTCGCGAAGCCCACCGCTATTCAAGCCCAGGGATGGCCCATGGCTCTCTCTGGTCGCGACGTTGTCGGTGTTGCTGAGACCGGTTCCGGAAAGACCCTCACCTACTGTCTTCCTGCCATCGTCCACATCAACGCACAGCCTCTCCTCGCCCCAGGCGATGGTCCCATTGTCCTGATCCTTGCGCCCACTCGTGAGCTTGCTGTCCAGATTCAGCAAGAAATTAGCAAATTCGGAAAGTCTTCCCGCATCCGAAACACCTGCGTCTACGGAGGTGTCCCCAAGGGTCCTCAAATCCGTGACCTCGCTCGCGGTGTCGAGGTGTGCATCGCTACTCCCGGACGTCTTATCGACATGCTTGAGGCTGGCAAGACTAACCTCCGCCGTGTTACTTACCTCGTTCTCGACGAGGCTGACCGCATGCTTGACATGGGTTTCGAGCCTCAAATCCGCAAGATCATCGGACAGATTCGCCCTGATCGACAAACTTGCATGTGGTCCGCCACATGGCCCAAGGAGGTCCGCCAGCTGGCGGCCGACTACCAGAAGGACTGGATCCAAGTAAATATTGGTTCCATGGACCTTTCCGCTAACCACCGCATTCAACAAATCGTCGAGGTCTGCACAGAGTTTGAGAAGCGCGACCGCATGGCCAAGCACCTCGAGACAATCATGAGCGACAAGGACAACAAGATCCTGATCTTCACAGGTACCAAGCGCGTTGCTGACGAGATCACCCGATTCCTTCGTCAGGACGGCTGGCCGGCGCTTTGTAAGTTGACTTGCTTCTATGGCATGAAGACTGCTAACATTCAACCAGCCATCCACGGCGACAAGCAGCAAAACGAGCGTGACTGGGTCTTGAACGAATTTAAGACTGGCAAGAGCCCCATCATGGTTGCCACTGACGTGGCTTCCCGTGGTATCGGTATGATTACGAACCCCCCCTCACCCCCCTCCCCTCCCCCAACTATTATTATGCGTGAACTGCCATTGTGCTCTGCTTAGGTCGTCTTGTGCGCTGGTTACATTCGCTTCCATGACATCGTCCAGGGCTTGCATCTCTCTCGAATCTGATCCCCAGGGATCCTTGGTTACGCTGGTGAGGCTTCTAGGCTTCGCTATTTTCTGTTTCGGTATTACCCAAGGTACCTCTGAAGCAAGCTGCCTGAGATATTTGACTTGTACGAGTCACACTCTCTTCCAAGGGTTTCTGGACCAGGAGACATCCACAGCCTTCCCACTGGACTTGATGCCGTGATCTTCGTTGTAGCGCACAGAGACGGTTGCATGCAACATACTGCAGCTTCACGCGATCCAATCATGATCGCCGTCTGCTCTTTTCATCAGTCACTAACCTTTGCTCTTCAAGATGTCCGCAACATTACTCACGTGTTCAACTATGACTACCCGAACAACTCGGAGGACTATGTCCACCGCATTGGTCGTACTGGTCGTGCTGGCGCTAACGGTACCGCCATCACTCTGTTTACCACAGAAAGTATGTATACTCCTCTTCCACACATTGGCAGGTCGCTAACAATTATCTCAGACTCCAAGCAGGCTCGTGATCTCGTCCAGATTCTTACAGAGTCCAAGCAGCAGATTGATCCTCGTCTGCATGAAATGGCCCGCTATGGTGGTGGAGGTGGCGGCGGTGGTCGCTGGGGAGGTGGACGCGGCCGTGGTGGAGGCCGAGGCGGACGTGGTGGTATGCGCTACTAGCCCTTTCGACAATGAGCGAGTCCTAACGCCAATCCCAGGATGGACCGGAGGTAACAGCGACCCTGTTCGCAACAGCCGCTGGTAAACGAGCTATCTGGGCGACCTGCCCATCAACCATCAGGATGATGAGTGCCTACCTCAATTTTGCTTGGGCGTTGAGATATCCATTTCGAGATCACTTCATGTTTCATCCCTTCTTTCGTGCGACGGATTGCCGTACCTGTTCAAGCTCTGTCGTACGCTGATACCCGAAGGGCAGAGTATTGATCCCCATGCAAGTACATCTCCTCAGTATAGCGACCTTGCTCGCCCGCATATAGACTGGCATCGGTTTCCTCTTTTATCGCAGCTGCGCACATGCAGCATGTCATTCGCGGCCACTTCGTCGCTTTGCATCACGGCGCTGGTGGCGTTATATTCCAGAAAAAAAGTTCCTGTTACAGTAATAGCGATATAGAATACAGTTTCATGATATCTTATACATTGTGCATGTTTGTTTCCCCCTATAGTTTGTTGTGTTGGTGTCTTTTAGTGCTCTCCAGGTGGTCGATCAACTGACTTTTGTGTGCCGCAGACATTCATCTCGCTTCTTTGTGTAGTGGCCAGATACTTTATAGAAACATCGCGTTCCGCCAGAGAAACCATCACCCATCTGGTATTGCTGTTGAATATCGCAAGGCATTCCAGACCACACTGGTTCCGCGATAACGGCCAATCACGTGCATCAAGACCCGTATTTGTACACATCAGCTGCTGTGTCCACCTGGGTGTTATAAAATACTTAATAGTGTGGGGTAAGCACCTAATAGACGGGGTCTAGCGACTACAGTGGGCTTTGTACACTAATATGTCAAGTATCTTATAATACTCGGGTGGTACGGTAACCGCTCTCATCCCGCATACTATTCACCACAAACCAACAGCAGAAGAGCATAGCATCACTTCGTTGACACTTTCCAATCTCCCTTTATAGATACACACATGAGAACGGACAGCACATGAATACGTAGGTTTCCCTGTTTACATCGCACTCAACACAGTCCCATCGACAGGTTCCTTGTGTTTTTGTAACAGACGGCAATCGGAAAGAAGGACATTGGAGTAACGATGGTAATTTTCTAGAAGAAGATCATGTGGGGCAGAAATATGCAGTTTTAGCGATGCCGTGGACATGCGCTTCTTGGTTATATGTTTTTACTTGGGGAAGGAGGAGAATCACATGCGTGGGTGTTTAGGGCAGTTTTTTAGTTTTGGAGAAGAACGATGATGTGGAGAGAAGGTAATGGTGAAAATGTGAGTAGGAGTGTTATATAACCGCTAAATGGGTATATGCGCTTTCTGGCAGATGGAGGAGGGGTGGGCGGTGGGCAGAGGGGCCGAACGGCATCCACTCGATCTTCCAACGATTTTAGGACATCAAACTATGGTGGTGGTATTTTTGATATATTTTCAATCAAACGTGGTCGTAAACATCGCGCACTTTCTGTTGTTCTTTTTGAGAAGAAGAGAAGCGGATTCCCTGGGATCGATTTTTTGGAGAAGTGTTTTTTTAAGGAAAGAGTGAGAGCCGATCTCCATAGGATAATTTCTTGTCTATTTAAGTAGAGTAACAATGTAAAGTACGGGAAGATGCAGACGGTCATCAAAAAGCCGTTGTCCTCTTTTTTAGTCGTGGTTTTACGCGAGTAATATAGAAGAAGAGGGACAACAGAAGACGCTCGTTAGTTGATTGTATCAAAGTTTTTGGCGAATGAAGAACATTGTACGAGTTCCATGCAATTTTTAGTTAGAAAGGGGCAGAAGAGACGGTCTTCGTCATATAAAGCCGGCGGTAATATTTTTGTAAAACAGGATAGAAAGTGCATGATAGAAGGACTGCAAGTATGCGTGACGCACGAGATTTTTATATAATCCGAAGCGTGGGAGGCAGTTATAGAAGGTAGGTAGTTTCTAGAAAGCCAGCTCGAGGCCGTAAGGTACAAACACGACCCACGACTTTTGGTGAACAGCGGGATACTATCTCCGCCAGCATCTACAGTTTGGGGGAAGTCAACAAGCAATATGATTCATAGTGAGAATCGTTTTAGTGGAAAGAGCCAGGAACTCAGAAACATTTTACTGTTCTTCTATCTTTTTAGGATAATATAGGACAGGGTAAGGGATTAGGGAAGAAGTCGGTGCCTACGGCAGCTTTATAGACCTGCCGGGTTGGAAAAAAGAAGCTAGTGTATTTAAAGCCAGCAGAACACCATTATAGCGGCGAACTGGTGTTTAAGAACAAATTTAACCTGTGTTTTCGTTGATTTCATCGCGTTATGGGCAAGGCCACAACGCAGAGCACATCAAGTTTTCTGGAATCCATTTTTGATATAGACAGAATTTTTTGGGCCAGGACATAACAAGTGCTTGTATATTCTTTTAGTGTGAGAAAGGGACACTTAAGGGGGCAGCTTGGCTTGGAAGGCCCAAGAATGTGGAAGTTTTGAAAGCGAGTTAAAGAGAAAAATGTATGTAAAAGAGTGTATCGAAGAAGAGACACTCACGCACTCCGCATCAATGCGAGCATCTTGATTGTATACAGGCGAAGGAAAGTTTTGGTATGTTTGAGACATCCAGAACTTCAGCAGCCTATTTTAGAATGAGGCAGTCATCCCTCCAACTGCCTCAATTTTATGGAATATAACAATAAGTTTCTGGTAATGAAGGAGTAAGGAAGCAAGACAGACAGAAATTTTTATAGTGAGAAGTCAGGTGCCAAACCAGCATGGCACCTCCTGGAGTAAATCTGGAAAGACACATGGCATTCCTTCATGCTTATTTTAGTTTAAGCATTTGGGAATGCCACAGAAGCAATGAGTGCGGTGGGGTGTAATTTGGAATGAAGTACCTTTTTCGTCTATCATGATAGTTTAGAAAGTAGCATGGACAAGAGCCTACGCAGTAGAAGTCGGGGAAATTAGATCAAGCCGCCAGCATGAGTGTATTTGATCCATTTTTTGAGACTAGCAAACATAAAGTACTCATTTTCTTTTTAGAAGCAATGAAAGTGGAAGAAAGTAAGCGGAAGAGGGAATGAAGACTGACGCGGAGGTCAGCGGAATTTATACTCCGAAGCAACCATTTCGCCTATCTAGAGTGAGTTTTAGGTGCAGAGGCGCAGGGAAGAACGAACATGCGTCTGATGCGCGAGCGCTGTTTGTCATGGGGTAGTCTTCTTGTGTTTTACTGCACATCGACTCAATTTGCACATATTTTTTCAACAAAGCCATGGTACCGTCAATTTAATAATAAGAAAATCGATATTACAGAGAGCATGATCCCAATATGTGGCTGAGTCGGCGAGAGATTTTACAATGCTTCTTTTCCACACAGCAGTGGTCCATAAGGTCAAACTGCTGAAAATTTCAAGAAAGGAGAAGGCGACATGAAGCCTCTGAGCGAAATTTTAGTTTAAAGGAATGCAGTAAAGAAGAAAGAGAAAGACCAGCGAGGTATAGACTTTATACCACCCATTCTGCGCTTTGACCAGGTTTATCGCCAGTTAAGACTCCGTCTCCCTACATTTTTTTGAACGCCACCAGTAAAGCTCATCGAAAGCTGGAGTGTAATTTTTGAGATTTTTTATCATGTGTTTCAATCACACACGATAATTGACCTTGTTTTACTAGATTTTTGGAACCATCATAGGCGTACTTCAACCCCGAAGCATACGCTGGATATCCATTTTTTGTGATAGAAGAGGAAGGAAAGAGAGCGCAGAGAATCTGAATTTTATAGCTACTGAGTTCCCCACTTCTCATTCCTCTTTGAGAAGGTTTGTTTCGCCTTTGAGAGGGTATATAAAGGACACAGCGGCCCCAAAAATATGTTACAGGTTTTCCATGTCTCCGTGGACATCGACTGATTTGTTGCAGTTTTAATGCTACGGCCGCATTCAAGTAACAACAGTACGAATTTTAGGAACGCTTTCGGAGGAACAGGGACATTAGACAGGCCTGGACAGCTTTTGATAATTCAAGAATTTCAATCCCGCAAGGAACATCCGTATGTCGCTTTCTGACTTTAGAAACGAACCAACATTCCTCTTTTGGGGTATCACTTTAGTACAAAGAGGTAAGAACTGTAAGGCTAAATAGTCCAGGTAAGTAAGAGAAGCCACGGATTTTAATGCATAGCCCTAGTGCCCAAACAGCACAACATTTAGAGCCCAACGAACAAACTTTTAGAAATATAGAATAGGCAAGCCTGTATTTTGAAAATTCTCGAAATATGCACAATTTATGTTACTGTTTCAGGGACGAGAGGGCCACCAGAAGCATCTCTTCACTATTTGTGTGTTTCAGCTGAAGCGGTAGACTCAGTAAAGAACATAGAAGATTGCGGATGATATTTTAAGAAAGAACAGGCCATCAGAAACTTTGATAAAAGGTACAGGTATTTCTTAGTACCGCGTAGTCGAGGCGGCGGACAATATGGACCGGTGGAGGGATTTTTGGAAAAGCAGACATGCCATGGACTGCCCTAAGTTTTAGTGTTTTTGGAATATAGAAAGAAGGTAGATGTAAGAAGAAAGGAACCAGAGCAGCGGAAGTGAAGGTTTTATATACATCCCCGGTTAGCGCCAACCCCAAGTCATGGAAATATGTTTTGAGTGTTTTAGCTGTGTGAGCAGCCACATGAAGGCCAGCACATGCAAAGTAACTTAGTTTTGCAAAAACTGCATATCAACGTCTTATGCGCGGAATTTTGATAAACCCGAAAGCGTTTCAACGGAGCATGTGGGCTTCAGACTGTATTTTCTAGTACAGGAGCGATCTTCTCCAACATCGTTTCGTCGATTGTGTTTTTGGAATCCAAATCCCACATGGAATCGTCCGACGTTGATTTTAAACCACACCATACCACGTGTAGCTTCTCGTTTTTAGAAATCAGAACACCAGGCGCACCCATAAACCTGAAGCACTAGAAATTTTGATAAATACCAGGAGAACACCAGTCCAGGCACATGTATACGTTGAGCCTTGATTTGTTTTAATAAATAGCAGGAGAAAGACGGAAAGAAGAAAGAAAGAAGAAAGTGGATAGGGGACTAGCTTTTATACGCCCCTCGCATCAGGTGCAGCGCTCTTCATCTTTCGGAAACAGCGGGACACATAGATGTAAATCCAGTGGGTTTTGATCCTCAGACTTCCCAGTAGCGGGAGAAGAGATACGTCTTGAGTGGTTAATTCCAGATGTTTTCCGACTCCCCCCAGGACGCAAACATACCGTGTTTGCTGTAAATTTTTCGGTGGACAGACATATCGCGAGCATCAAATCTTTTTCAGTAAAATGAATTTTGGAACAGCAGTTTTAGGCATCTATGGAGAAGGAAAAGAACAGGAGAGAACCATCACAGATAATTTTGCGCTTTTTAGAAAGAGGAAAGAGGGCAGACATCTTGCATCATAGGTTGGTTTTGTAGAAAAAGATGTTTTCAGGTGTGGATGGTGAGGGAAAGAGGAGAGGAGGAAGTAGAGGAAGGGAGGGTTTATATAGACGAGGAGGGCCTTGGGATGAGGGTGCTGGTCACGTTATATTCTTCAAAAACAGTTGAATATGACACAGTCGGATTCCAGGCACGTGTGCGTGCTGAAAAACTTACATGCCTTACATACTCATTTTCTCGCGCTTTTTGATTGTAGGGGTATCACTGTCGCATCCTCCTACTCCGCATCAGCATCCCCTTATGAGATCTCGCCACACGTATAGATAGATCATGAATAAAACGTATACACCCAACGCCCCCCAATGCAACAACCCGACCCTCTCCTTACTTCCGTCCAATACTAAACCCTCTCGTCATGTAATCCGCACTATTCTTCTTATCTGGCTTATGCTCGTTGTTGTGGAACAAGGTATTCACATTATCATTCTGCGCCATCTTTCTCCTCTTATTCCTCTCCTCTTGTTCGGCTAGCACCTTGCGCGTCAGCGATGCCGTGGCGCTGTTTTTAATACCACCCGCACTAGGAGCTTCTTTCTTGTCTTTCGTTTCCTTCTTTGCGGTTTTATCGTCGTCGGATGAGGAGGGTTTTGCGATTGCAACCGCATCACCGTTTGCTTCTTTCTCGGCGTGTTTTCGCTTCTTCTTACTGCTGCCCGGTGCCTTCTTGAGCGCATGTGTGAGGCCCTTTTCCCTGAGCGTCTTGATGCGGAGATTGAGGCGCGCAATGTCTGTCGGTGCAGTGGGTGCGATGGGGATAACGTCGTTTTCAGCAAAAGGCTCGTTGCACTGCGACCCGCATTAGCCATAACCCTGACACTATCGTAGTCTGTCGATGAACTTACCGTTAAGCATGCATTCCCAGCGATTTCCTTGACCGTACTCCCCGCAAAGGCATGTCCACAAGGAACAATGTACACGCCCTTGCTTCCTGGTCCTAATGCCGCCCCGGTGATGGGACATTTCCACTTCTCGGCGCCTACAGCACCGCCCTCCTTCTCTTCAATTTCAAACTTGACCTCGACAACATCCTTCAATCCCTTGACACGGTCGCCGAAAGTACCTAGCTCGGAGTCCTTTACGCCGCCAACCTTCTTCATCTCAGCCTTCTCCGCATCCCCATCCTCCTTGAGCAAGAACTCGATAATCGAGTCTTTATTGTATAGAAACCCTGCGGCATCGGATACCACAGGCCGGGCGAGAGGTTTCCGCGTGAGTGGGTCAGTCGACCAGGCGTATTCTTGTTGCTCGTTTTGCGCTTCTTTGATTTGCGCGGTAGTCAGGGCTTTTGCGGCTTCTTTGACGAGTTCGCTACGTTTGGGGATGGAGCCGCCGTCGTTACCCATGGTGGGTAGGTATGCGCGGGGTTGGTAGGCGTTGTTGTATATGGGTGGAGTGGCGCGGAAGTGGTGATTGTCATGTCGCGTTGCGGCGAAGCGGAGGTTTGAGTAGTTTTGGGACGTCACGTGCCGACCTACTACCCTCCATGGATTCATCATTTAACCAAGAGAAGCAGATCCATAATCAAAAATTCTAGCAATAGTTAGAACTCATCGTCTCGATATTTGTGCTGTGTTTATATGATACAAATATACTGTACAAGGCCCTCAAGCCCCCATCCTTTTGAACGCCTCATAAATGTCATAGCCTACATATCTCTCGTTGTTCGCCGGGCATTCGTGACCTGAGGCGAGTACATAACTCTTCGCTCCGATCTCTCAACCTGTTTATTCCACTCCTTCTTCCAAGCTGGTATGTTGTCAGGGCTCCTGCTTGTCTCTCTCATCTCTTCCGCAGGCCCACCACTGTCCTTATTCTCTTTAACCGCATGCCTGTGTTGATATGGGTTTAACCCATTCTCTTTTTTCGCAACCCTGGGGTAATATCCCCTTAAATTCGGCGGTGGATCCCAACCTTTTTCTATTCGACTGTCTTTGAAACGTACTCTTTGAATGAATGACGAGAGCGTCGCTCTCGCAGCCTTGAACGGACTTTTTGCCTCCTCGGCTATGAGATTTGAGTGGATCAACTTGTCATAAACACCATGGATCCTCCTCAGTGCAAAAACGGCATGTTGCTTTTCCTCGCCCCCCAGAGGCTGCGGACTTGAAAACCTGCTCGATTCTTTTTCTCCACCACCAACCCCGAGCTGTAAGCGAATGTTCTTGCAAACAGGGTGGAGCAGGGTAAGTGCATCGATGAGATCCGAGCCTTTGGCTAGAGGGAAACTAGTCGCAAGGTCGGCGTACATGGCGACGGCCCTGGAATCAGCGTCCTCCATGACCTTGAGCATAATCTGTAGGATGTGACCCGCATTTTTGAGAGATTTGTGATTGTTCTTGTCACGCACACAGGTGCTCATTGCAATCCTTAACATGCCGGCCGTAGGCGTGAAGCCCTTATCCAACATACGGCATTTAAGAAGTTGAACAGCTTCACCAGAAGCGCGGTTCTGGCGCAAGACGCGTAGACGCTGGGAGACGTTGTTGTGATCGGGGCTGACGTTGTAGGTGCCCGGGTCCGTCAAGATGTCCCAATAGCCGAGGGCGGCCTTAGTGGCGACTATCTTTTGACAGGCTTCTTGGAGTAAAGAGAGCGTGTTGTTACCCGGTTGAGCGTATATGAGGGGATTCGGTACGACGGCTCCAACACCACGGGGCGTCAGCGCAAGAAACTCGTCACCGCGCACGGGGGTGTTATCTGGGGATAGGTGGTCGTCGTCAAAGCGGTATTCCTGTGGCACGTTCGGGGCTCGTAGGCGCGGTAGACCAGCTTCTTCCCTTGCGGTGGAGCCCAGCCGCGGAACGAGGCGTGGGATGTCCATTGTCTGCTCGATTAGCGAGAGGACATCGTCCCAATCTCGTGGTCGGCTTCCCACCAACAACAGCCTCCCCATGGCGCACACCAGGTCTTCGTCGATGATCAGATCAGCGCGCCGCCACCTCCCCACAATGTCTTCCCACATGCGACGTCCTTCCATGATGCCACGCTCCCTTCTTGCCGCCGTCTCTTCTTCGCTTTCCCCCTTGGGTGCATCGATGATCAGACTCTGGCGTATAGCCGTTAGGATGGTCATGTAAGTGATGGCGTTCGCAGCTGCCGGCCCGCTTTCTGGTATCTTGCCAGCAATACCCCACAAGGCATCCATGTTCCCCGCTCTTGCACAGACGCTAAGTGCAGCATTTGTGTGGATGATGGACGGTTCAACGCGCGAGTTGGGGGCGAAGAGGGAGTGGTATATGGTCAAGGCTTTTTCGACGATGCCGGATGTTTGTGCATTAGTTGCTAAACCTCCTAAGATGATGGTGTACGTGTAGGAATCTGGGAATTGGCCGCGCTTCTTCATCTACTACCATGTCAGCCTTAGCCCCGCATACTCGATGCATACTATCCATACCTCGTTGTATACCTTGAGCGCATCGTTGACTCTGCCGTCTGCTAGCTTGTGATTGATGATGTGGTTCCAGCTGACAACGCACATCATCGAGTGACATGCCATGCGCACCAGCTGCAGCATCTCGTCCTCCTTGCCCTTGGCGAGCTCTTGCTTGACAAAATTGGCCAGATCTAGCGGATCCTGTAGATGTCGCAACTCCCTCTTCCTCCTATCCCAGTCGCTATTCGACATGCGAGGGTCGCGGGGGCCCAGCTTGGCTAGATTGGGCGTCTCATATCGTGCAGGTTTTTCCCTCATGGCCGCGAGTTCCCTCTTCTTCCGGTTCGCGGCGAAAGCCGACGTCTTGAACGAGTCTCCTGCCCATGGCGGGGAAAAAGGCAATTCACGCAGTCTTTGCTTGTACTCCTTGGTGTCGCTACGTAGTCGGCGCTGGCCATGGGTAAAGAGAAAGACATTAGACACATTGGTGGGCGGGACATGTCGCGGTTGTATGCATGGCCAAAGGCTCGCACGACAATTGAACATGAGGCCGGGTGGGCGGTTCGTTATGTGCAAGAGGCAGCCGTTTGACGTCGGCAGGAAAAAAGTTGGCCGTGTTCGGCTTGGGGGTATTCGGTAGCGGGCCGAAGTTATCAGGCACGTGATCAGGCGTAGTACTACACAATGGCTACATGGATGTAGGATGCATGGATGCGGCTGTCAGGGCGGAAAATCAATCACACATCAGGCCTAAGCCAGCCCACGCCTCACTCTAGCAGCTTTGGTCGCAACCGTCAGCAAGGCTGAACCTACACCACGCGCGACCGAGTCGACGGAGCCGAAGCAGCACTATAACGCGGGAGAGCAAGGCCAGGGCCACCAGCATACAGTAGGGCTTACAATCCTTCCCCCTCTAAACCCGGCACAACAAAGTAAACTACTGGCAGAGTGCCGGGCTTAGATCGCGAAGCTAACGCAAGACATACCGTACGATTCCCTTGTTCCTGCCTTGCCCCGTCCGCTTGTTTACTAACAGTCTAGGAGTCTAGCGACGGACAGGACGACCGTCTCAGTCTCTTGATCGGTAAGCAGAATCGGAGCATTTTGCATCCTTCTCACAGCAGCAGCAGCAGCAGCAGCGCCAACGTGGCGGCATCAAGGTTTGCGATAGTGGTAGACAGGTCCTACTAGACTTGTCCAAGTATCCAGATGGGCGGCATAGGTGGTTGCAGGGAGGGTTGCGTGACTAGGTTGGTGCGAGGCAGCCAACGCCGCTCCATGGACGGCTTTTGAAGCCGCTGTCTTGTATCGTGTGCGCTGTACGAGGTGGGTAAGCAGGTCTTGTGTGTACAGTAGTTGAAGCTTGTGTGGCCCCAATCTATCCCATCACCGTCCCTGGATGCGTCATTCTGCATCACGTTCTGCTGCAACACCTGGTGCTCTGTATGCGCTCGCTGGCCCTGCTGTCTTACCTGCAAAACATCCGACAGTAGTCGCACTGCATCAGTGCATCTCCACCATCTCCACCATCTGCCACCCCTCGTCCCTCGTGGCATCGGGACGAATCCTTCGAGCGGTGCAAAACTAATGTCGTGTAACCAGCCCGTGAGCCACGCCTCGGACCAGCAGCACGCCAGCCCAGCTCAGCCAAAACGATGCACCTGTGATGCTAGTTTCCGCCGTCAGATCATGGCCGGGCGCGCCGTTGTGTCTGTCACGCCAGCCAGCGCCAGAAGCTCCCCTGGCTAGCTTCACAGCGCCCCAAGCCCATGCCCAACGGCGGCGCCTGCAAAACAAACCGAGACCAGCACGCCTGTCCGGGGCAAGCAAAGCCAGTCTAATCTGACAACGGTTGATGTGCCGCTAATGGGCGATCTTGCAGATGCGACCTACTCAGATGCTAGCGTATCCAAGTACACGTCGCCGACTTTGTTCTGCTACCACCACCATCAGTACCTGGCCTGTCTAATCATCGTGGTATCAGTATGGCTGTGGGGGACTCCAAGGCATGTCAATCACATCCCGGCACAACTTGCCGTGCCCACTCAGTCTTTGTTGAATGCAAGCTATGTCGGCAATCTTGTCCAGGGCGGCAGAAATTTTCTTCTTTGCCATCTGTTTTTGTCTATGCCGGCCCGCGAGGTTTTGCCGTGCGAATAGAAAAAAAATAAATGTCGCGTCATCAATGCGTGCGGCATTTCGCGTGGCACTGCCCAACGCAATCACCATCGGATTGTTGGCCAAGCCCAGCCAGCCAACTCTGCGCATCCGGAAAGAAAAGGAAAATCTCTCACAAGACTTGAAGACACCACTCCACCGCTTTGCACAGACCGCCATCTTGCTTTGCACATGGACGTCAGTTGGAGTGCGCCACGGGAGATATTTTCGCCAGCTCATCACTGCATCGTTTCCATCTCTCCGGCACACTCCACTCTGTCATGTCATGTTGCGGAAACTGTCGCATGACCGAGACACAAATTCCGTCTTGGAAATGCTTCCTGGTTCTTGTGCAATGGTCATCGATGACACGGAGTCGACCAAGTAACAAGCCACACACATGCTGCCCACCCTCGGTCTTGTTATTACTTACAGAAGGTCAGCCCCGTGCTGCTCACCCCGACTCGTCCTATCAGCAATCAAAAATGCTGCAATACCATCGTCACACAGTCAACGTCTCTGCTGCACGCGAGACGAACACACACACAGAGACACGGAGGAGGCATACCTGCCCCCATCGGCGCCGAGCCAATCCGCCAATCCATGCCGCTGCTCGGCAAATCACTACAGATTAAACAGATTAATCAATATGTACACCGTACTTCTACCGTACGTATGCATCAAACGGAAACAAAGGCGATTATGCAGCCATGATCCGAACATGTCATACATACTTATCATATCACCGGCCCTACCCTCCTTCCTCTTTCGACCCAGTATCGCGAGGCAAGTACCCCAGGCAAGATCTCAGTCCAATACGAAGACCCCCGTACATTGCCGCTTGTATTGGAGATTGGGCCTGGTTATCCCCGGAATACGAAGGGATATGGGAAGACCGACCCTCTCCCCGTTGACCGATGTGGTGCCAGCGTTCCCCTCCCTCTTCCGAGCGTTTCCTTTGCCTCGTGAATGCCCGTTTTTAGTCGTGCTCGGCGTTATACGGGTATGCGAGATTGATGACCGACCGTGTGAACCCTCCCCGTGGCTTCTTGGAACCGCACATGTGATGCTAGTTGCGCATACAAGTAACCTACAACCGCTGACGTGCAATTGACCTGATTTGATTGGCGCGTCTGGCGTCAAAATAAAATAAAAATAAAAATAACAAACAAATCTTCGCCCTCAATTGCCTTGTTCGGCTACCCCTGTACACATTTGTCTACACACCACCTAGATGCTCCGAATCATCATCATCATCACCATCAGCATTACATCCTGCTAACCATGCCTTACACACTTACGGCATTACATACGGCATCCAGATACCCATACCCCAGAAACGACCGCACGTAACACGGCTCCCCCCTCTGTTATCCCATGCAAGCGTCAAAGGTAACACGGTGTTACATGTTTGCGAGTGGCTTTCTCTATTCCAAACGGCCTCACCGTTTAAAAATTATGGTCTGATTCCTGCGTTCCAAGAAAAAATCTCGCGCGCGCGCTGCGCAGGGCGCGGAGAGGGCGGAGGGATGCTCGGGCAGTTGGAACGGAATTGTGCCGTCGGGGGGGTGGGACAGGGTTCTACCTTGTTCCGCTTAGGTTTTTTCTTATTGCTGGGAACATTATTGCGGACAAAGAGTAGGGTTAGGTGGGTAGCAGCCGCGGTGGAAGGGTGAAGCGAGGTGGGAAGATCTTCGCTGGCTTGCAGCTCCCTCCGTGCTTTGCTGCACAGCACAGCACAGCACAGGTCAACCGGGTATGACTACATCCGATTATTATTTTGATGATGATGGAAGCACGGGTGCTGGGGAAAACTCTGGTCTTGGTGTGTCCGATGTGTACGGACAAACTATGCGGCTCGCCAAGCCTTCTCTTCTCTGTGCCAGAGTGTGTAATGGACACACATTGGGAGACGACGGCTTCCGATGCCGATGTGGCTGCGAGACCAAAGAGTGTGTCACGGGACATGCCGCAAAATGTACATGTCATTTGTAAAATGAGAGAGAAGAAAGCAAGCAAGAAAATTTTCCTCTTCCCGCCATATGCTCCTCGTGTGGCTGAACCATCAGTCAGTTTGGCTGTGTATGGTAATTTGCCATCTCATTCTAATCTCTCTTGTGCCAGACAGGACAAAGAAACGACAAGAGAGACAGGCAGAAAAGTGCGGGGAAAGCATAAGGGCGCGCCCGCCTATCTCTCTTTTTCCTTTCCATGGGCGGCAGGCGGGCGGGCGCACGTCACAAGGACACAACGTGCCATGTACAATATATGCGACGCAAGCAACGCACAAAACGGCGACCATGGTTCCAACAAGGCGCCTGGTTCGGGCATTAGGCCCGACCACACATTTCTCTCGACTTGGCCATCTCATTCTTGTCTGTCGGGAACACACGACACGGCAGAAACGCGTTACCGCCGCGTCCGCGATCGCTCATGACTTGCTTTTTTAGAGCCAGTGCCCGAGCAGAAAAAAGCTTTTTTTTGTACTTCCGCAACGTATCAAGTCGCATGACCCAGTCGATACCAAGAGAGAGAAGCACCGATGAGCTTTTGCAGCAAGGTGAGATTGCTAGCGACTCGATGCGAGGCAGACAGCCGGCTTTTCGTTCGTTCCACGTTGTCTTGTGCGAGGGCACAAGCAGCCGACACACGCACCTCTGGCTCTCCAATGCCATGTCCGAGTCAGCAGCTGCCTGTGATGCCTGGCGCAAAGGTCAGCAGCAACGGCAAAGATGAATTCATGTGTAATTTTGCTTGGTAGTGAGAAATTCAATCAATTGTTTCTTTCTGTTCGAACTCCGTTTCACATGCAGTCGTTCTAGCCTCAAGAATGAGAAGTGCAGAACCAAGAAAATTTTGAACATATTCCCACACGTCCATGACTCAAGACTTGGGAACGCCCGGAATGAAAGAACAGCTGAAAAGCGACATGCATCAGACTCCAGTAACCGCTATGAAATACTCTTCCAATGTATGGAACACTTTGAACCATTGTACCAACTCTTACGCGATGATCTGTCATAAACCAGAGCCAATCTGAGCCTCGTCGCTCATTGAAAACCTTTCATCGTAAACACCGCCAATTAGAAAAAATACAGCCACCATCGAGGTTAATGCAGTCGCCACCGTAATGATGCTGTAAGCGCCGCAGGAAGCCGCGATACGGACACAGAGAGCCACCCTAAGGAGAGTCGTCAAAGTTTCGCTTGCGCTTTCGGGAAAAGCAGGCGAGAATGCGTATTGAGAGATGTTCGGACCGTGTAAAATTCAGACTCGTTCACCTCCTAGTGGTTTTGCTGATACATTTGCGGGTTCTGTCCGTAGGGTGATTGTGGGTAACTGCTGCTGTTACTATTGGGACTGTTGTATGCATTGCTGCTGGGGGTGGCATACTGAGCCATGCCGTCAGGAAGACCCGGACTCTGAGTGCCGTACTGAGGAGCAGCCGTGTTTCCAGAGGCGGCAGGTTGATACCCGATGGGAGGGAGTTGAGGGTGTTGAGGAGGTTGCCCGGGCACACCGACTGCCTGTCGCATCTGTCCGTAGGCAGGGACTTCGGGCGCGCCTCCCTCGTGAGCGCGTTGCTGCACGTCGGCCCGGTGTCGCTCTTCATCAGCCTTGCGTGCGGCCTCTTCCTCCTTCTTCTTCGCCTTCCACTCTTTCCGGATTTCCTTGAATTCTGTAGGGTTGGGTTAGCATGTCATATTAGAGAAGTGATATTGTGCCAAGATAAAATTGGCATGGGTCGACAGGTGTTAGCTTCCGTCATCTGAAGCTATCCAACAGTGGGGACGCGACCGATATGGCGCTGCACCAACACGATCCCAAGTGCCAACCTAGCGTGCTAGCCTTGCAAGGGCCAACGAGACTTGACGACTACGATGAGATTGATAACACTTACCTTCTGGTGTGCGCTTTGCACCATGCGATTGCATAGTGACGTGTGCATTCAAATGGTTCAATGTCCCGTAGGCCTTTTCACAACCATTCCAGCCGCACTTGTACATTCGCTCAATTTCTTCATATCGCCGGCGTGGTCGCTTATGCTGTTGCGCGCCGGGAATGGGAACAAAAGAATAAACTGTGGATAGCGGATGTCCGCCCTGAGCAAGGTGTTAGTCGTCAAGGTCATGTTGAAGGTGTGCATGACGCGTAATGTTCACGCTTTAGGTGTTGGTGTATCAAGGGTAGTTGACTTACAGTTGGGGGTCGCTGTACCGGAGAAACCATCGCAGGTGCAGGGGGACCTGAAGTCGCAGGGTGGCCATAATGCATACCTGGTTGCGGGTAGTGGCCTGCCCACTCAGGTCGCGAGGCGTAACCCATTGGTGTTTGGGGTTGACCCGGATAATGCTGCATGTCGTGATGTGGGGTATAAGGCGAGTATTGCTGCTGCTGGTGGCTTGCATAAGTTGGGCTCGTCTGAGCGGCGATTGATGGATCTATAGGAACATCCGAGTCAGACTTGAGTTGTTGCGGTGCTTGATGACCATTTGGACCATCTGGGATAGACATTGACGGACTCTGTTGTTGCGCCATACCACCGGGAGCTTGCCCTTGGGCGCCGGGTTGATACGAACGTTGAATGTACTCGGGGAACGAGCCTGATCTCGCAGACGAAGGGTTCAGACTGTAGTCTGAACTCGGAGTGAGGTTGGAAGATCGTGGGTCTGGTCCCGAGGGAGGATATTGCGCAGCAGATGCTTGATCTGCAGAGGTTCCCTCAGAAGCTGCTTCAGGAAAGGTTGGGTAGGGCGAGTGCAAACCTGACTGCGGGTAGTCTGCTTGTCGTGCGTCCATAGACTGTGTAGATTGGCGAGAGGTCGAGGTAGCTAGGCTCTAAACTGAGGTTGGATGGTTGGATGGATGCGCCCACGACGAGGGATGACTGCAGAGATATGTCCGTCGCAAACCGTCTACGGATGATTTGCCGCGGTCTGTGGAAGACAGGCAGCTAGAGCGTATAAAGACGTAGGCTGGGTCAGGCCAAGGAGTGCACAGCCAGAAAACCGGAGAAGCAATGTGGTCAGGACGTAGTAGCGTGGAAGTTAAACGCGGATGATTTGCAGACGGTGTGTTTTCCACAACGCCCAGGTGGAGGACAAGCAGTTCGGCAAATATGCACCGTCGAAAAGATAACGCACGGAAGGTGCAAGGTCGAGAGCACCGGGGCAGGGGAGGTAGCTAGCGGGATGGGATGTCTCGAATCGCGGAGCAGCTGGCGCAGTGCAGAAAGTGAAGTGCAACGCAAAGGTTACACAATCTGGAGCTAGTGGAGAGGTCGCTCGCAAGCGGGTCTGGCTGGCTGGGGCGAAAGTGAATTTGGAACACTGCTAGTGACAGCGCGGTCTAAGAGCTTTTAGACCAGTGGCGTGCGTCTTGAGGTGGCCGCCAATGGGCGGGTCTGGAGGCGATGCAGCTTACCCAGCAAGCCTTAGCACAGCTGATGAGGTAATGGGCGGCCGGACCAGGATTCAATCACAGTCGGTAAAGCCGAGCCGTAACAGTGGGAATGGTTGCTGTTCTGGGTGGACGGGCTAGCACGAGGTTGGGCTGGCGCAATGAGCAAAAGTGTGGGACGCTTGGACGTGCTCGAGGTGGGCTCGCGCAGCCTGTGTGAGGGGCGTGCGTGGTGCGGGTCCGTGGGTAGGATTGCGCTAGTGACGACGAAGAAACCGGGTTGGGATGAGCTTGTTCGCCGAGGGTGAAGGGGCCACAGAGTCGTCACTCTGGGATGCGCGGCCCTGACTGGCTGCGGGCGCAGTGCTGGGGGCGACAACACATCGGCCCGTTGTCGAGTCGATGACTGAAACTTTCGCTTTCACTCTGGTTCTCCCAGCGCTCTCTGTCCCAGAAAGCTCAACTACGCCGAGCGTGCCGAGTGATCAGCCTCTTGTCCGGCCGGGCTTCCGTGCACGTCGACAGCGACTGCCAGACGTGGGTTCCAGATGCAAATTGCGCGCAGCGAGCGCTGGCAGGTGCTGCACACGCGGCGAAAGCTCGTGATGACGCTCGCGCGACAGATGCACGTGAGTGGGCCGACAAGGAGGGCGATCTGGGGCCTTGTTTTATGCGCGCAGTTTGTTTGACTCGTGGGCGCGAGTGTCAAGAGCGTGTCTGATTGAGTGCAAGACGGGTTCAAGACTCTGCTCCCACTCGAGGCGCCGGGAGGGCGGCGATCTCGTTGCTGGTGGCAGTTGCACGTGTGGTAGCACTGCGGGCGCGCGATCTGGTGCGCCTGGGGCAGCGAGCTATCACCGGTGACGGCAGCGCGTTAGGGCGAGGTACCGGGCACGCTGGTGATGGTGGTTGACCAGCTTCAGATTCGCGATGTAGGCTAAGGCGACGACTAACACAGAAGATGGTTAGACGGCGAGGAGGGAGGGCACTAGTGAGAAAAATAGCCCGACGACCAAAGCACGGGGCGCCGCTGACTAACAGCGCAGCCGTATTGACCGCCCTTTGCACGCCCACGCCCGTTTGCAGGCGCGCCCACCGGCTGCCAGCCTCGGTCTTGGGCGCCCCCTCCCCTCCCAGACTGTGCAGTGCAGGCGTGGGTGAGGGCACGTTGTGGTGTCGTCGCCCGTAGTCGCCCGTCTGGTGGACTGACAGCTCCGACGTGCAAAGAAGAATTGGGACGATGCGATGAGGCTGAAGGCTAGCACTCGCGCTAGACGCGGCATGGTACAGTCGCGTGAAGCCTAGTAACCAAACCTCGTTAGATGAAGCCTAGTCAACTGGCAATGCTGGAGAACAACGTCCAAGGAACAACCATTCCATCTACCATCCACAACACCACGCCCACGCCCAACTTCATGCCTTGCTGTTTGAAAACTTGCAAACATCACGGCCACACCCTCACACCACACGCAAGCCGGCCTTTTGCGGGCCTCGGCAAGAGCGGCCTGCACAGCGACTGCATGCAAATATTGGGACACGGCACAGACCTCGACGACCGGCAATTATGCCTAATGCGTCCAAAAGAGCGAAACCGAAGCGACCTCATCATTGCGGTGTGAATGAAAAGCAACCTGCCACGGATAGGGGACGGCTGCGACCCGTCCATTGCCGTCATGCTGAGAAAAGAGACATGATAATCGGCCACGTTATTCTCAAGGTCTTGCTGCCGCAGCTGCCGGCTTTCTTGCTGCTTTGCTGCTCCCAAAGTCATCTGACTAGATTGCCCGTGGTATGAGCCCGAGAGTTTCTCCCTCGCCGCGATTGCCATGCTAAGCACGGCAGCTAGGCCCACTTGCTGAGACCCACGAAAGAATGTCGTGTGTTTTGCTGGCCGTCGACATGATGACCATGACCAGTTTCACCGTCGCCCATATTCCCTCTTTTGCAGTAATCCATTTCACATGTTTTTGAGTAATGGGTCCATCCCTGCTCCACGGTCAGCAGACCGGACGTTGCTGCATCTACCCTCGTATGCACCTTGAAGTTGCCATATCTCGCCATTCTGCTCACACCTGTGGCGTCGAGCACACGAAAACGTGGAAAGTCGCCTAGCACTGTGTCTCGCTGCTGTCAGCGTGCGAAAAGTGGGCCCCGCCTTTCTCGTGTATCTTTCGCGCTGCAGCTGCAATGTGCGAGTCTCATCAACATGGGTGGCTGCCTCTTCACCCTCAATTCGTCATGTTCACACCCACCCCAGTAGACGACGTGGCCTGCTTTCTACCCATCCTAGGGGGGATACGCATCCCTTGCGCATAACGGATGTAGGATGCAATGGCTTACCGATACATTCCTGGCTTCATGCCCCAGATCTAGCTATCCGCATCCGATGAGCTACCCCCCCCCCCCCAGTCGCACGCCCATAGTTGCGGCTGGGGCCCAGCTGAATGTGCTCGTCATAGACATTTTTAATAATTGAATCACATAGCGAAGTCGCTCCGCATCTATAGGAGCTCGTCAAAATTTGCGCCTCGTCTATGAAGCGCGCCAACGTGATTGGGCGTTTTGACACCAAGAACTAATCTGACCCCAGGATGAATACGACCAGATGCCACTAACTATCGCACGCCGTCGAACGGGAGCGGGCGGTAACCTCGATCACAACGCGAACACCACGCCGCGACTAGACTATCTCACTCAACCTCAAGCTTCCGCGAGTGCGAGCCCAGGGCTGTAACTCCACGCTCCTCGTTCATGTCGAGCAAATTTCCACATAGCATTACGACGACGCGCGAATTTGTCTCGGGCGTATCATGGGATGCGGGCTGATTCGAGGGGGCGACATGCTCAGGCCCTTGCCAATACTCTGGTCCCAGGCCTCGTACTGAACATGAGACTGCTGGCCACGACTCGAGCCGTTCGCCTCGTTCCAGTTGGTATTGTCAAGACGCAACCTCAGCTCCGGTAACGAGCGTGTTAGAGCCTGTATCGTTGCCGACAACTAGCCGATGCAAGAGAGGACGTATTCTTAGCCACGGGGTTTACGGCTAATCTAGCACCGCGCTCGTATCCAGGAACGCTCTCCTAGTGAAGGTTGGGCGAGCGGGTGACACTGACAAGGGCCCGCCCCTGTCTGCAGCCCAGAGTGGATCTGTGGCTTTTCCATATCTTCGGTGAAATAGATGCAGAGTCAGGCCGACAGACCCTGGTGGCGGGAAAACAGCGCTCCTAAAGTCAAGCGAAATGCACCTCTGTTCCCCTCCAAAGGCCAAGCACACCGGTGGGAGCGCGGAGTATGCCGGACCATGGATGTTACGATGCGGCTACGACGATGCTGATGGCCGGCCGATTTCGATCCCAGTCTGATTTCTTGGTAGGTACTTGTCAACCCAGTGTCATTCCTGCAACCTCAATGCACATGTGCATCAGCTGTCCATGGTCCGAAATTATTCGCTGGGTTCGTAAACGAATACGCGGCAGTGCGCAGTTCACGGGATACCTTCCGTCCGAAGAAATCGAACGGAGGTGAATTGCCGCTTGCAGCGCTGGGCCTGGATGCATGCGACCTGCGACCTGCGACCCTTGCTCCACGCATGCTCTGCACAGTACGGTATTCTTCCTCCACTAGAACCCCACTAGAAAGCAGCAGAGGTAAAATGTGCACGATTGAATAAGGTGGTGCACGAGTGCACGTACTGTTGCAGATTTGCAGATGCACTCGAACGGGCTGTGATCAGTGATGGACAAGGGCCTATGTAGTCATCACACCCAAAAAAATCCCCTTGGAAATGTATATGCACGTCAACTGTTAGTCGCGTGTGCTGATGATGATGCCATATGCTGTGTGCAACGTCGGCGTGAACTCCGCGTTGTGCCGTTTCAACCTCCCTCACGCTATCGTGGCCTTGTAGCGGTTTGCAAGTTCAGATTCAGTGGTAATGACAAAACATTTGTAAACTTGTCTTGCCGCGCCCTTTCATCACACCTACCATTGCAACGGGGAGCATCTCATCTTACGGTATCGAATCGATCAGCCAGCCCTTGGCCCGTTCCCACTGTGAGTTTGCCACAGCTCTCTACACTGCCTCTGCACCGTTAAATCTTCGGTATGACATCGTTTCGCATGCGCACGCCCACTTTTTCGAGAGTGGGCGTCTAACACCACACAGCCCGTCATATCCGGCAACCCGCGACACCCTTTGCACCACAGCAGTCGGCAGCAGGTGCTACTCCGTGGAGACATGGTTCTCCCATCTAGTAGGTAAAGTATACAATTCTAATCATGATGCTTTTGACAAATAATGCTCCAGCAGGGAGCGATAGGTATCTGCCCGCAACACGCGCATCTGCACCCAGAACGGCCGAAGAATGGCCGGTGTCCGGAGCCCGCAGATCGTCCCCAGACCGGCTTGCCCCGATGTGGTATAGCGACGCTAGCCTGCGCTGTTTGCCTGGTCGCTACCTGCCTCTCTTGGAAGCCTCTCTCTCCTCCTCACTTTCTGAGCCCATGACTACGCATTGCTAGCGCATCTGAGCGCTTCCTGCAACGGACTTCACCACCCCGCCGTGACTTGCTACTGGTAATCATCTTTACAAACTTCGTTGAGAAACCTTGGACTAAATTGCAGGCAGACTCGGATAACTAGGTGCCGCAATCGGCCCATCTCTCAGTAAAACTGTGAAAGGCTCATCACCCGATATGGTCCTGGAATCTTGGATCTACCCGCTTCAAGCGGTCGGAAAGGGTTTCGACGGGCTTCCCCAGTTCCCAACACTTGGAACACGTCGTCTGCCCCCCGTCCAGAATCGATAAAGCTTGTTAGAATTAGTCTACACATTGGGCAGATGAAACGGAGCATGCTGCTGCCACACCGATTCGCCCGCCTATAGCGTTGCCCTAACCCCCAGATTGTCGTCCCCTATGTCGAGCACGAGGTGACAGGCGCGCGTCTTCAGAATGTAGTCCCCACTGGTGACCTGTCAGCCAACTCCCAAATTGCTGTTTGGCCAGTTGTCAAAAAGTGCGAAAGCGAGCTGCACTGTGTGATTTGACCGGTTCAGAATCGTCACTCTTGCAGCTCTTGCAGCTCTTTATGTAAGCCACCAGAAGTCGTCTCGTACACGTCTCCAGACTCGAGTCACACGCATACTCAGCCTCTATCCTATGTCGTCGTTTCTGTGGATCTTGTTGGGCCTCGAAGTGGTCTTTCACTGCAGTGTTGCTAAACTCAACCACACCATCAGACGATCTCGACCACACCATTGTGACCAGAACGCTGGTGGCCAAAGTCGTTGTTTGGTACCGAACCTGATGCACGTTGCCGTCCTTGCCCATAGCAGTGTGCGCTCCCTTCTGACCGCACTACCTCCCGCTAGAAATGCCCCACGAACGAACCAGGATGCAAAGACCTTCTCCGAGGGAATATGACGATTTGGCCCGTCATTTTGGCTTTCTAGGAACCTGTGGGGATAGCTCTAGATCGCAGACGCAGGGTGTTTGATTCTGCGTCTGTCTGGGGGAAATCAGCCCCGATATGACGACGTCAACATTATCCGCTACTGCAAGACGCTGAGCCTGGAAATGTCTTCTTGTCACATGAGAGTAATCACTGACCAGCCATCTGTTCGGGGTCTATGGCCTAAATTGACGACTACGACTCATTATTTTGTAACGATCAACGTACGCTTGTAATCTGTCCGCTTACTTCTTCCCGCACACGCGAATTGCTCGCTCCCTGACTCTCATAGCGTCTCTTGCGCAATCATAGCCATCTCACCAGGCCAGCGGCCGCTCCCAGGCATCGTCGATATGCCCGGTGCATCAGGCTGCGATCCTAGTCCGTACTCTATTTCGACCTCAGTTGCATACGCCGACGTGTTTCATACCTTGGCTGTCGTCAAGTAAGCAGCCGAATGCTCCTCTCGGATTGTACGAGTCACCTATGACGGCGAAGCTGCTATGCGCTGGCTACGAACAGCTCGGCCGTATCCGTGAACATGGACACCCAAGGGGCAGCAGCACTACCAGGAAATTCTAGACCTCAAGTCGGTGTGGTCATGTCTCCTGTACATTCCAAACTATTGACACTGTTGTTCGACAGGGGCACGGTTCTAAAAGAGGAGGTGTTGAGAGGTAGTCTACCTCCCTTTCTTACACCTTCCTACGTCTATTTTTCGTTATCGTGGTCCCATTCTATGTCTTCAACCAAACCCCATGGCATTACTAACAACTCTACAATATCCTGTGGAACAGGATGCGTCATCATAGCCCTTCCTTCGATCGTCGCCTTCGATCGTCGCATTGCTTCATCTTTTTCATCATCCAATCCCGAACTTTCCACTCAATTTCGAATCAGTCGCGCAAGGTCCACATGGTGCTGCATATGCATCATGTACCAATTTTCCATTTGGGAATCAACTCCGACTTTCATTACGAACTCCAACGCTCGAAATCAGTCGTCGTAATCATCATGTGATTGACTCATGAGCGGCGCTCGTAATCTGCTCATATATACTCGCTGTCCAACAACTACAGTTCTCTAAGGGGCATCGTTGTGTTTGGTTCAGTCAGACCCTTCACAGCGTCCGACCCAAGAATACAGCCACAGCCGGATATAAGCCGAAGACCTTTTCTTCACCCACATTCACCTCCGCCATTAGCGATGCCGCCCACGTATTCTTAAGAAAGCCTTGAGCGAACACCTATGGTATACTTTGCCGAGAAAGCCCGAGCTCGGAAGTGTGAGTGACCGCTTATCTCACAATTCGATCATTGTGCATATCTACACGTCGACATGCCCATACAAAACCTGGTTTAGATATCTGCATCTATTTAAGCAGCTCTTTATTGGATACAGCATCACAGCTGTGTGGTACTATAGCAACTGATGACACAGTATCCTTTGTTGGTATGCTCTCGTCATATTCTAGAAGGATGTAGAAAATTCAAAAGAGCTGAACGCAAATGGATTCTATTCGCGTCATCGATGCTATAGTTTTCCATGGTACTGACTTCTTAGTTGAAACGTCAACAAACGTTCGCAACCGCCGGATAACGACCGACCCTGCAGACCTTTTACCCTTCTCCCACCGCACCTCGATCCCATAGAACGTTGCGATCGATCCACAGCCATAGCGCTCCCGTTCCCAATACCAAGCAGCTCATACAAAGTTTAAGATGGTGGTTCTAAGACTCCGTTGTCGGAGTGACTCCTGCAATGGCGGGGTAAATGAGTCGTAGTGGGGGGATCCGGGAAAAAAGCGAAACCACGTTTATGCGCGTGGAAATGTCGCCCGATGCATACAGAAAGTTGTCCATGTATACATCAGACGATTCTGACTCCAGGTTTGTCGCGCAGTAATTATCTGACTCGCTTTCTTCTTCTTTTGGGGACATGCATGGTCGTCTGACACTTTGATATGCACATGCCTGTTGCCTCCGTTTCCGCTTCGTGGAGCTTTCGAATCGTGTTAGTTTCTTCAAAATCACTTTAATGCATCTTGAATATTCGCTGCATACATAAACAAGGAAGGTTGGCTAGGTCTTGATTTGGATTAGCTTACAGCTGTCGTCTATATAAATCGCTCGTCCGCTTTACTATCCCAGACTCTGTGCACACTCCCAAAACTCTTCATTCAAAATCAAAAAGGTGATAGATCATGTCTGCTGCTGTTGGAAAACTAGAAAGTATAATCGGCGATGCTTGTCCGCCTTCTTGTTACCATCTAAATCTTTCCATTCTCCATTTATGATCATTTCAAAAGACATTCAGTAAAGCGTATGCGCGCAAAAGCCGTAGCTCTACACGCTTAATGAGTGCACATGTCTTTTCATGTGTTATTTGGACCTCGCTGTCGGCTTTTCTCTTGTGGTCTAGAGCCGCTGCTTTCCTATTTAAATTCGTCCTCGTCCCCGATTCTTCTCTTCCTACATTCACCAACCATTTCTTCAAATACCTAAATGATCGGAGTCCACGCTGATGACTGGTTCTCTGAAATTGGAAGTAGCACTTAGGATGTTCACTACCTCTTTCCTGCAAAATAATATTATCAGCTGTGCTAGAAACCGACTTGGCGAAGGAAGATGCTGTTCCCTCTTTTTTTCTCAAAACGTTGCTGTGGTGCCTCGATGATTTTCCGCTCTCTTTTGTCGTCTGTACTCAAAAGATGTCCTGAGAGCTGCCATGTTCTCGAGCACTCGACCTCTCTCGTCGGCTTGTTCTAAAAGTACCGCATACGACATCATGTTCTCTGGCACCCGCCCTTTTGGGTGTATATAAAAACGGTGGGCTCACCACTTTCTTATTTCTCCAACACTCCTCTTCTTTCTACCAAAGTCAACAAAACACAGTATGATTTTCTCATGGTATTTCGTTTTCCAAAATTACCTGGGAAACTGGGAATGTGTGTCCTTCTCTGACAGTAAAAACAACGTGCAAAACCCAGTATGTGTTGGTGTAGTGCTAAAAACCTTCCTCGGACACATTCATGTGTTTGGGAGATTTCTTAAAACCGATGCACGATCCAAACATGACTTTGCACTGGCGCATGTGTGAGTGCACAAAATCTTGTCATCGATCTTCATATGTGTTTGGCGGCGTTCTCAAACTGCTCGCACTATGCAGATATGTCCTTGGGCTGGAGCTGGCGCTGGCATATAAATACCACCGCTGCTACCGCTCTTGTTTCCTACCTCTTACCTTCTACATCTTTCGAAAATTCCTGAAATTGGTTACGTCCAAGTCTATGGCGTTCTGGCGTTCTAAACACCGTATGTTACCTGCAATGTGTCCGTTCTTCTGTCTCAACCGAGTGTTCACAACCCTCTATGGTCATTTGGGGAAATCTATGGGAGGCGCAGCACTAGCGATTAAAATCAAACAGCTTTGATCATATGTGGGTGACTTGCGTTCCGCGGGTATATAAATATCTACTGCTGCTGGCTTCCTCTCTTTCTTCTTTATCACCTTTTTCTTTCTCTATACTTTGAAAATATCCGAGACATGGACCTGATGTGTGTGGAGCAAAACGCGAGACTAAAATTCTTCATGTGGCCATCGATGTTCTTCCTCTTTTCCGCGTACAAAAATACTTCTCTACTAAACCCTTGATGCGTCTCCCTCATGTCCAGCGCTGTGGAAACTCAAAAATATCTACGGAACAGATGAATTTGGCTCTGTGGCTTGGAAAAACTTGAGGATAATATACGGCGGTTGACTTACTTTGTTTTCTGCATACTTACCTCTTTACTGAAAAAGTCATCGTCGACCTCACATGTCCTGCGTTGTGGAGACTTAAGAATCAACAGCTATTTCAACATGTGGCTTGGAAGCACCTAAAAACACTCTACATTGGTCGGTATCCTTCTGCCAGTCTAAGTGCAACATCACCTCGTTATCGAAAAACCAAGAGAACAGCTACATGTCCCGCGGTCTTGGAACCTAAAAGTAAAAGTCATGCGCGACATGTTTCCAAGCTTCTTGGATACTTAAACTCTTACCTTCACGCAATCTTCCTCTTCTTTCTTCCTTCTTCTCATAAAATGTCCTCCATCTACTAAAACGGTAGTAACTGAAGAAATGTCTCTTCTTTTGTTCCAGAAATTTACAAGCAACTAAGAAATGTGTCGGGGTGCCTCTTGTGGCCGTGCTTCTATAATTAAATTCCCTGAGGCAGAGACATACTGTGTGCTGACTTTGTCAAAAAGCTAAGTTCTACCTACGCAGTGTGTGGCGGCTGTATGGTGCGGTTAGTTGTGTTGGACACAGTCATCGTTAAAGCAATGTCTGTGCGGTCAGAATCACAATACGAGCGTGATATATTCTCGGAGCTCGGCTTATACTCAAAATCTCTCAAACCGTACGCATCGCTTTCCATGTTTCTCTGGCCAGAAAAAAAACGCACCAAGGTACCATGTTCTGCTTCCTGGCCAGCCATAAAAATGCACTAGGGGCCTTGCAAAATGACTATAAAAGCCATGGATGCAGAGGTCTCCCTTCTACTTCTTTACACGGACCAAAACCTTTGCGCTGGCTACTTGCATATGAACTAAAAGAAAATATGATGCCCACATGTCTGTGGACTGAGGCTCTTCTTAAAATACCGCTTTCACTATCCATGTTTTCTTCTCTTGCACTATTCTCATCCACATCCATTTAAAGGGATTTTCTAAAATATAAGCGGTGCAATCTATGCTGATTCCCTTCCTGGTTTCTAAAATTCAAACTCAACTGTGTCGAAGCATCGAAAACCGCATGTCGACCACTCTATGCGGAGTCTTAAAATCAAATCATAAGAGACATACACAATCTACCTATGTTTCTGGGACCTGGGCGTTACCACCGCCGCTTCTACAACTGTTCTAAAAGCAACAAGACAAAAGTACTATGTTTTCCACAAGTTAACCCAAGTATATGTCATGCAGGACTCGCCATTATGACTGTGTCTAGCGCACTGCCTCCTGCTGCTCTGACTACCCAGACCTGTGTATAAATACCTCTTACATCCCCCTTCCACGACGCCATCTACCACATCATCTTCCTTTTTCCAAAATTAAAATCTATTGGTTCATGACCCTATGACCAATTTCTTTCTGCTTTCTCGAAAACTACAAAACATCCTGCGTCTGTGCAATGTGGTGCTTTGAGACTGTCGTTTCCAAAACATAGATCGATAGCCAGAAAATTGCACAGCTTTGAACACTCGGACTCGGGTATAAAACTCTCCTCCCTCTCATGACACTATCTATCATACTTTACTTTTCTAAAATTAAAAACTATGTAAAAGGTTCAATGTCCTACTTCTTCCTGCCTTCTTAAAACCTAAGAATAACGATGACCTCGACGTGCTGCTTTGAGTCTCTCGTTTCCTAAACATGAATCGATAGGCAGAAGATTGCACAGCTTTGACAACCCGGACTCTGGATGAAAATCTCCTTCTCCTTCCCATAACACCATCTACCACACTCTCTTTTTCTAAAATTAAACCCTACCGAGACATGCACGATGTCTAGATTCTTCCTGCTTTCTTAAAACCTACAAAGGGACCTCGGTCTCTGACATGTGGTGCTTTCAGACGGTCGATTCCAAAATATAAGTTAATACATAAAAGAATTCATCAAAACTACATGGATTAAGTTCGATGTCCGCGGTTGTTTTCGCTCTCGATGCGGATAAAATACTGCTGTCGCTACGGCGAGCTCACTATAAAATAAGGCTCTAAAAGACGCTTTACTAAAATGCGAGTTATTCAGCGACATGTGGTGTCTCCGGCTTTCTCAACCCTAAAAATTGAAAATCTCCTTCCTATGTCTTGCTTCAAAGTTGGTCCCGGAGCACACATGAACGGATTTCCCGACTACCGATATTAAAAACTCTCATACGGCCGCATTAACCATGCTAGATGCGTATAAATGTGCTGCTCTTCACTACTTAGTTCTCTTCTATCCACATACTCTATGAGAAAATTCTAAAAAGGGTTACGCGACTACGAACATGACTTTTCCCGCCCTAACTTTCTAGAAGATTAAAATATCAAGTCCGATGTTCTTCTTCTTTGCTTGGAAACTACAAGTCGCTATACCATGGTTTCTCCCCGCTCAAGAACAAACTACCGCCAGGCCTAATATTGAGACTGCTACCGTATTTTATATCTACTCCGAGGATTCCAGGTTCTCCTCTAAAGACAGTACTTCGAGCTATATGAACTGAAAATTATTGTCAACGGGTGGTCATGAGTCGGCGGCTCTTCCCGCCTTTTCTTTGAAAATAGGCGTCGCGCCGAAGGTATGCTGTGTCGCCTCGCCGCTGAAATGACACATGTCATATGTACCAGTCCATCTTTTAAAATGTTAAATTTGACTTTTCCTTTTCTGTTGTTTAATATCTTCCAAAACAAGACCCAAAACAACAAATGGCACTTCAAAGCACTTCAAGCCTTGCAAGCATCTCGGCGGTATTTAAAAACTCCTGACGCGCTAGCAATTCTGCTCATATGTATCTGGTGCTTTTCCTGAGTGTCAGTGACGTATACTTCTTATCTTGAATATTCTAATCATTCCTGGACGGTAGCATTGGTGTTTCGTAGAGTACCTAAAAACATAATGGAAAGAAACATGTTTCGTTGGGTCCTTGTCCCAGAAATTTATTTCCCAATTCTTCCTTTTGTCTAGCTACCCATGTAAAAAGGTTTCAAGTCCTCTCTATCAGTGTTCAAACATTATCGAGACAACTCCATGAGTTCTGCTTACTGAAAAAATCCACGTCCGCGGGAAGGAGACTGTCTCAAATCGGAACTTGAAAGAAGAAACGTTGCTTTAAAATGTACAACATGATACGTGATGAAGCAGACATTTTTCAGTGTTATCTTAGGAGTCAGGGAAAGTCGCGGGCACATAAATTCATGAGTTGAATTCTGGACGTTTGCGTGTGAAGAAGTACCTAGTATGACACGCGAGTCTCGCACCCACATTAACCATCACAATCTCCCTACCAAAGAACCCATTCTCAATAAAATTAAACAAACTATCCCATCGTTGTCTTGTCACCTCGCGCATCCCACCCACCCTCCGCCGTCTCACTAGCCTATCTTGGCGCAACCAGGGTCCCGGCATCCGCAAGTCGGAATTTCCAGAAACACCATCACCACGGCCATCCACACCCCAATCGCAACCCGGCATTGCGCCTCCCTACAACACCACCATGAACCTCTTCGCCTTCCGCTCGGTGTTCCGGCCCTCGAAAATACCGTCGACGACGCAAACTACAAATATCTGGCAACGCACATCGCAATGGCAATGTCGGCAACAACAACAGGCGCAAAGAACACCCACAGCCTCCTTCTCCTCCACCACACGAATGGAGAAGCGAGCCAAAGGCCCCGGTACTGATCCGCGAATAGGTGAGTCTCTCTTTTTTTGTTCACTCCAACTACCACCGGCCCGCCGAGTAAACCACCGTCCACCGCAAAAATACCAAACTAACAACCACCTAGTAAACATCCGCTACCACCTCCAACACCCCCTAACCCCGCGCCCCCTCCACTTCTCCCGCAACCGCTTCCTCCGCCATTGGACTATTCACCGCGCCTGGATGCTTTTCCTGCGCAAGCGCCGCTGGGCTGAGGAGCGCGAGCTAGAGCGCCAATACATGGCGATGCGCGACGCCTGCGAGCACTTGCGCCTGTTGGATAACAACGGTAACCGCGTGAGTGAGGCAGAGGCTGGTGGTCAGGGACCGGATGCGGGGCGCTTGGGTACGAGGGGTCGGGAGGTGGGACGGTTGTATCGGAGTGCCATGTTGAAGAGGGGAGTGTGGGGGAGTGTGCCGGTGGAGTATGGGAGGGTTCAGACGGATTTCCCGAGTCGGGATGGGTGGAATCATGCGTGGACGAGGAATTGAGGAAATGTACATTATGTGTATAGCGGACAAGGATTTCAGGCGTGTGGAAAGCCATGTGAAAATACATTTCAATTCCCGCTGTACATGCAATACTACAATATTCAACGCTGTATGTGATAGTATTACTGCTCAGCAGTTCATCTGCTGTGCAAGCTCCCTCAGTCCAGACACTTCCTCATATCCCCTCTGCAGCAAGCTTCCCTAGGTATACACAAAAATGGGGATTTGAAAAAAAAAGAGTGGATGATGATGGCATGCCCTCAATCATTAGCCAAGATCAAAGTTCCGCAAATGGCGCTTCTCTTCCCCCTGCCCCATGGGAATATGCTCAAAAATGAACAAAAGAACAAAAGAACAAAAAGGCTCGAAAGCTGCAACCCAGCTCTCCTTTGAAGCAATGCAAGCAAAGCGCTCAACAAACGCCTCAGACAGTGATAAATCCCACAAGTTTTACTCCTTGTTGTACTCCGCCCAATGCTTTGAAGAATAAGAGATGTCGAGTGTGATTTATGTGGCTCATAGTACGACGCATCCGCAGCCGGGGTTTTCCTTCTTGTCTACTGAGAGAAGAGCAGCACGGGTTGCCGCTTCGAAAACGTCGTCGACGCCGTCGCCGGTCAGTGAACTGCACTCGAGGTACTTGCGTGCACCGATCATCTCCTTCATGTCGCTTCCTTGCTTGGGGGTTGTGAACTTGAGTGACTTTTTGCGCATCTCTTCTTGGGCAAGCGGGTCTTCACGAAGATCCTTCTTCAAGCCAACCAGGATGATCGGCACCGTCGGACAGCGCTCACGGGCCTCCTCCGCCCACTTGTGCTTTACGTTATCCAGCGAGTCGGGCGAGTCGACCGAGAAACCGATGAGGATGACATGTGCTTTGCTGTATGCCAACGGGCGTAAGCGTTCGTAGTCTTCTTGTCCTGCAGTATCCCATAGCGCGAGCTGAACAGACTTGCCGTCTACTCTGCAGTCAGTGACGTAGTTTTCAAAGACTGTTGGGACATATCGCTGAGTGTAACGTTAGCATGCTACTCTGTGATGTGACGCAGGAGGACGTACGGTTGGAAAGTAGCCGAGAGTAAAGACGCTGAGAAGACTGGTCTTTCCGCAAGCACCATCGCCAATGATGACCAACTTCCTACGAGAACAAGGTCAGCATAATGTACGAGCGTCGCAACGGTGTGACAGCGTCGGTGTGACTGAGCGAGGTATAGAGGCAAAATGGGTTTAGGATACAGATGCAACGACCCGAAGCAGAAAGAATTGAGCGCGCGTCGATAAAAAGTGGGCATGGGAAGCCTGTAGGCTGGCCTATTTTTAGTCCAGGTGTGTTCGGACCGGGTTGGCCGATGCAAGCTATGGCGCCAAAACCGGGGGTACCACGAGCCCAAAAGTATCGATGCAGCAAGATGTAGCGAAAGGAGAAGTCTCGGCATCAGGAATTGAGGATCGTGATCGAGAGGGTGAAAATTTGAAGTGGAAGGGGAGGCCTTCAGCTGAGCGTCTCATGCGCGCAGGGAAAAAGCCAGCAAAAACGATGGGCGAGTTGAAGTTTGACAGGGGGTAGAAATTGGTTGTTATAGAATTGACATATAGAATTGCACATACCTGCGCATGACAGGCTCGCCATTCTGCTGCTGCTGTGCCATGTTGATGGACGGAAAACGTCGGCAATGAGCAAAATCTGGCGTTGGCTCGGGAAGCGCGGTAGAGTAAGAATCGCTATGGAGCGAGCGCAAGTGTGCTGGCAATGGGCGATGATGGAGGATGCAGTGTCTCCGGGCAGGTCAGGATACAGTCAAGTAGCCTGGTTTGCGCGAGGGGGTGAATGTGACGGTGGGCGGAGCGACGTGTATCTCGTTGTACTGTGTAGCAGCAGCTAGCGACTAGCAATGTCTTGGATGGCGAAAAGCGACCGACAGCAGGATCCAGGCGGGGAGTGAATGTGGGCGTGTCGAGATGTGTGTAGTGGAAGCGGGTGCGGAAGCTGATGGTGGTGCGAAGCAGAGGCCAGGAGGTGCAGGTAGTGAATGTCCCGGGCGACGGCAGTGATGATGAAGACAACGGGGGAAGGGTCGCAAATGATGGGGGACTTGGGGACCCTTTAATAATGGGCGTGGACGATCACAGCGGAGGCATGCACGAGCTAGAGCTACGGGCGGCTGGGGGTTTAGAAGCCTCGGTGGTGGTGCGGTGCGGGTGTGTGTGTGTTGAGATACGAATGGGCCTCCGCTGATGCACAGCCTCTCCAAGGTTCCTGCCGTTCCAGAAGGCTCGCGGGTGCCAAGACGTGGCTCCTGCGGCAGGTGCGAATCGCGACGTCGGTGCCACAATGGCCCGTCAAGCGTCAACCCAGATTGAGGCTACGACACTCCGCATGCTAGCTTTGGGGCCCCAATCACGCACACACGACGACGAGCCGCTCTAGGACCTGCTGCCCGTACAAGACGCCCGCGACCTGGCGCACACCAAGAGAACCACTTCCGCCCTTGCAGTGCGTGACCGGCCCCTCCAATTCCTCCCTCGTCACTTTTGCTGCCGACCAGCTGCCCACGGCGAGCTGACGGGCGCATAGCCGGAGCCCTCGTCCCCCGAGATTCTTCGTAGCAATAGTCTCACCTAGCACCAGCGAGCTTGTTTGGTGTTGTTGTTTGGATTCATGGCCCAAGGACCACGAGGACCCGCCCCGGCAACAATGCCGCCCAACGGCACTACCGCAACCCACGATTCCGCCCCGACCGCCGTGAACCGCAAGAAGCAGAAGCGACGGGAGAAGGAAGCCGCAAAGAGGGCTGCCCAGGACCCGCCTGCGCCTGCCTCTGCGCCCGCGCCTGCGAGAAATGGTGCCACCCCCGCCCTGGCTCCCGGCGGCCAACAATATGCGGAGCCTGAGCTGGAGGAGCCCCCATACGAAGAAGGCGACTACTACTCGGACGAGGAGTACGAGCACACATATGGCGCGAATGGCGACTACCAACAGGGCTACGGTCATGCTCCCGTCCGGGGCGGCTCCAGCAAGAAGCCGCGAAGGAAGAAGAAGGCGCCCTCGGGACCTCCTCCGCTTTCCTACTCGCAGCACAGTGCACCGCGCCACAGCCCCGCGCCCAACCATGCCGTGTCGTCTGGAATCTCGACGACGCGATCTGGCCCCAAAAAGGACCGCATATGGAACACGTCATCGGTCGAGGAGCGGGAGCGCATACGCGACTTTTGGCTGTCCCTGGGCGAAGACGAGCGCAAGTCGCTGGTCAAGATTGAGAAGGAGGCGGTCTTGCGCAAGATGAAGGAGCAGCAGAAGCACTCGTGCAGCTGTACCGTCTGCGGGCGCAAGCGCACCGCCATTGAGGAGGAGCTGGAGGTCTTGTACGACGCATATTATGAAGAACTCGAGCAGTACGCGCACCACCAGCAAGACATCGGTAGTTTCATTCCCGAGGCTAATTATGGTTATGCATCCAGTGCTCCTCACCCGCGGCCCCTGCTAAACGCCCCACCTCCACCCGGCCCCTACGACGACGACGACGATGAAGAAGAGTACGACTCGGGTGAAGAAGAAGAGGGAGAGTCCGAGTACGACAGCGACATCTCGTCCGAAGGCGAATACAGCTCAGGGGAACCGAGTCTACCGCCGCCCGAGCCCACAGACTTTCTTCGCTTTGGCAGCAGTTTACAAGTCAAAGGTATGCATATGCCCGTATCTGCTTTGGGAGCATGCTGATTCATCGTTTTAGGTGGCATTCTTACCGTTGCTGACGATTTGCTCAAGAACGATGGGAAGAAGTTCATCGAGATGATGGAGCAGCTTGCCGAGCGTAGAATGCAGCGTGAAGAAGAGGCCCAGTTCCACCAGGCCCATCCAAACATGCAGCATCGTTCGTACAGCGGCCACAGTCACAACGCTCCGCCGCCAGAGGAAGACGACTACGACGACGAGGGCGAAGACGACGAGGAATACGACGATGAGGACTACGAGGAGGATGAAGAGGACGAGGAAGTGCGTATTCTGCGTTGGACTATCTACTTGCAACTAATTCAGCTCAGGGCACTATGACTGAGGAGCAGCGCATGGAGGAGGGCAGGCGAATGTTTCAGATATTTGCAGCGCGAATGTTTGAACAGCGAGTACTCCAGGCATACCGTGAGAAGGTAGCTGCAGAACGACAACAACGGCTTCTGGAGGAGTTGGCGGAAGAAGATAATCGTAAAGATGCAAAAGAGGCAAAGAAAGCCAAGGAGGCCCAGAAGCGGAAGGAAAAGAAGGATAAGCAAAAGCAGTTGAAGGCAGAAGAAAAGGCACGCAAAGACGCGGAACTAGCCGCCAAAGAAGCGGAAGCCAAGGCTGCCGAGGAGAAGCGACTGGAAGAACAGCGCAAAAAGCGAGAAGAGCAACGAAAAAAGAAGGAAGCCGAACGCAAAGCTCAAGAGGAGGAGAGGCAGCGGAAAGAAGCAGAACGCCTCAAGCGGCAGCAAGAAGAGCGGGAACGCCAACAGGAAGCCGAGAGAAAAGCACGCGAACAAAAGGCTCTGGAGAAAAAGGCCAAAGAGGAGGCGAAGCGGAAGGAACGGGAGGAGCGGGAGGCAAAAGAGAAAGAGGCCCGTGAGAAGAAGGCTCAGGAGGAGAAGGAGCGCAAGGAACGCGAAGCAAAGTCCAAGTCCGAAAAGGACCGTACACGCAAGGAGGACCAAGCTGCCCCTGCTCCTGCGAAGAAGACATCGCAGCCAGTAGCTGTTGCGCTGCCTCCTCAGCTGCTCAAGCAGAATTCGTCAACAGGAATGCCTTCGCCGCACGTCACGCCAGCTGTACCCAAAGCCCCAACACCAAATCGACAGCGCCAGACTTCGCAGCAGAACTCCCACGGCTCCTCTCCGAAGACGCCACATGCTACATTAGGAACGAGCAAGTCGACATCCCCCACCTCACAAGCTTACAATCAGACACTGCCAAGGTCTATCCTGACCAAGCCGAACTTGCCACAGATGCCCACTATACATGGCCAGCCAACATCTCCCATGCCTCACTTGGGACCACCGCCGGGTATGCAAGGGCCGCCAGGACTTAACATGGGGAACATGCCCCCAGGCCTGAATGGGTTCGCGAACCAAGGTTCAATGATGCCTGGATTGATGGGACCACGCTCCAATATGCCGCCGTTCTTCCCGCCAGTCGCTCCTCAAAGCTTCCGTGGGTTCCCGCCGCCAGGGATGCACACACCAGGTGCACTGCCACTCAACCGTGGGTTCCCGATGGACGGACCGCCAGGCTTCCCTGCACCTCCAGGATTCTCGACGCCTATGCCATCGCCCTTCCCATTGGGCATGCCGACGCACTCAAGACAGGGTTCTGGGTCTTTCGAACGAGTCTCCAGCATTGAAAGCCCGCTCGCCGCTCCTCAATCACAGCCTATCCAGCGCCCGGCCCCGATTCAGCGACCCTCAAGTATCAAGCCAAGCGACGAGAATGTTGACGAACTCGCAAGCCATCTTGGTAGCAAAGCCTTGCTAGACGATGATGAGGACGACATTCCAGAATTGCCTGAACGCCGCCAGAGTGTGCAACAACATGGTTCTGTCAGAGCTCCCTCATTCGGATTTGCAGATATACCAGGCTCGCAATACGGCTCATTCGGAGGTCCAGGCGGTGGTAGCATCTGGGGCACACCGCCATTGCAAGGCTTCAGCTCGGGTGGTAACTGGGGCAACTCGCCGACTTCAAACATGTTTGGCAGTCCTCCATTCCCGATGGGTAACCCTCGTGTGCATGAGCGTAGTGGCACCGAACAGCGCATAGTGTGGCTCCGTCGTACCATTTGCGCAGTCTGCAAATCGCTAGCTCTCAGCTCAGACCCGGAAGGCTATATAGATGCTTCCGAGGTGCATCGCCAAGTCGATGCATCCAGGAATGCCATGGAGCCTGTTGTGTCCATGGATGAGATCAGGGAGGCTTGCGACATCCTGGATGTGGCACAGACCAACGGCGGTGGTACTCTGGAATACAGAGAGCACAACGGCCGTCTCACCCACATCAAGTTCAGTGATGCTGCTCCAGCGCCTCCGTCTCTTGGTGAGATTGGAAGTCCCGTTCCCAGTCAAAGCGTTCTGGCTGGTGGTGGGTTTGGGAGGTTTCCCGGTCTTGGTCCACAAGGCTTTTGAGGATTCATCAGAATTCTTGCCGTGCCCTTTTGGCAGTAGCTTTATCAGCAAACTGATAAACTATATTGAGTCTTGCTGGAACTTTTCTTCGACTCTCAGATAGTCTAGGCATGCCTTACCTGTAAACGGAGGCAATCTAGTTCAGTTCTTTCGTGCCAAGCCATGTTCCAATACCGCGTGCAGATTATGTGTTGCAGTGATGTTTTAGCTAACATGTAGTTTAAATATATAAATCGCTCAAGAAAGGTAGATTCATTGGCTATAGCCACTACCGTAGTTGAGGCGATGACAGCTAGCGTCAGACGGCTCCACCCAGGTTGATGGGACAGCACGTTGCAAGAAGATAGTTTGCAAGAGAAGCGGTCAAGCTCCCGGCCATCTGGCATCAGTTTCAGAACCCCGCAATTGCAACTTTGATCAAGCTGCTTTGCCAAAAGAAATATGCCGTGACGTATACACCATCATACTTTGAAGTAGTTATCGGTGAAGATGGATGGAGTTGGAGTCTGACAAGCTCATGTTACGGTAGCGGTAGGTAGAGAATAGGCATACTAATAATAGGAAGGTTAGCCAGGTACGAGTGCAACGTCATCGGAAGGGGCAAGAATCAGCCCTGCAACATCCCTGCTAGTCGCGTGGGCGGGGTCCTGCATGAGCCTCAGCAGCTGTACACAAATAGTTCCACCTACTCCCCGCACTGAGCTGACTTCTTACAATCTCCTCGACTATATTTCTGACTGACCATTCACTTCTGTCGAGCACTCCTTCAATTGGATATCCAAACATATAGACCGGAACCATGTCCGACCCCATCGCCGACGCTGCGCGAAAGCATCCGGCGCCTGAAGGCCTTGTCTACACTTATGGAACAGCTGGGGTAAGTTGATTACGAGTTTACACGTTGAGCATCAGGCTAATTGAATGGTCGCAGTTCCGAACTAAAGCGTAAGCAAAACATTCTTCCATTTCCAGACTCTAGTCTACTCCGACCGCGAGCGCCCCGCATACGTCGTCAAGGACACGACTGACAACCACAGCGACGTTCTCGACTCAGTATTGATCCGCGTCGGTCTCATCGCAGCTCTTCGATCAAAGACACTCAAGGGAAAATGGATTGGAGTCATGATCACAGCCTCTCACAACCCTCCCGAGGATAATGGTGTAAAGCTCGTCGAGCCGATGGTATGTTCCCCGGCTCTAGGGTGATTGCAAGCAAGTCTAACTTGATAACAGGGCAACATGCTTCAAGTACGTTCAAACACCCCTTTCGAAAGTCCACTAGGCGAGGCACACACCTTACAAGTAATATCTGATGAGTGTACAGGAGGAGTGGGAAGTCATTAGCACGGAAATGGCAAACAAGACCACCCCCGAAGACGTTTCAAAGTTCTACCACGACATCGCCAACCAGAATAAGATCGATCTCGAAACACCTGCCCGCGTCGTTGTAGCTCGTGATACCAGGGCGTCCGGGTCAAGGCTGCTCGGATGTCTCCTCGATGGCCTCAAAGCTGCTGGAGCTGAAATCAAGGACTACGGTTTCTTGACCACACCACAACTCCACTACATGACCCGTTGTCTTAATACGGAAGGTACAAAGGATGCCTATGGTACACCTACGGAGAAGGGTTACTACGAGAAGTTTGGTGCAGCTTTCAAGACGGCGCTCCGTGGAAAGAAGCCTTCTGGCAGTTTGACCGTTGACTGCGCCAATGGTGTTGGTGGACCCAAGTTGAACGAGTTGATCAAATACCTTCCATCCAAGGCTGAGGGTGGCCTTGAGATTAATGTCATCAACGACAACGTCATCAAGCCCGAGAGTCTGAACGTTGACGTGAGTAGTGTACCATATAAAGTTAGACTGAAGCTAATTCATATAACAGTGCGGCGCAGACTATGTCAAGACCAACCAGCGAGCACCCCCATCATCCAAGGCCGGCCCTGGCGATCGATGCTGCTCGCTCGACGGCGATGCTGATCGTGTAGTGTACTACTTCAAGGACGACAAGAACGTCTTCCGCCTACTTGATGGTGACCGCATCGCGACCCTTGTAGCATCCTTCCTTGGAGACACTGTGCGTCAGAGTGGACTTGCAGACCAGCTCAAGATTGGAGTCGTTCAAACCGCCTATGCCAACGGTGCCGCCACGAAATACGTGGAAGAAAACTTGAAGCTCAAGGTCGACTGCACACCTACCGGAGTCAAGTACTTGCACCACGCCGCCGAGAAGCTCGATATTGGTGTCTACTTTGAAGCCAATGGCCATGGTACTGTCATTTTCTCACATGACACACTCGACACTATCGAGAAGCACGAGCCCCGCAACCCTGGTGAAAAGGAGGCTCTCGATGTGCTCCGTGCGTGTATCAACCTCATCAACCAGTCAGTCGGTGATGCTCTTTCCGACTTTTTGCTTGTGGAAGTCGTCCTTGCACACAAGCACTGGGGTCCGCAAGAGTGGCTTTCGACCTACAGCGACCTACCCAACCGTCTGCTCAAGGTTGTGGTGAATGATCGCAAGATCTTCAAGACGACAGACGCTGAGCGTAAACTCACATCCCCAGACGGTCTTCAAGCACTGATCGACAAGGAGGTCCAGAAGGTCCGCCAAGGTCGCTCTTTTGCTCGTGCTAGCGGAACAGAAGACGCCGTGCGCGTTTACGCTGAGGCTGAGACTAGAGCCGAGGCTGATGATCTCGCCCGCAAGGTACATGACCTTGTCAAGGCAGCGGGTAGTGCTTAGGACCGCTTACCCACTGGACAGTATATTTGGGTGGATGTGAGGGCTGAAGAAGTATTTGATGATTGGGATGTTTTGACGCTTAGTGATGATACAGGCCACACAGATAGTTCGGACAGGACAAGTTCTGTGGGGAGTACGGGTTCTACGAATAGTGTAAAATGTGGTTGGTCTACGGCGTCTGAATCACCGCCAGTACACATGAGTCAAGGGATCATATTAGGGACAGCGACTCAGTATGCCTCGTAGAAGATAGATAAAAGGGTTGCGTCAGTCTTAGAATGCACAATACCATGCATCATCACATAGTCACGTGTCGGATGAAGCCCCGGCTCAATTGAATCTCGACCTTGGTTTTTAACTCAACAAAACACAATGCAATATGCACAAATGACGAGTCCAAGTTTGCACAACCATCATCGCCAGTGCCCGGAGATGAAATGGATAGATTTGCTATCGCTGTTTTTCCTACGTGGGCGAAGTCGCGGTTGCAGGTCCCACTTGATCTCCTCACGTTGATGCATACCAGGGTATCGGCACCACCGTATCCAATCAAAGTAGGGCGACGTACGAACCCTCAAGCATGAACGTGGCCGAATCTTGTGGACGGCAACAGGTCATCTTGAAACAGTAGCCCTATCTCAACAGCCACCATGGCGCTGGATTCATGCGCCTCAAGTTTGCGATAAGACAGGCGTGTACTGTACTTGGCTAAGTAGCGAGGGGTTTGCAGAGAGTGGCGGTGCAACAATAGCAGCAGCATTTACCGGCACGGCTGCGGCAATGATTTTTCTCTCCGCAAAAGCTAGCAGTGCTGCTACGGGCGATCGCCCCCCCCTAAGAGCTCCCCAAGTGTGTTGCTCAAGCGTCCAGGCCTGTCCTCGAAGCCAAAAATAAAAATGCACGTTGCCGCGTACCCTTGCCGCCGGCGTTTAAACGGCGCACGATGTCGCCATTCAGCGAATCGGCGGGCGTGCCTGGCTGGCGACGCAGCGTCATCTCGCGACTGGGATCCTGGTCCGTTTTTGTCCCTAATAGGCGTTTGCATCTCGACGCGACGCAAGCTTGTCGGTATCTCTTTGCACCTTAGCGTTTCCCTTTTGTACACTCCCTTTGTGTTCAAGCCTTTTTCTTTACCGCCCTCTCTTTGTCGTGTAGTCTGCTTACTGCGCACCCCCTTGTTACACCCCGCGCGCAATACGAAGCCGTCAAGTGGACCACAGTAGATCATCTGCAATAGACATGCGCTGAGCATTTATTCGCTCGCACATCCTTCTTTTAACACGTGGTGCGGATTTCCCACCTCTTCCCTACTTCTTCTCTCGTTACACCCGTTCGCTGCACTGCATACACACTCGCTATGGCTTCACATGCAGACATGTTGCTCCGGCGGGACCTGAGCATAGAGCAAAAGTTTGAGCAGTTGATGCTGAACAATCCCCTGGGAGCAAGGGTACGTCACCCAAATTCACAGCTCACACCATATATCGACTGACAGCTTTAGGTTTCACAAGACTCGGTCCTCATCGCTGTAGGCACCTCGTTTGGCATGACTGCTGCCATCTTTATCGGTTTCATCCTCCTACGTCCATTCAATACCATCGTATACGCCCCACGTTTGCGCCACTCTGATGAAAAGCACCGACCGCCGCCCCTAGATAAGAGCCTCTTCGCCTGGTACCGGCCCGTCTTCAAGACAAACGAGCCCGAGTATGTGGAGAAGATTGGCCTGGACGCCACTATATTCCTGCGCTTTGCACGCATGTGCAGGAACATGTTTATAGTCCTGGCAGTTGTTGGATGTGGCATCATTATCCCCGTCAACATTGCCAACTCAGTCGAGTTCCAAAAGAAGTTTGACACAAATCTCCGTGGCAACATCATCTTTTTGATGACTCCCAGAGATTTGTTTGGTCGCGTCTTCTGGGCATTCGTCATCTTGGCATACATTATAGATGTAATTGTTTGTGCCTTTTTGTGGTGGACATATCGGGCTGTACACCGGCTGAGACGACAGTACCTCGATAGCCCCGAGTACCAGAACAGTCTCCATGCCAGGACGCTGATGATTACCGATGTCGGACGCAGCAATCGTAGCGACCAGGGCATTGTGGAAATCACCGACAGCTTGAAGACCACGCCCGAAGTACCGCGTGCGTCTATCGGAAGAAACGTCAAGGATATCCCTGATCTCATCGAGGAACACGAAGAGGCGGTTATTGCGCTGGAGCAGGTCCTTGCAAAGTACCTGAAGAACCCTAATAAACTACCGGCGGAGCGACCTCTGTGCACACCATCCAAGAAGGACCCGGAGTATACAGATCGGACGCAAAAGGTGGATGCCATCGATTACTTGACAGCCCGCATCCAGCGTTTGGAGACCAAGATCAAAGAGATCCGCGAGACTATCGACAAGCGCGATGCTCTATGCTACGGATTCGCCAGTTACGAGTCGATTGAATCGGCGCACATGGTTGCATATGCAGCTCGCAACAAGCACGTCAAAGGCACCACCGTCCGACTCGCACCCAAGCCAAAGGACATTATCTGGAAGAATCTTACCCTTGACCCCAAGAGGAGGCGCTGGAGGAGGATGGTCAACAACTTCTGGATTACTCTGCTCACGCTTCTATACTTTATTCCCAACGCCCTCATTGCCGTCTTTCTGTCCAAACTTTCCAACCTCGGCTTTATGTGGCCCTACTTCCAGGTCGAATTGGGCAGACACCCCGACTTCTGGGCCGTAGTACAAGGTCTTGCAGCACCGGCTCTTACTTCGCTGTTCTACTACTTCCTTCCCATCATCTTCCGCCGTTTGTCCATGAAAGCCGGCGACCAGACCAAGACCTCGCGAGAACGCCATGTAACTGCGCAGTTGTACGCTTTTTTTGTCTTCAACAACTTGTTCGTCTTCTCGCTCTTCAGTGCCGTGTTTGGCATGGTCGTCATGATTGTCAAACTCGCAGCCGAACAACACGTACCTTTCTTGACGATTCTCAAAGATATCACATTCTTCGACACTACCATGCGGACACTCTGCGAAGTCTCGCCTTTCTGGGTCACCTGGCTCGTACAACGTAATTTGGGTGCCGCCATCGACCTTGCTCAGGCCGTTAATCTTGCTTGGGGCAGTTTCTCTCGCAAGTTCTTGAACCCTACGCCTAGGGAATTAATCGCTCGTACTGCGCCACCACCATTCGATTACGCAAGTTACTACAACTACTTTTTATTTTACTCTACTGTCGCGCTTTGCTTTGCGCCACTACAGCCTATTACGCTGGTAATTGTAGCGATTTACTTTAGTCTAGACAGCTGGATGAAGAAGTACCTGCTCATGTAAGTATAGCAAGGGGGTTGAGTTTTCCTTACTAACAGTTCTCAGGTACGTCTTCTGCACCAAGAACGAGTCCGGTGGTGCCTTTTGGCGCGTTCTCTTCAACCGCATGCTCGTCGGCACTTTCCTATCCAACTGCATCATCGCCCTACTCGTAGTCGCCCGAGGATACGCAGACAAGTGGACTATGCTCGCCGCCATGGCTCCACTGCCTCTCGGACTACTCGCATTCAAGTTCTACTGCAAGAATAAATTTGACAGCTCCCTAAAGTACTACACTCAAGGCGACCGATCCAAGGGCACCGAAGCACCCACACCCATCGACAAGGAATCCCGCCGACGAGACCGCGTTGCCGTCCGCTTCGGCCACCCGGCCCTCTACCAAAAACTCACCGTCCCCATGGTACACGAGAAATCCAAGCATCTCCTCGCCGAAATCTACCGCGGCCGCCTCGACGGCGACATTGGCGACACTGCCGCCTTCAGCGACGTCTACACCATGAAACGCATGTCCAAAGAGAACCCTGGTAAAACCGCCGCATCCCCCTCCGGGCCCTTTGAATTCGTATCCGAATCCAACATGGACTTTGAAAACTTCAAAAACCGCCCAGAATTCAGCGACGAACACGGCGGCGAGGGTTCCATCTACGGTGCTAGGAGTAGCATCTACCGCCCCGACACCCCTAGCTCACAATGGGGTGCCGCCGGTGACCGTGGACGCAGCACAAGCCGCGATTCAGAAAGAACAACGATGACTAGTGGTGCGGAAGAAAACACAGGTGTCCTATACCCACAGGGTTACCACCAAACCCCCTCGCAACTCCGCGAGTACAGCCCCAGTCCCGCACCCAGTCTCGGTCGAACACACACAAACGAGAGTCCGTACGAGGTGTCGGATCAGAGGAGATTGGTCAGTGGGGCTGCGCCTATGGGCGGCGCGCCGCAGTTGCAGTATACACCGTATAGTCCTAGTAGGGATGGGGAGCAGGATTATTTCAGAAGGTAGATGGAGGTAGGGGAGTGAGACGAATTTCCTTTGTTTGGGGTGGTTGATTACAGCATTGTTTGCGTTGGTCGCATTTGGCTGATATGCATGGCGAGCGTATTTAGAAGAAAGAAGGGATGTCGCTGTGATTACTCGAAAAAAGCGATGGGGGTTTGAAAGCATATTTCATGGGCGTTTTTAAAGATGGAGATACCAGAGGATTATTCTCTATGCCACCACCGCCTTGGCTGGGGTTTATTACATAGTACAATAAAGATGTTGTTAATGCATTTGTCATGTTCTTCTCTCGTTCTCTTGTCGTCGTTGCATTCGTTTGCATATTACATGCTATTCATCTGCTTTCCACTAGCAAGGTTACCTGAACAGCGAGGGAAATCTCTACAAACCCATCACTAACAAGTGAGAGTAGCTAGATACTATGGCAGTGAATCCTTTCTATTCTGTTTGAAGTTGCCGCGAGTCCTTTCCATATTGCATCCAGTTGCGAATTCTGGACGAACTATCAACCTTTTGGCTGCTAGGGTTGGTTTGCTGTGTACATGGTTTTGTGAGAAGATAGGTCTTAGGGTATGACTAAAGCGGGTCTTTCACCGCAGTGTAGTTTCCTGAGACTGCGTGAAGAAGGAATGGGTGGGTCAATATGTTTATACTTCTGAGAATGAGGTGTATACCCTTAGTAGAGACTCGAGGGTTCATAGTCCCTGTAGGGCTTATACACACTAGGTCTATCATCACAAGACAATTAGATGCGCACGATGACTCACTCCAGCATCAACTAACACCCCAAAGCCCAAAGCACCAGAAACTCTATATGACCCGCCAAGCTTCCAGCCACCTTATCAACCACCTGCTATATCAGCTTGTCCCCTCAAAGTACAGTCTGGAATCCCCCCAAAACACAGGATCCTATTGATGACGAGTGAAGCACAGGTCGTTGAGTCAGAACCTATCTATAGCTTTTTCGAAATTCATCGATATCCTGGATGATATAGCGCACACGTTCACAGTCCAATATGCATATAACAGTATGACGGCCTAGTGAGTTGAAGATTCGCGTTCTAGATCGTTTCTCAGTGGACGCTGGTCCTGGGACAACGATATTGTTGATATCGATATATGCTTTCTAGAGATAATGCGCGAGCATGACTTTGACGATTTCTCTTGGGTCAAAATCTAGTTGCTCCGGTTGATACTTAACTTGTAGTTCCACAGGCGTTGAGTGGTTTATCGGTGTATACTCCGATGAGGCAGTTTCGGGTTCTTTGCTTGCTCTTGCTGCATCCTAGAGAAGTTCAGATTTGGAGATTATATCATTCGATCTGAATTATTCTTAATCGCTCCAAGTCCTCCGTTTAGTCGCCATCTTGGTAAATGATTTCATGATACGTCGGTGCATCATCAGCCGTTCGGTACTGAGCGTTATTGCTGTCTTTGCGTTTCATGACCCCGTATGCGCCATCCAAAGCCCAGATGCTGCCGCACCAGCTTCGTCCTAGCTCGCAACCCGCTGTCGTTCGCGGGTGCTGTCATTCTAGCGATGAACTCGGCAATGGAATGTTTTCACAAAGACGACGCATTGAAACTTTTTCCAGTCTGGAGTGAACATGCACAGGGTGTTACCGTGTCTGGGGCCGCTGTGGTTCCTGCCCTGAATGAATGAAACGTCATGCGATGAAATTAAGGCAGCACTGAGCAATAAAGGACCACGCGAAGGTTTTCAATATGCATCTCTTCTCTGCCTCCTCAGGTATCTTCGCCATGGTTTCGTTGGCATCGCTTGGACGTTTCATACAATTGTCAGTGTCAGTCAAACGGACCCAACTAGTGGTTTACGTTGTAGTTGTCGCATTGCCTAGCAGCCCTTGACACGCGTGTAACTAACCAATGGCGGTCTTGGAGTTTTTGTCGCTCCTACTTTCTCACAAATGCCACCGAGCCGCACCTCGGATCAATCACCCGAGGTACTGCACGTTTCGAGCTGTTGATCAATGCAAACCAGCATTCTAAAAAAAGACGGGTCTCTTTTTTGCTTTTGGTATACTTGGCTTAGTCGCATGATGGCAGGAGCCTGAGGTTGTCGACTGGAAACGACTGCCTCAGGCCAGGCTGCGAAACATTCATGCTACTGTGGGAGATCTCCATATGATTCATCGTGACACTCAAGGAGCTGTCGGCCATGAACATGTCGTCGAGTTGGGTAGTGCGACAGCGATCATGTGAATGAAGCTCAGCCCCTGGCGTTGCTCCGACTGGTGGCACTTGGCGACAGCAGCGCCTCTCCGGAAGGTGGACATCCGAAGGCAAGCTTTGCACTAAGGGGAAGATAGGTCATCATCAACCACGTCTTCAGCGACATCTTCTGGATGTTACGGGACGGCGCGGGTGTCAAATGGTGCCATTTGTGTACATATATGCAGAAGTCGGGAGTTGCTAGAGTCAGCAAGCTGACAATGCCAGCCGCATACGGTCTAAAATAGCTGTGCTCCACAGCGGGCGCCATGAATCTCCAGCAAGACTCATGACGGCAGCGGGCTGGGCGCACAGCGTTTCATGCAAGCAAAGCCCGTATGCCGGGGAGATGGGCATCAATCCTACAAGATGAGGAAGAAAGCACGCGGATCTGGCATTTTTTGACATCACATAACCCACCACAGACCACGTGCATGACGCGTTTCGCGGCGTCGATCTAGGGCTGTGTGAGATTACCACCGGCTAGCAGATACAAGCGCATGCCGACTACACAAGCAGGGATACCGTACCGTCAGCAAGAAGCTTATTACTCCCACTGTACCGGCTCGCCTGCCGGGCGTTTGGCCTACCACTCTCTCAAACTCGCAGTTGGATTCGAAAAGAACCTTTACCTCGACACTCTCTTACTGCCGACTTTGTCGACCATGAACATCATGCGCAAGAAGGCGCAGTACGTCAATATTACACCCATTCCGTCTTTTATACCGCGACAACTCGCCATCGACTTTCTTCACAGCCACGGCGAGATTATCGAGCTCAACCCTCTCGTCACCGGCCACGAGGCCATCAAAGCACCACGCGACGCTCCAGCTGACGAATTCTACTCGACTTGGTACGAGATTTCACAGCGTATACAATATATCCCCGGCATTGGCAAGATTGGCAGCGGCGCCATCAAATTTCGAGGAGTTTTTCACGACCTCCCGTTCGGTCTGCAGACACACACCTATGCGCCTGCGAATGTCGACTTGCGCAACAAGTGGCAGATATGCGGCAACCAGCCTGGAGAGCCACCAGAGCCGAGGGAGTTGGGTTCCAATGCGCCACCGGAAGGCCTCTACATCAGGGAGGATGTGGAGATCAAGTGCAACATGACGATGCTCAGCTTTGTAAAGAAGGAAATGAAGGCTGCAGCGAAGATTATGGTGGAACGACTGGTCAAGAAGGCTGAGCTGCTTGACCAGGGCGCGATACAAGCGATGATGGAGAATGGGCGGCTGAGGACAGTCAACCCGGCAGACCGCTCGGAGCGAAGAACGCCAAACTCATCACCACAACAACCTTATGTAATGCCCATGTCGCCACGACACGCACACTCGCCGTCATTGTCACAGAGCCATGTTAGCCAGCAATACGCGCCCCCTATACCACCGAAGCAGCTCCTAGGCGAAAACAATTTCGTCACAGAACTACCAGGCGACTTTTACCACCCCCAACCATCACCTTCCTACCTCCACCCCAACGACAACCGCAAATCCAGCGTCTCCGAACCCTCGCAATATTCCCCAAAGGGCCATGACGAGCGCTGGTCAACCACATCACAAAGCTCAGCTTCCTCGCGACCGAGTTCCTGGACACCATCAGATGGTATGCGGTCGCCAGTACCCGATAACAAGGGCTTCGCGTCCGAGTTACCGACCATGCAGGAGACGAAGGAGGAGCATAACGGACAGCCAAAGTACTCGTATAATCCACAAGACTTCGCGGGACAACAGGTGCAATACGTCCATCGACCGCCGTATCCAACATCAATGTATGGGCAGTAGAGATGTTTAAAATGGTGTGGAGTTTGCACACACATTACGGTTTTACGACTTTCTTTTCAGACTAGACACAGATATCCCTTTAGTGCTTAGTAACGTAATTGCAGTTTCTTGATATTGCATACTCGTGCATTGATAATTGACCAAATCGTGTATGACATGAAAAATTCAGATCCTCTCAAACAACCACAACATCCAACACAATCTTATCCTCCTTCCTCACCTCTACCCACCCCTCACCATCAACCCTCACAATCTTGCCATCCACACATATCCTCCGCCACCTCCCCTCACCTTCCATGCCCTGAAACTCAATCCGAAGTCCATCGATACTCTCATACATGACCTCTTCATCCTGCACATGTTTACCCCCCTGATACGCCAACCCCATAATGCGCATAACCTCGTCCCCATTCCTCGGGCCAAAATGCACTATATGCAAACTCCCATCCAACGGCTTACTCTCCGGGGAAATACAAAACGGTTGTTCGAGATTCGAAACAAGGGTTGCGAGAACGTACATGTGTTCATCTTCGGCGAATTCACTCCACACGCCTTTTCCTTTGGAAACGGAGAGTTTGGCTTTGTACGGGTGTGGGGGTGAGCCGTCGGCGGGGTATAAGGCTTCTTTTGCAGCCATTTTGAAACGCTCGACGCCGTATTGGCGGTAAAATTTTGTATCGCTGTCTGCAACAAGAGAGGCGTGCATGCCCCAACTAGCTACTACGGCGCCATGGAGGACACCGTTTCCCTCGCTATCTTGTGGAAGCTGCTCTTCATCTTGGCCTTCGTTGGTTAGGAGACGGGCGCCTGGGGAGAAGGTGGCGGTGAAGAGGGGAAGGGGCTTGGCAGTGGTAGAGGCGAGGGCGTCCAGACCCCAGACATGTTGTTTCCCCACGTTTATGGAATGATAGAGGGCGTTTGCCGTTCCAAGCGGGAGTAATACGACTTCAGGGCGTATGTATGTGGCGCTGCGGGTATGGGCTGATAGGCTATTTACGAGGTCAACAATGCCGCCGTCGCCTGATAGGAGGATGATGCGGAGTGATTTGCCATTATTGGCCGCGGGGAACAGGGTGTTGTCTGTGAGTTCTAAAATGCTGGTGGCTGAGGTGGTTGTATGCACTTTTATTGATTGAATGCCGGGTTCTCCGTAGATGGATTGTAGTATCGGATGCACAACACCCGTGAAGAATTTCTCTGCCAATTGACCACCGGATCCCAGGGAGATGATGACATGTGTTGCGCGCTCTGAGGCTGTGTGGTCTTGGCCGGGCGTCGTAAGAGAGCGCGATGATATGTTGAGCAAAGTCGGTGGCTTTGTAGCGTCGTTGTTCTCTTGCAGGGTAACGACTATTTCGGAAGTTCCATCGATACTCTGAATCGTGCTGATCATCTTCTTGGCCTGTTCGTCTGTGGAGGTCATTGTCGGTAAGTGCCGGGACTGAGTCAGCTCAGCCTTGTGCGATGAGATCAATGAGGGGTCCTGGGTCCACGGGATGTCGATCAATTGTGTTATCAGATAGAAGAAGGAACAGGACAATTACTAGACGTCTACATTCATGAGGTTGACACCTTAGGAACCCTCATGGCAAACATCATCTAGCACCTCTTGCATGAAGTCGCCGCCCGATCTAAATCCATCCCACCTGCCTTATTTCCCGTCTGACAGGTGCGCTAGTCCCTGTACGTCATGTTGGAGGACGAGCAGCGGGTGAGACAAAAAGCAGACATGATGTTGAAACCCAGCATGCCCAAGTTGCTTTTCGCAGAGAAAGCAGATACCTATCACTTGAGACCCATCATGTTTCTTGAATTGCAAAAGGGGCTTCCTTGACTTTTGTTTGGAAGGTTCTCTGGCAATGGGCGGCACGCAGCAGTGTAAGCACGTGTTACGTCATCACTTGGCAAGCACACGACGCCGAACGAGGCAGCTGCGCGGCTGTGCCTGATCTCAGCTACACCAACAGTTGACTTTTGCGGCGCAGACGAAGACGACGCTGCATGCCAGACACGGCGAGACATTTCATACACCTCCGCCACCTGCTTCTGCAGTGAAGCCAGCAATTTTCGTGCGTCCAGAAAGCCAATCCACGGAATCCGCGCAATTGCGACCCCATCTGCCCAACACACGTACATGCGACCTTAATCTCACCTCTGTCCCACAAACAACAACCACACGACCACCGCCACCATGAACGGCTGGGGTGTGTTTTTCATAATACTCCTGTTGCTACTGGTATTTTCCTACTGTGGGTGGTACTTTTATGCCCGCTGGAATGCCTCACGCAATGGTCTGCCACCACCGTCGATGAACCCGATAGCAGCCTTCAGGAGCAACGCCTCAAGCGCCGAAGCTTCCAACTACCCTGGCCCCGCACCCACCGGCATCAAGGGCTGGTTCGACGCCCAAATCAACAAGTTCAAGAACAGGAATAACCGGTACACCACAGGCAGCGGCTACGAAGACTCTGGCTACAACGGACAGCGAGGCGTGGGTGGGGGCCGAGGAGCAGGCAGTCGCCTGGACCCAGACGAAGCGTGGAGTTCGCGTGTGGGCGACGAGGCATACTACGAGGAGCAGGAACTTGGTCTTCATGAACCGCCAGCCTCGCACCAGCAAACCGCCAACCCCTTCGCCACTGCGGCTACTGAGCCAGCCCGCGGTCGTAGTCGCACCCGCGACGAGTACGACGAGCATCTTGATGCGCGCAACCCCTTTGGCGACGATAACGCTGCTACTAGCCTTAGAGGCGTCAGCCCCAGACCCGTCATGGATGCCGATACCAGTTATCGCGGTGGGGCAACGGCAACTATGCCGAGTGCCAGCCAACACCAGCACAGGGCTAGCAGAGGAAGCAGAGAAAACAGCCCCACGGAGAGCCGGAGGAGTATCTTCAAAGAAGGCTTATAGTCGGTGGGGGATGATGTGGTTTTTTCCTTTGTTGCTGGTATAACACTAGTCTGTTAGGGCGGAAGTAGTCTGGTGTTCTTGTGTGATTTGATGCGAGTATATAACCCCGGTTTTCGAGATTTTTCCTTGTCTGCGTATTGTTTCCGTTTTTCTCTTTTGCTTGTTCTGGGTGGGGAATTGATGGGTAGGGGAGTGTGGAGGTGAAAAGAGTTGGAGTTGGGATGTCGTGATGCGGGGAGATGTGATTTGAGCAAGGGGGGGTATAAAAGTCCACTGACGACAAAAGACGCCAGGACATGAATGCCATTCTTGGTCCCTTTCACAGCTTCTTCTTCATTCTAGCTTGCTAGCTACTATATTCCCGATTTTCTTGTCGCTTGTCGTTTATACACTCAGCCTTGGCACTTCATACACATCTCGTCTATTCACTGTTTTCGTCCTTTCGAGACATAGCGTGCGTTTGGCCTTCTGCATGACAACTTACTGTACTGACGTATGGGCGTTCTGGACTTCAGTCTTTTCGAGTGGAGTCACTTTTGGTGCGTTTGAGATGTCAGTTGGGCATGGGGACATGGGTATGTGTTTGCTCTCGTGTCATGACCTCTCCGATCGACGTCTTTTCGAGTTCGATCCTTCGATCGTTGGATCGTTTGTTCCGGTGTTGCCATTGGCACGGGACATAGGCCTGTGTTTGTTCTCTTGTCACAGCCCCGCGGTCTCGTTCTTTGGCTCGCCGTACCATCATTCGACACACGGTCGACCCACTTCTACGAACATGTATCTCATCGCCGCCTCCTGTTTCTTTTTGGTGCTGTCGTTGCCGTGTGTTGTTTTGAGTGGTCTCAAAGTTCCGGGCACTTGGTCCTGACCTCCATGCATATGCTGCGTTTAGTGATCTTGAATTCATATTCTTGAGTGCTGGTCAGCATGTCTACGTTTGCATATCCTCAACGGAGGTCGATTGGCGTTCTTGCGTTTGTTCAGTTGGCCTCACCGCTATGGATTGGCCCCATGTCTACCTGGGCGTTTGGCTCAGTGCCCTTGCGATCGGGATTTTGCTCACCGCTACAGTATCTGCCCAGTTTCGATTTCATGTCTCTACCCCATTTTCTTCGCGGCCATCCTCCTAGTGGGTGTCCTTGTGTATATAATGCCCTCTCCCATGGTCTTCTCTTCTTCTTCCTCACATCTCTACCGTCGTCCATTGTCTCTTCTCTTGTTGTCTTTGACAGACTGCCCCCACCACCCTGCCTCTGCGGTACTTGCTCCCGTCATTCTCTGGTACATTGTCGGTATCAGAGAAAACTTTCCGGGTGGTGGGGGCAAAGGCGATGCTGTCTAGTATTGAGGATCATCAAGCCCACGTGACGTCTCTCATTCACTCGCCTATCCCAACCGAGATTAGAAATGGCCGCAGCGCATTGGCCCGCCCGCAAAATACCCCTCCATCGCAGCTCGCTCCAAACAACATCCACACCACACTCGCGACAAGGTGACACACCCGTCAAGCCAGAGAACGGTAAGTCGGTCCCGACGGTTCTTTGCGCATAGCCTGTACTGACTAAAGGTTTAAGATGAACGGCTATCGAGGATCCGCCAGTTTCGAGCATATGCCCAGCTCTCCTTACCGCAACAGTAGCGACACTCAACGCAGTAAGTACTTGCACATTGCTTTGATGTCGCGGATTCACTTTCGCACATGCTACAGATGCTAATCAAGCTGTTTACAGACAGTGGAGCTACCGAGCCTACCGAAACCGTCGTAGCGTCTAGAGACAGAAGATAGGTCGCCCAACCGCTGGATTGTGGCCTATTACAAAGCCGTCGAATACGGCCGACGCAAAAAAGCCGACTATCTGCAGCTCACGGGTCAGTTTCTCGAGAAGGAACAAAAGGTCGACAAGGCAAACCATGTGCTTCGTGAGAGAAATGGTCAAATTCTCAAGTTGCAAGCGCAGCTCACGAACCTCAGGTTGAAAGTCAACAATCGTGACCAGACCATCCATGAGCTTGAGAACGAATTACGAGAACTGAAGTCAACAAAGAAGCAGTCATGGCAGAGGCAAGTCAACGAAACCACGGCCAGCTCACCCACAGAGCGCCGCCCTTACATCTTAACCCATGTTCTTCATCACAGCGCCGCTGTACGCAATCATCCCAGCTATGAGCATCCGGAAGCGCCACGCAAGAATGTGAAGGTCGACTTTTCACGCTTCATTCCATGTCTACACTACCCAACTGGCACAGGCAAAGTTGGACCCGGCCATTACGGCTCCAACGTTCATTGGGACTTGGGACTCTGTCAAGTTCACTTCCGCACTCCAGGCGTATGCAAATACAAAGAGCGTTGCGAGTACCGCGATGCACCTCTCGATGTCAATGAACGCCAATACATCCGCTTCTTCGAGCACAAGGGTCCCGCTTTCCTGGCCAGTACTGACGCCATCCTTGCTGCCAAGCACAGTGCTGCCTAGACATATGGTGTTTTACGGAGTACAAATGGGTTTAGGTGTGATCTTCTTAATACCATGGGATGTCCTGGTATGATTTGGTTGTGCATTATCTTTACAAGTGCATACTCTTCAGTTTAATGTAGACATCAAGGTGATACTTACCTTCTGTACTACTTGCGTATGAAGTGACATGTAGTCCCCAACTCATCTGATGAACCATACTAACAACCTCTGGAGACGCTACGTAGTTGGCTCTCTCATCTATACCATGGCGCATTTTGGACATGGCACCTCTTTCCTGGTATTCATACGGGTACACTCATAGTTACCGCCCACACTCTTAACTTGTAATGAGACCCTGTATATATATTACAATATTGAACAATATTTCATCAAACCAAAGACCCTCTCAGTAATGTTAACGGGCAGTCAGTCCAAGAAGTCCCTCTCAGAACTGTTAATGAGGAGTTAGAAAGTTCCGAGTAACAATACTAATGGGCAGCCAGTGAGATAGCCCGAGGTTCGAAACTCGTGAAGGTGGTTGTCCACCTTCTTTTTTGTCCTTTTTTTCGATCCTGTTTTGACAGAACTCTTAACCTTGCAGCATCTAAGCCTACATACAACCCTATTGCCTCCTTAGCCGTATCTATTTTCTCCGCCTTACCCTTGTCCTTCCTTACGTGTCACCTTCTCTACCTAATGAAGCGTCTTAAGCGTAAGAGTAGAATAGGTTCTTATTATTGTGTGACCTAACGTTCTGATATCTTTACACAAAGTACTTGCGCTCTACGAACTTACATGCGTTATTAATGCTACTCAGTTGTTTTTGATCTACTTTACATGATTACGGTACCTATCCTTCTCGTACCAAACTAAAGAACCGTTAAGTACATGATTTTGACGAGAGCTCTACTAAGCCTTTCTCATCCTTGCCTCTATTAAGCTTTCTTACTCTTACCTTGTAAGTTCCTCGCTGGAAAATGTATTTCTGCTTAAATATTCGGTGCTATATAGATGTTCGGTCGAGGTTCCCAAGGTATTATAGTGTATTTAGGGGTCAGTGTAAGATATCAGCCTAAGTACACAGTCTCCCGCTTAATGTAGATAGTAAAGTGACTCTTACCTTTAGTGCTACTCGCTACAACGTAATCTACAGCCTTTGAAACTCTTATTTGACCTTGATAGCTTACCTCCAGACATCCACTGTAGTCGCCTGCTCGCTTAAGAAATCAACGTATCCTGGAATTCCCAAATACTCACTGCATTCGCTGCATCCGCTGCATGTATACTTGGGATGAAATGATGGGCCGTATGCATAGCGCAAACAGATCACGCAAATGCGTCTGCACCCTAGTCATGACGTTCATTATATGGATGATGAACGTACGACGTAGTATTGTAAATGCGGACACTCACGCTCACGCTCACTCACGCCCACGGACTCGCTCTCACTCGCGCTAAGCGAGCCACCTACGCACACGCGCAACATCACTCATAATACCTGGATTGTTATTTTAGATGTTTATGAATAGTTTCAGCGATAAGAATTCATCAAGTATAGACGTATACTGCCAGACCAAGCCCTAGCAGTAGGGCTGCCAGACCAGAGACAGCACGGGGTTCGAAACGTGTGGTTGTTCATTTCTTTTTTGTACTTTTTTGTATCTTAATTTTCTTTTTAACAAGTTTCAACGCAGGGTGAAGTAGAGTAGTTGTTGCGGTTTGTGAGGCAAGGGTATTGCGCATGTCACGTGCGTTGTCCTGGCGCTCCTCCCTCCCCTCCATGAGCACCTTCTCCCCTCACCAGCATCAGAGATACGTCATGTAAATAGACCCTGATTATGGCTACATATAAAGTGGCCATGACAGCACAACAACGACAAAACAATATATACTCTGATGACTGCCTCGCGCGGTTACACTTTAATTGACTGCATTGTACTGCAACAGTAGTAGTATTAAATCTTACCTTCCTACAATCGCATCAGCCCTTTAGCCCACAGAACCTAATAAGATAAACCATCTCTTGATTTACCTTTTACTCTGTTGTCGCGCCATAAACGCATACCTACAGCCTGCATATGTTATTGTTGTCGCACAGCCGTCACCTCTCCCTTCCCTTAGATGGGCCGCCTCTAATTTGCGCAAAAGGCGCGCGCAAGAGCGCAGTGCCTGCGGTACCTGCTCTCACATTACACCTAATCACGTTACTCTTAGAAGAGTGTATCTGGTTCCCTTGAGGAGACATTTATACCATGTATATATTTTGAATTATTCAAGCTTCTATCAAGTACAGACGTGTGTAAAGATAGGGCCGTCATTCGGCTGCAAAACAGCCTTATCCTGCTCAATATTCAATTGAACGAGCGGGAAAATGGCATCCTTCACTGTTACTTTAAGATCTATTTGGGGAGCTCGATTGGCTTCATTGACCTCGCGTCTCAACCTCTGGACCTTGCCCTTCACGCGGTCTACTTCGTGCGCTTGCACAACATCAGCAGCAGTCAACTTCTGATGCTCGGCTGGTGTTTAGGGCGTTGCGACTATCGAAGATCTAGATATGCTCGATACGGCGCAGTCTCTCAGCAGCAATGAGCTTTTGTTAAAGGCCGTCAATTTCCTGCTGTTGAAACAAACATCTTTTCTACATGACGGCAAGTGTGACGAAACCTGAGACATCATATGCAGAGCTCATCGAAACAGCATGGTGTACACTCTCATCATTTACTCCTTGGACTTGCATCCATTACTGTGTGGTTAGACAGACATCGTTTCACAGTATTCAGATGTATATAGGGAAATCAAGAATTACTATTTAATATACACTATGTGATCACTCAACTGGTTCGATAACCGGTTGAGTATGGATCTCCCGGCCCCAGCGATATCACCAGAGCCGGGCGGGGAGAGGTGCGGCCGGTCATGAAGATCCAGCCGCGATTCTTGCGGGCTATCTATTCTATCTATTCCGGTTGAAATTCGTTGGCTTTGTAAGCCTCTGTTGTGATATGCTCGAGGTACGCACGCAACATGCCAGGCTGGTAGAGTATCTGGTCCTTGATGATTGACAGGTCGTCGACTACTTCGAATCGATATGAAAAAGCCGTCCAAGCAGATCGTGGTCGACTGTATGCCATAGAAAAAGCTCTTCGGAGCTTAGGGGCCTGGAGATGCCGTCAGGCTGCGTGTATTCTGGTATAGTCCATGCGTGGTCTTGCTGAACCCTCTGAGTAAGTTTCAGACGATGCGGTGTCTTCGTCAGACTCCGCAACAATCAATCGGATCGGCATGATTGATTCCTATCTAGGTTAAAGGCTGCCTAATAAAGTAACTCTTTAACCTATATAGGAATCAATCATGTCGATCGATTGATTGTTGCGGAGTCTGGTCTTCGTGATGGTCGCCATTGCTTGTTGGGTCTTGCTGATGGCCTTCGTTGCTTGCTGAGTCTTCCTGATGGCCATCACTGATCGCTGAGTCTTGCTGAAAACTCTGAGTGAGTTTCAATCATGCTTGTGGTTTCTTGTTGGGCTTGTGTAGTGGCCCTTCCCTGTATCTGACAGCTGACTAATGTGGTGCTCGACTCCGAATCTGACAGCTCCTTTATCCGTTGCATATGCTATGGCAGGAAATTATCAGGCGCATGGCTGTAATATTCTTCTTCGTCATACTGTGGTGTATAGACTGGCTGGTATTCCGGGGAGTTGGGTTGGCTAGTGCGATTACTCAAGGACCTGCTAGCGTAGCGCAAGCTGGCTGTTTGGGCGGGTGTGGTCATTCAAACTCTATTTGAGCAAACAATCTGTCGTGATGTAGAGAGTTTTATGTAGACGACTTGTCTTGCGTGCCGCAAAGGTAGCCCCAGCCAGGACGCTGTTCCTGCGGCATTGCTATAGTCTGTGCAATGCGGGCTGTATGTTGGTGTAAAAAGTGCCTTGCTGAACTCGCAGAGCCTCTAAAGCTGAAGTGTTTTGGTATTCTGCTGCTGTTGAAGTGTTGTAAAAACGAAAGCATCGGTAATTACGGTCTCGTTGGACCATAATGTGGGCCAGCACTGGAAAAGAATTCATGGTGGGTATAGGGACGGAACACAGGTGTTTGAGTCTACCCTATATATACTATAGTATTCTGAAATATTTCATCAACTAGACATATTTCTCCAGTTCTTTTACCTAAAGTAGCCATTTAAGATACCTCTAGCAATAATTCAGGTCCACAGACTTTATCCCTGTCAATAGAGCGCCTGAATTCGATTAACAACTGTGCACCTCTTTGGTCTGTAATCATTTGCAACCAAGGTGCGGACTTTCTTTATACCCTCTTTCTTTCCCTATATTCTTGCACCGTTTTGAACGCATTATTAATGTGATAGTTTTACTTCTTTTACTTACCACGCATTATATCACGTTTACTAGCGAGTGCAGTAAAGCATAGATTCGCTACTATCGCATATATGCCTCATTCTCTATAAGTATTTCATTCACTGATGCATTGCCATCTACACTAACTGACACTCGGAATAGGGACTGGGCCGACGGGCCCTTGACTCGCTCCAATGTTAGCCTGATGCATAGTCCGCGCTCCCCAATGATCGGGATAATCTACTGCAGTATGGAAAACCTGGTAGTTCGCCCACATGACCACATCACCCTCTTCCACCTTTGGCAACATGATATAATCTGGCCTAAGCACGCGTTCCTGAATGGGCTTAAGCCACTCCCGGATCTCAGCAACATCGTCAACTACGCGCGGCTCCTCTGTCTCGCTAGACCGCAGGAAAGCTCTTCGCACACAGATACCGTGGACCATGAATGCGCGCTCGCCCGTTACGGGATTCACCCACACCATCGGGTACCTCTTAACATTCTTTTCATCATATGGGCCAAGTTCCCCCAGCGTCTTCTCTTTCCCTTCGCTCACCAGCCCCAGACCAGTAGGTTGCGCTTTGCAGTCGCCCATCCACTGGTACGGATGCGGCGCGTACTCCACCCACGAATGATCTGCAATTTGCCTCTCGTCCTCAGTCATCATGCCGTACGTCTGCACGTTGCTGAAGAATGCAGTAAGACCTGGTTCCGTCTTCATCGTCAGACCGCTGCCATCGTCCCAGTGAATGGTTAGTTCGGGTGCCGTGGGTCGCTGGATGCAGCGCAGTGTGGTGAACCAGGCAGGATCGCGCGCGTAGAGCGGAGCGTCAATGTGCCAGCGCTGGAAGCGTGTGTGACCTTTAAGGAAGTCCTCTTCTTTGGGGGCATCGGCGTGCCATGCGTGGAGGATGCCTTTTTTGATGTCGATGTCTTTGAGGCCGTAGTGGTCGGCGCCTTGGTGGCCCTTTCCTATTAGTCGCACGTTTTCTGCGCTGGGGATGCCATAGATTTCGCGGCCTTTCTGAGGAGGGGGTTAGTAAAGCCGCGTTGCATGTGAGGGGAGTTGGAGTACGAACTGAGAGAAGACCACCTGTTTTGTGAAATGTCTTTAGGTCGCCGTGGGAATGCACTTGGGGCGCTTGGGGGTCGAAGCGTGTTACAAGCTCCCATTGCTTGATGGGTGCGAGATTTTGATGTCCTCTGACGACTACGAGTTTGTGTGTCCAGATTGCGTCGGCTAGCGCTTTCACATCGGCATCTATGGCGCGATATTAGATACTAGAAAGGTTCTGTTGGTATCATACACACCACTGATGTTGTTGAGATCGAGGTCCTCAATGACAGCGCCAAAGTCATGTTTCTCTTTTGCAGTCTTGTCCATCTCATTGAGCGTAAAAGAAGGCTCGGGTGCGAGGATACCGGGCGCCATGGTGTTGATTCGTGGTCGTGCTATCTTGCTTCCAGCTATCTTCCGACGAGGGGGTTATCTCCTCCGAGCTTGCTTTAGCAAAAATAGTGAAAGGTCTGAAGCTGTAGTGTTGAAGCCGGAGTTCATGAAGCACTGGAATCTCGTCTTTGTAGCATATATGTTGGTCTCGTAAAACGACACGAGATCTGTAGGTCTTTTCACCCACACTCGAATCGCGCACTTGGCCGCGTCTCCAACGGTCGCTGCCCATCCGATCGCGGCCTGCGTATCTCAAAGCCTCCACAATACTATTCATGAGTATCTACCGAACATGCGGGGCACCATCCTTTGAGACGGGATGTTAGGTGATGCTTGTAGCGAGTCGGCTATCTTATCAGTGGCCCTCGGCCGAAAGCCTAGACAAGGAAGCTGCGAATGTCGCGACTTCGGCCGATTCTAATAGTTCGTGAGCTTGCATTAGTCTTTCGCTTTCTTAGTAGTGAAAGCGGGTTCTAGTGACTTTGATGGTTACCGGGTAGTGGAGAATGACTTATACCATCTGGGCAGCTATTTTCTCCACCTACGTCTATTTCAGCTGGACTTCGGCAGACAGCAAGCGCGAGCAGTTGGAAGATAGTTGGTAGCATATCGCTGAGTGCATAATGGCAGCACGAGGTTCATTGTAAAATTGATGGGTGTTATATAGGAAGTCAAATTGTTTAGGCTATGGCTTTTTCTTTTGGGGGCTCCACCCATGTACCACACGACCGTCGCCTTTTCCAACAGCGGATTGCCGACAGAAGTTCATCCCCCGCTGCTAGTTCAAAGCCTCCTGCCCTCAATCATCATATCACAATATTGAATCAACCCGAAGGATGATCGCTCGCCGCAATATTGCACTGATGCATCACACGCAGACTCCGCAACAATCAATCGGATCGGCATGATTGATTCCTATCTAGGTTAAAGGCTGCCTAATAAAGTAACTCTTTAACCTATATAGGAATCAATCATGTCGATCGATTGATTGTTGCGGAGTCTGATCACACGCGGTCCGTACGACTTGGGGAACTCGGTCTGCGTACCACTCCGTTAGCAATCATCTCATACAATGCTGCCGTCTTGAATACACTTACAATGCTGTGCCACAACGCACGGTTGTACCATAAGATGACATCTTGCTCCGTGTGTGGATGGGCATAGATATTCTCGGGCTGTATCGCCGGTCTCATCAATCTATTCTTTCAATCAGCATGGAAATACCGGACAAGAGAGCGATACTTACTTGTCCATGAACGCCCTGACTTCTCTGAGATCTTCAATAACTATTTCCGCACCTTCCGGACTACTCTTAAGGTAAAGTTTGAAAGCACCCTGACCGTGGACCTGAAGTGACTTCTCGCCAGTCTTTGGGTTTGTCCATACCATGGGGTAGATGCATACTTTGCTCTTGTCCCATTTGGGCAGCTCATCGAGTGGCTTCTCTAGGCCTTCGGTTTCGATAGAATGCCCCAGTCTCGTACTGTGGGTCTTTGATATCCATACGAAAGCATGAGGCGCATACTCAATCCTGCTGTTCATGACAATATTCTTTGTTTCTTCGGCCAGAAGTTCTAGCGCACGGCTGCCAGCAATCATCGCCGTAGAACCTGGCGCCATCTTCATTTGCGTGCCAGCTTCATCTTCCCACCGCACTGTTACATCTGTACCCTTGGGTGTTCTAACTGCCAAGAGACAGCCTACACGTGGAGGAGGGATATCGTACAGGGAACCATCGAAATGCCATTGGTAGAAACGGGACGCGCCCGTCTCACGCTCAGCAGCTGGAATATGTGGTGGAAGATGGAACTCTTCATGATCGACGCCTTGCACTTCAAAACCTGGTGGAAATCCAAAGTGGCCTTCTGGAATAGGGCCACGGCCGAGGATATGGACTTGTGGTTGTACTGGGATCGCGGGGCGCTTCGGAATCCCGTAGAAGTCTACACCGTCATGGTGTGTCAGGAAAGGATCATGGCCGTGAGCAAAGCCTCCAGTTGTTTCCTCGGGGTCGAAGCTGCTGTTCATTAGCTAGCTCTCCGACGTGCAACAACCACGTCTTACTTGGCAGTCAGCAAGTACTGCTGCTGAGGCTTCAGCATCTCCGGCTGCTCTTTGAATACCAGTAGCTTCCATTTGTGTAACGTATCTGAGATGAACTCGAAGTCGGCATCCGTGAAGTTGTTCAAATCGATCCCGTATATTTCCGCACCAAAGTCTGCTTTGCTACCTTCAGGGTGTTTAATGGGGATAACTCGTCCAGTAGTTTTCTCGGCGTGTGGAAGATCCAAAGCAGGTTTCTCAGCCTTCAGTTGCAGGTACTTTGAACCCTCGGTTATGACTGCTGTGACGCACAGTCCGCAACAATCAATTAAGTGGGTCCTAGAAGGTTCAGATTGGATTGATTGATTACCGCTTTAAGCCTAGTAGTTACCTATAGGAGTTTAAGCCCTACCTAGATAGGTAAGTGGGTCTAGGAGAGTGACCGGATTGAATTGATTGTTGCGGAGTCTACTGTGACGACCATTGTGCTGGTTTGTTGCGTATCGAAGGAGTGTTGTTTGACACAGTTGAGCTATGCAATCACACTCTTGACAACCCCAGGATTGTCGCGGGCGCGTATAGTGCTACCAGTTACGTGAAGTGGCGGTTCTTGTGATCATCCCGAGCCCGAGGTACCGATGCTGTGATGATAACGCCTCGGATTGGGTTAACCACATACGGAACTCGGCCGAGCATCCACCTCTGCTGCTCATTCCATTTACTATCATCACCCAGATCGCTGTGTCGGTAAAAACACAAGTAAGTAAAGTTCATTCCAGCCCAGTTCGCAATAGGTACATCATTTTGTGTCGAACGCTACAGAGGCTGTATTTTTGGGTGGGTAACCTTCATCATGATTGCTCGTCAGCTTAATTCTTCATACTTCACAAAGTCCTCCGATACCAAGTTACATTACTTACAAGGTGGTGAGCCTTCAGGTCCACTTCTGATCTGCCTTCATGGGCTCGGCGGCTCAACCGAGACATTCATCCCACTCGTTCCATCTCTCCCGCAGACGTACAACATCATTCTTATCGACTTTCAAGGATTCGGAAAGACCTCGCTGGCAGACCCCAGTAGAAAAATCTCGATCACAGGCCATGTTGTCGACTTGAACGAGTTTGTCACATCGCTACAAAAACCTCCGAGCGCATCGAACGCATCCAAGATCGCGATTATTGAACACTCCCTTGGCGCCATTGTCGCCTTGCACTATGCCGCAGCATACCCGGAATGTATTGGAGGTCTCGCGCTTCTTGGCCCTGGTCGAACAGCAGGCCACATACCTGCGGTTCGGCAGCGCATGCTTGATCTCGCAACGGCAGTCAGGGAGACTGGTATCGACATCGCTGCAAAAACTGCGGTCAAGTCCAACTTCTACGAGGATACGTAAGCATGACTCACATACCAATCAAAGCCACCAGAATTCGACTGACGGGGTTTCTGTAGTCAGGAGCGAAAAGTGGATCCAGCTGCACGGGAGGCTGTCAAGTCTGACGTGAGCACTTCGGACCCAGAAGGCTATGCACAGACTTGCGAAGCTCTCGTGAGTCTTGACCATAAAGACCCTCAATACAAGAATATCAAATGTCCGATCGTATTCATTGCCGGAGACAAAGATATGATTAGTCCTATAGAGCGATCAAAGGACCTTAGTATGCTGGTCGGCGGGAAATCTCAGGTAGAGGTCGTGAAAAGTGGACATCAACCGATATTGGAGGACGTACTAGGTGTTCAAAAGGCGATCAAGCTATTATTCAAAAATGTACAGCAATAGAGCGGTGGAAAGAAAACAACGATGAGCTTCGATGAAGGAAAAACAACACCGTAAGCACAGCGATTCAGATATTTGGAAAGTCGTAGTTTGCTAGATACAAAAGGTCATCAAAGCTAGTCACGCCTGCCACTAAAGAGGGGAAAGAAGACTCCAGTTGCGCAAAGTCCGTACTTGATGAGTTGTTTTCGCTTGAATGATATGTCGGGGGCGGATCGGCGGAGCAAGATGTTGGCACGTGATCTCGTGAAAACGTAGGTGGTCTATTCGCGCTGTTGCTCCTGAAAAAATCTCTGACCAAGGCTGAGACATTGAACTTGATTGCAGGCGTTCCATCTCTATTACGCTTCCCCCTCCGTTGTTGCATACCCTCCTGAGCCGTCTGCGCAAGAATGGCTTCTAACAACTTTGTTCCTCTGGTTGCAATCATGCTATTGCGTCGCGATCGCAATATACGTACTATATCTTGGGCATGAGTGCGGTGCTCCATACACTCTTTTTCATCAGGGTCACGATGAAGAACGTCCAGCAAAAGAGTGATAGATGCGGCCACAGCGAAAGCGTGATGTATCCACAAAATAGGCTCGTCTTCTTCAACCAGACACTTGTATTTCTTGATGATGGTCTTGGAGGCAGCAAGACAAATCCGACGAGTGAATGCGAATACAGGGTTTACAAAACTATCCAGTAAAAATGAGCGGTGTATCATGATTATCTTATGGCTTGAGGTGATGGCAAGAGCACGTCGTACGCATGGTACCCACACAGGCCAAGTGGGATCCAGTGGCACGTTGGTCATGAAAAGGGGCCGTTCTCGTGTTGCTAGAGCACGAAGTTGGGCGTCGCAATTCAGAACCTTCTCATAACGAGTATAGGCTGTATTGGCAGAGACGAGGCCATCTTGAAGTTGGGGTATGATGATTGCGATATCCCGTAAGAACCGAGAGTAGCTTATGGTCGTGGGTATGTTGGCGTCAACTAGGACTAGATTGTGGTCATGACTATTTGATAGTGGTGCAGACGTAGAATACTTGGGACTGATGAGGTAGCTTTCCGAGAACGGTATGCTGAACCAATCTTGACTGCAAAGCTGGCACCAGACTCGGCGACCTATCTCATTCGCCATTAAATCCCCTGCTGCATCAGGTCCTAGACGATGGCGGCCCAGAGATTGTGCAATGGGCACAGCGGTTGCAAGATGTATGCTTTGAGTCGTGCTGAATCCTAGGAGATGATCGGAAACTGTCGCTGTGGCTATTGCTTGGCATGAGAAAATGTTCAAGTTGCTTGTATAATTGGCTCAATTGAGGCAAGTGATAATGGCTTGGAACCATCGCCTCGAAAGCGTTTCTCGCTCCGCTTCGTCAAAACCCCACGCCTGCGCTTGAGTATCCGGTGCGCATGTTAGGCTCGCCGCGAGGATTGAGAATAAGAGTGCGACCCATTGTAGATTGACAGAAGAATCCTCAATGAGGCCATTGTATTTGTCATAGAAGTCTGACAGTTGCGTTTGGAATGTGGGGTCGAAGTAGCTGCCGTGATACCACGAAAGGCAGTCCCTATGGTAGTCGACCAATTATCGGACTTGCTGTGCACTTGGGAGTAAATTTTGAACCACTGGAAGCTGCGACAAGTCTTCGAGTATACGAGCATCTGTCCCTGGTGAAGCATTCTCAATAGGTTCATGAAAGATGACTGTATGGCAATCCGGATCTTTCCTCCTTCCCCAGGCAAGAAACTCTAGTACTGTCGCAGCATCTCGATTTGCAGAAATGCTATTACTGTCATCAGTGGCTTCGTTGGTGCACACGTCGGTGTCTCCGGCTGCAGGTCGCGCGTTGTAGTGCAATCGTTCGTTAGACTAGCTTGATAACCCTCATTTTCGAGCTGCGTGAGCCGCTGTCGCAGAAATTCAAGCTCCTGCGCTTGTGAAGACAAAGACCGTGATGGAGAAGTCGGATCGCCTTGTATATCGTCTATTCCACACGTGTCTTGCTGTCTCCTCCGAATACAATTGGTGCAAGGGACTGTCTTGCTGCATTTGACCTTCCGCCTCGTACATGCTGAGCAGGTCAGCCTGCTTCGTGACGAGACCGACATGACTGTCTGAGGCTATGTGAACCCAGATTATTAGATACGTGTGTAGTGGCCATGATTCAGGAAACTGTTGTAGATAAGCGTTGGGTGGAGAGGAGGGATGATAAGGAACGTGACGTTGCGCACGAGATTAACGTGTCTGTGCGCGTGATGCCCATAATCGCGTGCCGCACACCCCACCAATATCGCGACGACGGCAAAGTTGAGGCTGCGCAGCCACGTACAATAACTATTATCGCGAGATTTTCCGGTGTATTGATCTATAGACGTAGCTCTACAACTTTGTCTATCTATATTTTGCCGGAGTATTGACGGCCCGGCCGCGTCGGGTGGTTGTTGGTGGGGGAGCCGGTGCAGCCACCTCAGCCAGAGTACCACCGCCAGCACCACCCACGCGTCGTTTTTTTGGCTGTTGCTTTGCAGCGGGCTTTGAAGCCTTACGCTTGCCCGACTAGGGTTGTTGTATAGCCTTTGCAGCGTCGCGATCGCGTCGTTTGGCGTCAAGTTCGGCAGCCTTTACAGCCTTGGCTTCATCCCGCACCTTCTTTGCCTCCTCACGCGCCGCCCGCGCTGCCTCTTTGATCTTAAGTTGATAGATCCTGTTGTTCTCCTTTGCCTCTTTCAACTCTATCTTATCAAGTAGCTCTTTCTCCTTCTCCTTCTCCTTCACTAGCTGCCTAAAGCGGGCCTCTCGAAGCTTGCACGGCGACCACTAAACTGCCCCTGAATAGAACGCTTTTCGCTGCTGTAGATCTAGGGGAGGTTCGTGCCGATTGCGGGGCTTCTGGTGAACGTGTAGCGCCGCGCGCAGTGCGTCCTTCTCGTACTCGGCGATCTCTTTGGCAGCCTGGAGGCGGAGGAGTATTTCTGAGAGGTTGTTGGCCGCAATAGAGCTCGGATCGTAGGCCTGATTAATGAGGTTCGTGATAGTAGCTCTACTCACGTTCACTAGTGGCGGCGGTGCTGTTAGTGTTGACTTTCGGAACTTTTTAAGTACTACTTCGGGATCTATAGGAGCTATCCCAGTGGCTTTAAATGCCTTCAACGCGTGCTTCTTAATAAAAGAGGAGTCCTAGGCAGGCTTAAAAAGACGGTAGAAGTCATCCTTCCTCACAGCTAAGAGACCGTGGCTCGCCTGGAGGTAGTGCTGCAAGCTGAGTGAGTACGCGGCTGCTAGAGGTTTGAACATTACCACATCGAGTGGCTGCAGCGTATGGGTACTATGGGGGGGTAGTACGAGTAACATAATATTGTGGGCGATCGCGTAGTCAATAAACTCCATAGTAACGTGACTCCCATAGCCGTCAAGGATGAGTAAGCGTGTGTGATTGCCGGCCTTCTCCTTCGTATGGCGATCAAACACCTGTTCGAGCCATGCCAGGCCTACCTAATCATTGGTCCACCCTGAGGGACTTGAGGTAACGTAGACTAGATCGTCAATTGCGATATCATCAACCTATCTGGCGTACATGTTGCCCGAAGTAGCTTCGTATATAATCGCGGGCGGTAACGTACTCCTATTAGCACATATAGCAGCGATAACAGTGATCCAATCTCTGTTGCCGTCCTGTATCACTTTCTTAAAGCCCCCAGTCTCATATTTCTGCTTACTAAACACTCTCTTACTCCTCCCCGTTACTCTAATAAGGAATCCCTTCTTATCTATATTATATACATCCTGCGCCCGAATATAGTGCTGAGCCATTTTAGTAGATAGTAGATCAAAGTACGACTCGTACTTGTATACAGAATCAGCCTGGTGGCGATTGCGGTCCAAACCAGTTGACCAACGTGATATAATCGCGTCGGGATGACGGTGAAAGAAGCGCGTCACCTAGCTTTAGGAGGCAGCCCTTCCGGCTATAGCACTAGCAAAGTTCTAGATTATAGTCCTCGTCGGTGGTAAGCCAGCCTTAGTAAGCTCATTAATGTGCTCTAGAAGCTGTAGCTCCTAGTGTAGGTAAAGGAGTTGCTGATTACGTGATTTGGCTTCATTTGAGCCCCGGATCTGTTGATGGCGTCGCGACAACGTAGAGCGATCAACACCAAAGCGGCGCGCAACCTCAGAGTATGTAAATTTATCTCCGGGATCACGCGATTCAATAGCTTCAATCGCAGCGTTGATACAACTCATAGTTGTGGAGTTATGGGTGGTTGAAGTGGTAAGGGTGGATTGGTGTTGATGTTGCGGGGTGTGCGGCACGCGATTATGGGCATCACGCGCACAGACACGTTAGTTGAAGTTCCGATCGGAAATCACAATATCGACGTACCTCCCACTTTAGACATCCATTGCGCGCCTTGTTTCACATTGCACCTCTTACATGACATGAGCGACGCTTATCCATGCACCTTAAGAGGAATACAATCAATCAAGCATGTGAATCCTACTCTCGGCAGCGAAGGACTTCCGCTCCAACCAGACCGATGCGAGTGATAAGAATATCGCGAACCCATGTTCTCCTCCACTCCATCTAATGGCGCGCACGCAGCCATATCTGTACAACGGCCCTAGATGCACCCTAAGACTGACACTACATGGGCAAACACTAGTGGCGTTTTGACTGGCGATTAAATATACTTCACAAACCTGCGTGAGTACAGAGTATACATTTGAGAGTACGCTTCAGCCATGCTTTCTTCACGCAGCATCCGCAACCGCGGCCATGCAGTAAAGGAAAAAGTTCATCAGCGTCTCACAGATGCATCCAGCTGGCGGCTTCCTAAGCAAAATAGCGGTATCGCACCACCTGATGTCTGGACGAATGCGGATATGGAACCGGTGCCGCCGGAGAAGCGCACTTGGGGCAAGAGTGCTTTCGTGACCTACTGGTTCTCGGACTTGGTAACCATCTCAACTTGGAGCTCAGGATCGGCTATTTTCGCCTCTGGTATTCCTATCCGGTACAACATGCTGCAGCATACGAGTACATGCTGACAGATGCAGGTCTGACTGCAACCGACGCTGTCGTCATCACGCTCGTGGCAGGAATATGCAACGCTTTACCAACGGTACTCAATGGCGCCATCGGATCAAATCTGCACGTCCCTTTCCCTATCGCATCTCGCGCGAGCTTCGGTTACTGGTTCAGCTACTTTGCTGTTCTTAGTAGAGGTGTCTTGGCCATGTTCTGGTTTGGTGTACAGACGGCTAATGGAGGAACATGCGTAACAGTGGTATGTGAAGACGACATTACGCCAAAACGACACATCTGATACAATCACAGATCCTTACAGCCATCTGGCCGAGCTTTCGGGCACTACCTAACCACCTACCTGCATCAGTTGGCCTTACAACGGCTGGAATGGTCTCGTACTTTCTGTATTGGCTCGTCCAATTTCCGTTTCTTCTTATCCCTACCCACAAGCTTCAGTACATGTTTTGGGTGAAGACAATCTTATTGCCGCCTGTAGCCATTGGGATGACTGTCTGGGTTGCCGTCAAAGCAGGTGGCAATGGCACCTTCTTCTCTCGTCCGGCCTCTGTGCATGGGTCTGAACGGGCTTGGCTTTGGCTGTCTGGCATGACAAGCATCACAGGAGGTTATAGTACCCTCGCCGTCAACATTCCCGACTTTTCAAGGTTCAGCAAAGATCCTCGAGCTCAGTACTGGCAGATGCCAGTGATTCCATTCTTCAAGACCATGGTGGCTTTGATGGGTATTGTGTCTGCATCTGCTGCGCAACAGATTTGGGGCACAGCCTACTGGACGCCACTCCAAATCATCGATACCTGGATGAATACTCCTGGTGGCCGTGCTGCAGCCTTCTTTTGCGCCTCGATCTGGTTGCTTGGACAGCTCAGCGTCAACATTAGCGCCAACGCCGTATCTTTCGCCAATGACGTTACAACGCTTGCACCCAAGTACTTCAATGTGCGTCGTGGGTCCATTCTAGTGGCTTTCATTGGAGGTTGGGCGCTGTGTCCTTGGATCATTGTAGCGTCTGGCAAGGCTTTCCTCAATTTCATGAGTGCCTATGCCATATTCATGGCACCCATGGCTGGCATACTCTTTACCGACTACTGGCTAGTCAAACATCGAAGATACGACGTCCCCGCTTTATACGACCCACGTGGCATCTACCGCTATGGTCGGTATGGAACGAACTGGAGGGCTTTCATTGCAGTGTTTGTCACTATTATACCACTATTGCCCGGTCTGGCGAACAAGGTGAACCCCGACATCAAACTTGCCGACGGACTTCAACACCTTTTCACGTTCAACTGGCTTTATGGCTTTTTCTTATCCATCTTCATATACTACTTTTGTAATCTCTTCTTTCCGCATAGACAAACACTCATCACCAAAGTTGTTACTGGTTTTGAACGTCTGGATGGTATTGAAGTGGGAGAAGAAGAGAATAACTACACAAATGTTGGGAAGGTTAGTGACTCCAAGGTTTCCCAAAAATCATCAAGTCGCGACGATTGAGGGTCGACGATTCAGATTACTGGAAGGAAGGCCAGATATTATCGTGTATACTAGGCATACACTATGCCTCTCATTCTCACAAACCAAACTCCTCCAACTTGCTCCCATCCGCAATTCCACAAGTCCAAACGTTCACCTCAACATCCTCACCCGTCCACATAATGCCCTTTACAGTCCTGGTACCCCAGCTCTTGAATCCGGCTCTACGAAACAGTTTCATCGAAGGCTCATTGGTCACGTGCGTCAAACCCGCAAACTCTTTGATGCCCTTCGTCTCATAGTACTTTATCAACTCCTGTACCGCCTCGGTCGCGTATCCTTTTCCATGATATTTTTCCATCATATTGAACCCTACATCCGGAATCGTTGGTCCAGGAATACCGTCAATTCTCGCTACTTGCATGCTCACAAGGCCAATGTGCTCAAATTCCCTCTCTGAAAAGGGCTTTCCGGACTCGTCTTCGTTTTCAGGCTTCAAGCTGATGAGGTAACGCCCGTAACCTGTCTTTATCAATCTTTCTTCACCGGCTGCCAGTATCTTGCGGGCAGCTTCGCGATCTGGAATTGTCTCGAGGACATTTGGATGCCATTTTCTGGATGGGGCGCTGTGGAGAAGCTCGAGAAAAAAGTCGCAGTGAGCATCGAGGGTTGGATCGCAGTATGAGAGGTATAGACGAGGTGTCGTGATGTGGAAGTCGAAGCGTGACATTTTGAAGACGAAATGAATGGATATGATGGAGTGGATGATGGCGATTGGCTCTCCAGAGTTGGATCTAGGTCAGATTTATATCGTGGTACCTCAGGCAGCCCGTGAATGAGTCATCTGTGTGGATATCAAGGCAACACCAAGCGCTAAGGAGGATGAGGAAGCTCGCAGAGATTGTTCGCAATTGGATGATATGTCGACGCCCTACGCCCTGGCCCTTATCAATCTTGTTACCTGAGGTCAAATGCGGAAATGGCACGACATGAGTCATCCTGCGCAACATAGGTACTTGATCGTTGCACACAACAAGATTCGTTATGATTAACCATCCCCGCATTTGATGCAGTTCTCGACGTTACAGCAGACAGCTCTCTGGACCATCTGTGACGTCACCGCATCTGATGGTGAAAGCGAAGTATCGCGAACGTGAACCCACTAATCCTATTTAGGCAACGCGCGGGGAAAATATGGAGACACCCACCATGTACATCCTCGCCCAGCTTGAACTTTCATACATTATCTTCCCAATCTCATTCAATCATGGAATCATCAGCGTCCTCCTCCGCCAAGAAGCGTAATCGAGCAAAGAACCGACAGAAACGCAAAGAGAAGGAACAGCAACAAGTGGGATCGGGTTACTCGACACCCGACGAAGATATACCCCCCAATGAGCCCTATGGGCCATGGGATGAGCCAAAACGCCAATGGGATACGCGTCTCAGTGGTCAGATGCCGTATGATTGATCATGGGAAGATTTCCAATGATGTGCAAAGACAAGAGCAGGGAAACCGATCTTGTACGAACCTCCTATGATCTCTCAAGATCAAACACTGCGCGTTGATAGTCTGCGCAAGTTCGGCAGCACTACTAAGCAGATTCTGAAGATTTAATTTTCCCCTATGATCAATGTCGACAAGTACGTCTGGCCCCTTGCATAACCTCTGACGACACGCGCTAACTTCATTCAGCTCCGTCATTGACGTGATCACAACAGCAGACCCTGTCTTCCTCAAATCCCTACGCGTATTCATTGCAGGAGATGATAGTCGCAGCCGGGCAATTGATATTTCAGATGCAGGCGTCGATAAACTCGTCAAAGCCTGTCCCTCCCTACAGGTCATCGCGCTTCGAGGAACCCACAATCTTACCCGTGCCGCCTTCCCCAACATCCTCAAATCCTGCAAGGAAATCGAGTCTGTAATCATCAACGTGGTCAAAGGAAATACCTCCAAACGCACGCGTCTCAACAGTACATTGGATTGGCTGACTGACAAGAGTGTTGAATAACAAAAAGGCCGACCTTCTTGCTACAATAGCATGAAGGTATATATAGTTGATAGTCTGACAAAGAGCTTTGTGCCGAAATTGAGATACCTCGAATTCCGCGGCTTGTACATCAGCAGCGGTGGCGGGCGAGTACGCTTTCTGGAGTTTTTGACAAAGTGCAGACCAGCGCTGGAGATTGTGTTTGAATACGATGACGGCAATGATGGGTTGCAGGCGCTGATACGGGATATGTCTCGTACGCCATTGTCCCGTGTCCCTGGTACTGGTGAATACAAGAAGGGCGGACACAGTAACGGCGAAGCCGAGGAAGCCGAGGAAGACTGGAAGGATCAGTTTGATTTTGGCTACGATATCGACGAGGATCTCATCTCTAATGATTTCGAGATGGACGATGATTATGCTGATTACGATGATTTCTACGACAGCGACGAGGAAGGTATCGATCCGCAGCAGATGCGGAAGCTTCTAGCAGCTATGGAAGCGATGAAGGGTGGATCTGGTGACTATTATTGAGTGGACAGTGGACGTGTGCGTTCTGTATTCCAACGCTTGACATATGTTATCGGAAATTGATCATAGTACTTTCTTGCAATGCGGCCTTCTACAAGCCCAAAAATGCGCCTATCCATCATTGCACCGCCACTACAACACCCCTCACCGTCTCCCCAGATCAATATCCAGAACCTTCACCATCTTCTCCTCTCGACCCTTCTCCCCACCAACCCCGAAGAACCCCCCAATACCCACGCCCACAACGCCCTCAAGCAAGCCCTCCACCAACCCCTTCAACTCATCCCCCGTCTGCCTAAAATCCGGAAACGCATTAACCTCCAACAACCACGTCTTCAGTCCCCCGTCTTCTTCCACCGAAACCATAAAATCCAGCCCAAAAACCTCAAACGCATTTGGCAGCGGTTGGAAATGAATGCCCATGCCACGTGCCGCCGCTTCAAACGTAGCACCAGTTATACTCTGGATTTCAGTGAAGATTTGTGACTTCCAGTCCCCCTTTGCTTCCGCTGTGCTGCCAGAAGAGGAGAACTCGGGCTGCGTAGGAAGCTCATCAGGTAAATCCCAGAACAAACCCACGCTGCCCTCTCTATCTCCAGATTCTTGGAGACACGTATTCGTTAGATGGGCGCGCATGGCTTCATCGCGGTTTTTCTGTAGTGCGGCGTCCCAGGGGCGTAGGTAGGGTCGTGCGGCGAAAAGGGCGAGCATGGGGCGGTAGATGTAGACTTGTAGGGCGCCGGTGGCTAGGACGTATGTTCTTATGTGGAATTTGCGGAGGCTGCTTGTTGACGTTGAGGTGTCTTGGGGAGTTTGTGGGGGAGGCAGGAGGAGGGGTGGGTGGATGTATGGTTGAGCGATGAAGTGACGGAGTTGAGATGTTATGATACCGTCGTTTTCTTGCTTCTCCTCTTTATTGGCATCGTTGATATCGCTCCTCGCATTTTCGTCTTCATCATCACTACTCTCAGGATCCCACTCCTCAAAGATGTCAGTAAGTTCCTCTTCACTCGAAAACAGCCGTATCCCCTGGCCCCTCTCACTCATCCCCGGTTTCAAAATCCACCATTCCCGCTTCTTCTTCGCCTTCTCATCCCCTTCTTCTTCCTCGTCCAGTTGCTCGTTCCTCGCCCAACTCTCCCTCAACTCCCATGCTTCCACAAGTGCATCATCTAGAAACTCGGCGTAATCTACTTCAAATTCTACACTGGACTTCACGTGATCTTTGAGCACGGAATCCGGATACTTGGTTACCCAGTTTGCGATCGTGGTGCTGAGGTAGTGTTTGCGGATCAAAGCTTTGCGGATGACGTAGGCGTTTGCGAGGGATGTCGTTGGGTGGGAGGTTAGGTGGTCCCAATCGATGGCTTCGTATTGCACGAATTGGAGAAGCCGGGATGTGGGTTTGGGCAGATCAGAGAGCGAGGTTATGAGATGGTAGGATAATGGTGGAAGACATTTCTCAAGGGCGGACAGGATGAGGGGTTGAACGTAGGCGTCTTCGTAATTTATCAAGGCGTAGATTTTGTTGTCTTCCGGCGAAGTTGATGATGCCATGGTTGTGGGATAGGGGTGTTGGCCCTGGGCCTTTCTTGCAGTTGGTCGGTTTGGGTGTGTGGATAGGGAGATGCCGTGTGTAGAATGACTCCTCAAGTAGAACCAGTTATCGTGACTTTCACACAACAACTTCAGTCTCAAAAACACAGTCCAGTCAAGAACATATACGGGTATAATATTGATACATACAAAGGAAAGTCGTTACTGAGGAGGCTGGCTACGCTAACTCAAGCCTGGCTGCGGGATCGGTTTTCTCGGAACGTCGGAAACCAAGAGACAAAAAAAAAGTTCAACAAATAAAAAAATCCACCCCACTTCCTTCTCCCTTTCGCTTAAGCTCTAGCCAATCAGCGAGCGTGACAACATCCAACCAACGAAACGCCCATCATTTGTTCCTTCCATCTTGTCTTCTTTGCTGCATTTTTCTTTCTTTGTTTCGTTCCGATGCGGGTCGTTGCGTCGCAGAAAAACGTCTCACAAAAGTAAACATTAATTCCATCAGACGACCTCCAAGTCGTCATCATCATCGTCCATAGCTGCAATGAGACCTGCGTCGAGGCCACCGAGGCTTTCTCGGCCGGGCTCGCGGATACCTTTGCCGTCCAGGAAGAGGCGGGCGCGCTTCTTTGCTGGGCTGGTTTCGCCGCGTGTACCGCGAAACGCTGATTGTATGACCTTCTTGGGCGACGGTATGCGGCCGTACTTGAAACCCCAGCCGACGGGGTCGCTTGCATTTGTCGATTTACCGGATACGGTCCGCTTGCGCTTGACGGGTGCCAGGGATACGTCTGCGGAGGTTCTGTTGAGAAGGCTAGCAAAGTCGCTACCGTCTGGCTTGTCTGGCTTTGCTGCTCCCGATCCTTGAGAAGAGGTATAGCCTCGAGCAGGTAGGTTTTGCGTACCGGCAGCTTTGATCTTCATATAGTCGCCTCCGGTACTGCCATCTCCCATTGTTCCAAGCTTCTTAGCAAGTTCTCTCTCCTTCTCCTTTTCGGCAAGTTGTTTCCGGAACCGGTCTTCGCGGTTCGCACCGCCTTCCCAGCTCTGATGGTCGCGATCAATCAGCTTGGCTGCACCACCAGGACGCGGTGCAATGTAGACCGTTTCATGGAGTTCTCGATCATGGTATTTACCTTCCCTCTTGAGCTCGTCTCCCTTGGGTCCGCTACTCCGGCCACTGAACATGCCAAACTTACCGCCACCTGGGCCTCCACCGAAGCCAGTCATGGTGTTGACCTGCATGCGACCCTTCTTGGCTTTCTCGACTTGTAATTGGATGTGAAACTCGCAGTACTCAGTCTTACGACCATCGATCCACTGGGTGCACTCCTTGCCATCTTTCCGTTGCGCATGGCAAAACTCCAAGTCTCGTGCTGTGCCAAGTTCAAGAATGGTGTCGTCCGAGCTAGAGAGCTTGAGACTGAACTTGCCAGTATCTCGATTCCGTGGCGGCATGATGTCCGGATTAAGGATGGCGACGAGTGTACCAACGGGAAGCTTCCAAAATTGAGAAAACCCAGTATCAAACAGGAATAGATCAAGCTCCCATTTCAAATCCGTCAGTTTCAGGACCATGAACTTGCCGTTTGGATCTGCATCCCTCTCTCGGCTATCTTTGCTCTGGTCCTTGGCTGCATTCTTGGAATCGTAGGGTGTTGACTTGGAGCAAATAACACCAAGCACAACATAGTCATTCTCCAAATCCGGAGGATCATACGCAGGCGCCTTGACAGTCTTCAGTAATTGTGGTATTGTCAGCACTGTCTTGCCTTCCAGCGTGCGCGTTACTACGTTATGTTGCATCTCCCGGGACTTGAGGTGTAGACCAGAGAAGGATTCAAAACTAGGTGCATCGGCACTGTCGTCTCGTGAGGAAATCTCCGCATATTTTGAAGCCGTTGAAGCGCCGAACCCATTGGAAGAAGACTTTGAAGATGGACGTGTACTTTCTGAACGAAATGACAAAGTGGAACCGGGTCGGGGTGACTGTGGTGGTGGAAATGACATGGAAATGGGCCGTGGGGGCGGGAAAGACGTGGAGCCGGGTCGTGGTGCAGAAGATGGTGGATTCCTCAAGGTCAAGTCGACTGACGCGCGATTTGCCATTCGGTTGAGATTCCTAGGCGCTGGCGGCGGCATATCGCGGGAACTCCTAGTGTCGGTACTTTGGGATGAGCTTGTGCGTGATAGTGATGGTCGTTCCCTCAATCCTTCTATGCTCTGCAAACCGAAACCTCTGCTCCTCCGCTGCTCCGCCTTTTCCTCCTTCTCTTCTCGCACTTTTTCCTTATTTCTGCTCTCTGCAATGCGCTCGCTGAATGACTTGATCTTTGGGGGTTCCATGCTTCTTGTCGAATTTGATCTTCCTGCCCGGCCCAGGACGCTCCCCGGTCGCTTCAGACTAATGTCGCGAGCCGTCAGACCCTTGTCGATGCCCAGCATGACCCGCGCAGGACTCTTTGGCTCATCCAGCTGTCGTCGTGTCCGGACCGGTGAATGCGGAACTTGAATGTCGCTCTCTTGTATGGGCTCTGTTCGCGATATGTCCAGCCTGCGCATACCCATACCCATGGTTGTGCTTGCGCGCGAGGAAGCCCCATCGCGATCTGCATCGCTCGATGTCGTCCGTTTTCTCTGTAGTGCCTTGAGCTTCAACTTTGCCTCGATGGCTTGCAACTTGAGCTGAAGCGTCTCTTCATCCTCATCTCCATCACTATCGAGTTGTGCGTTGCCTCGGGACATGGGGTGGCGCTTCGACGGTGAGGGCGAAATAGAATTGCGTTCTCGGCGCCTCTCGTACTTTTTGCGTGCGGACGGTGAGCTGAGAAGGGCCTCAACGGACGACTGCGGCGGCCAGTTTGGTTGGTTTTCCTTAACTTGACGAGGTTTAGTGAAAGCATTCCCTCGGCACAGTCATTCACTACATACCTTTGCCCTTGGGGCTCTCCCGGACGATCATGACTGTGGTGGTTGAGAGCGCTAACTCGCACCAAGCCCATAGCAATAATGGAACCGCAGCGAAGCAAAAACTAATATGCCCGGACCTTCAATAGTTTAATAAAGCACGGCAAACGGCAGATGCATTGCCGGGAAGATGTGGGTGGGCGTTTGTTGACATGCGGTAGTGTGGTTCACTCCGGCGGTAATCTCCCCCGAAACCGTGAAACAGGGCCATTTTGCAGGGATAGGGCGCGTTCGACGCGTCGCGACACCAACGTGAACCACAACCCCATAGTTACGGCGCATGTGATACAGGCATCTTCTAAACGACGAATTCACATAGAGATATCATCGCAATGGCTCGCACACGCTCAAAACCTACAAAGGCAGCTCCCAAAGCCTCAACACCAGAACCACCGACCTCTACGGTCAAACCACTACCCGCAAGCACGTCCAACCCACCTAAGCTCTTCGTACTCCCGAAGGATGCCTCAAAAGATGCGCGCATAGTCACACTGGACAATCCCGCCAATGCGACACCCTCACGGTACTTCTTTTGTCCTGAGAAGGGCTTCTACGAGTTCACACGCATCGCCGCGCCGAAGAAAGACTGCAGAAGTTGGCTAATCACAGGGGAGTCGTCTGAACCCCAAGATGAAGAAACCACAGAAGAGAAGGAGGATATAGCACGGATAGGCAGCGGCTACATCAACAAGACCGCCGACCTCTTTATTGCAACACCCATTGATGCCCTTTTCCTCATCCTCCCTGCGCTAGCGCCCAAGTCCGCAAAAGACACTAAACAACACTTCCTCGCCCTAGAAGACTATCTAGACATGCTCTCCTCTTCCTCCCCACACTGGAAAGCGCTGCTATCGCAATACCCTACGCTAAAGTCGCTCGTGGAGCGGAGAATGCGCGTCCTGTGCGATACCGTAGACGCAGGTGATGAAACCATGTACCGTATATCCATGGAGAAGCTCAGCGCTGCCCTAATAAAAAAGGCAGAACGAATGGTTGCAAAGGGCTTACCACCCTCAATGGAAGATAAGTTGGTAAGGACAGCGTTGGAGATACCAGTCATGAGTATCAAGCGGGAAGAAAGTAGCGTTTCAACCACCGAACAGACTTCCACAGAAGCTACGACCACTACATCTACAACCACAACGACAGAAACTACATCAACCGAGCAAACAACAACAGAAGCACCCCAACCCCTCACAACACTCCCCACAATCCCCCCTCTTCTCCGCCTCCGCACATCCCTCACCTACCTCTTCAGCACCTACATACCCGCCTCCATCCGCCCCACACTCCAACCCCTCACCCTCAACACTCCCCTCTTCGCTCCTCTAACCTCCCACCTCACCGCCATCGCTGCTCTGAAATCCGAGGCGCTCGCCTTACGCAGCATTTCGGATAACATCAGCCGGAAGCGGGCGATCGAGGAAGACGACGACAAGGTAGCGGAGCGCGAAGAGAAGAAACGGAAGAAGGAAGAGGAGGAGAAGAGGAAGAAGAGTGAGGGGAGGGGCGTGAAGCAGTTGAAGAAGGTGGATACGAGTGGGATGAAGAAGATGAGTGCGTTTTTTAAGAAGGTGGAGAAGAAGACTTCGTAGCTGCGTGTAGAGCAGCAGTTGGGATCGTCGGTGTAGACACCACGGCACTAGCATCAAACAAAGACGTTAATACTGAGATATACATCTCTCTTATATTTATTTTGCTATACTAACTGTCCATCCCTTCACACAAAACTGGTGGCCAGGCATGTGCCAGCCAACGCAGTAGACATCCACACCGGCAACTAAAGTAAAGCAGCCAGACAGCCAAACATCGACCGTCAAGCTGTAGCGGTAGTAGTAGCTCTCGTCTTACATTAAGATGAGAGCAGAAAGTGTGCCCTCGCCCCCAACAAAGTAAAAGGCCGTGGGGCATAGCCACTTCGTAAAGATTCACATGGGTATCCCTTTTTTTTGCTGATCAAAAGCAGACATACGCTCGCTATGCAAAAACATAAAAAGGCAAGTGCAAGAAAGCCCAGGGGAAAGAGAACAAACCTTCCTCTTCCCTAGTGTGAGAACAAACCTTCCTCTTCCCTAGTGTGAGAACAAAGTTTTCAATGTTGATAAACCATGACAACACGGCTGGCGCAATGTGAAGACTCAAGAAGAACGGGCTGTCGCTCCGTTAGTTGTCAAACGACAAGGCGAACGGGGAATGCTCACTTCGAGCGCGCTTGCTCGCTGATGCATGCTCAAGAGGTTCGCCCCCTCGCTTCTTTGTACCCTTTGACGATGAACTGCTTGAGCTGTGTGACGACTTGACACGCGACCATGAGTCGAATGAAATCTCTGCTAAGGGTGTTAGCCGATGGTTTGAGCTAGATGCCTGTCGAAAGACTTGCCCTTCTTGAACTTGCGAACAGTGGGCGGTGGCGTGGTCTCTAAAGACGGAGCCTGTACACCCTTGCCTTTTCTCCGGCTCGGGGTAGCGACGGTAGGGGCTTCAATGTCGGTAGTAGCCTCTTCGTCTTCGCTCACGATGCCATGTGCGAGATTACGCTCCTTGATCTCCTGCACAAACAGCGTGCGTGGCTTGATTGATGAACGAGTGAGTGGACGACGTGCTTCATGACCAATCTGGCGGCGGACTTGTCTGTCATCGGCGGAGAGATCATCATCTTGCTCTGCGTCTGAAGCGCCCGACGGTGGGTCGTCATGGAATTTCCTGAAGACCTTGCGACCACGGAAGATGTAGACCATACCCTCGTCGCGATTAACTGCCTCATCCATCTTCGCCGTCCTCTTGTCAGCCTTCTTGGGCTTTGATGGAGCTGCCTTCGCCTTGCCCTTGCCTTTCTTGGACAGGAATGGGTTCTCTTCGGTCTGTGCGCCAGGTGTGGGTACGCGCTCCTTGGAGTCGGTGTAGATGGGAATCTTTTCAGTGTTCTCATTCATCTGGTCCGCGAAGCTCTCCAAGGTGTAGAGGTTCTTGGTCTTGCGGGACTTGCGAGGAGTCGGCATGGCCTCTTCGATTGTTGACGGACGGTTGGTTGGAAACAGAATGCGCGCTGTAGAGCTCACATCGTCAACACGGCGCTTGCGAGGCGTCTTGGCTGGAGTTGGGAGCATGCCCTACATGAATTAGTATTGAAGAACATGTTGTGGTCGCACAGCGTGCAGCACTTTGGCGATGACGCGCGCGTTGTTGGACACGCGCATCGGGCCGAAGCGCGGTGAGTTACGGTGGGACAACTTACGGGAGCCATGGCTGCTGCAAGAAAGCGGCGCGCTGGGGTAGGCGCAGCGTGATCTGAATCTGAGTCGAGCGGGTTTAACTCCAACGGTGCGCGACGGGTAGAACGGGGCGAACGTAGTTGTTGTTGTTGTTTTGGTGGAGAAACGGGCGACGACGGTGGGGAGAATACAAACGGGTTGGCGCGGGTGGCAGACCGTTTGCTGGAGGCAGTTGGGGTGATGTCGCGCCTAGTGCGCGGGCTTGTTTGCTCGCGGTGAAGGTGAAGGTGACTATCGCGTTGGGCGGCCACCCTGCTGGAGCGACGCGGTGAAAAGGGCTCGTAGGTGTCGCCATACATTGGCGCGGGTGGCGTGTGAACGCGACGCGGCGGTGATGGTGTGCGCTCCATGTTGCTATGTTGGTGTGATGTTGGATGTGGCGTGTTTGTTTGTTTGGGGGGTATGTCGAGGTTGTTGTAGCAATAGAGCATGTAGGGTGTAATTGCGGATAGCCAAAATCAAAACAACCTTAATTTAAGCCCCAATGACTCAGTGCATCGACGTGTAAAAGCTGGATTGACTATATAAAGATATGCGCAAAGGTGAAGATATCGTGAGGGCGGATGGTGGTGACGGTGAAGGGGTGAGACGGAGTGGAGACGATGGGTCAGTCGCCGATATGGGAGGGTCAAGGCAGGAATGAAGGGAAGTGACGAGGTTGGGAGATGGCGGGTTCCTTGCTTGGCGCGCAACGCTGGGGCGCCCATGCGGCTGAACATCAACAAACGAGCTGGCCCTTGCGACTTAACCGCCCGCCCCGCCAGACCAAATACGTCAAACACGCCAACGCCTGTCAATTCAACGTCCTTTTGCCTGTCCCAGTCCAAGGAGCCTGCACTTTGTTCTGCTGCGACCCTACGACATGGATCCGCCGAACCTGGGCGCACTGGACCTGTCCGACTCGGACACGGACGCCCTCTTCGATACGCCCGCAGCGCAAAAGGCCAAAAAGAAGATCAAAGACGAGGCCGATGCAGGGGACACGGCTGCAAACGGAAAGGCGCGTGCAAAGGAGTCGCATTATACAACGGAAGAGGCACGTGAGGAGGCTTTGCGTAGGGAGCTAGCAAGTATACGGAACGTCAATAAAGTCATTGAAGGCGTTATCGGGAGCCTGCAAAAGGCAAAGGACAACATGGCTGTAAGGGATACACGTGGAAGTGGTAGTGTTAGGGCTAATGCTTCTCTCAGACCGTATCACGTACCGTTCAAAATGCATCGACCTTGCTTCAGACATGGACCAGAATACTATCCCAGACCGAACACAATCAACGGCTCATCTTAAACCCTCAATGGCAGGGGGCATCGCAAGATCTGATCGACATTGAAGAAGAAGAAACATATCGTCAGCAGGCTGCACAGCGCCGAGCTGCCGAAGAACAGGCACGAAGGGAAGCTGCGGCGAGGAAGATTGAGGAAGATCGTAGGAAAGCGGAGGCAGCACCAAGAGGAGGGACCCGGGGAAGAGTGAGAGGTGCCAGACCGAGAGGAGCTTCGACATCGTCCACGGGCAACTATGTTGGAGTAGGTGGACAGACGGGACGAGGTCTCACTCGCAGCGATTCACGAGGTCGAGCAGGTAGTGGTATTGGACGAGGACTTCGTGGACGAGGAAGGGGACTGGGTTGAGGGAAGGTGTTGCTTCGATACGCCATATATCCTGGTCGATCCACGATCTGCACGCGCCGTGTGATCGTCCTGAGTTATGAGTCGCAAACCTCAATCGCCTCGTCGTGTATTAATCTCTCCGGGCAAGTATGTCAGGTACAATCATCCGTACCTGCAGCTCGATGCAGTCAACGGGCCGGGTGGTGGAGCGGATACATTTCTCAATCTGGAATAGCTCATAACCCCACTTGTCGTCAGTTGGACCCCGCCGTGCAATTGTCCGCGATCTTGCGACTCCACAAGTTCAAATAGATCCTGTGTTCCAGTCTCTTTCTTAGTCTCTTTCCTGTTTCTCCTTCTCTTGCAGTAATTCGTAGTAGCCAATTCCCCTCTTACCTTGTCATCATGGACGTTCCTACAGCAACGTCGCTACGCGACATCTACCCAGAAGACGCGTTGCCGGTCGAGACGAAGCGATGGGACACTTTACTGGCAAAGTTCAAAGAACTATATGGAAAGCAGGCGGACTTTGTGGCCCGTAGCCCTGGTCGCGTGAACATCATTGGCGAGGTAAAGCTAATCAAACTTCATGCGGCTCTTACCTGACACCATGTAGCACATTGACTACTCTCTGTACGAGGTACTCCCCATGGCCATTACCGCCGACTTCATCATGGCTGTTGCTGTGCGACCCTCCGATGAGAAGCCCCGCGTGCGCATAGCGAACCTGAACTCGGAGAAATTTCCTACCCGCGAATTCGAGATTCCAGAGGGAGAGATCCCAATCGATGCGACCGAGCATGAGTGGACAAATTACTTCAAGTCGGGACTGAAGGGGGTATCACAACTGCTGCAGAAGAAGCGAGGCAAGTTCACGTCGGTCGGTATGGACATTGTCTGCGATGGCACAGTCCCAAGCGGTGGTGGTCTTTCAAGTTCGGCATCTGTAGTCTGCACAAGCGCATTGGCTGTACTCTCAGCGAACGGCGAAGAAAAGATTGACAAGACCGAGCTTTGCGAGCTTGCCATTGTCTCTGAGCGCGCCGTCGGTGTCAACTCAGGAGGGTAAGTTGATGTCTTTTATCACACGATCACAGCTGACATGTCGATTAGAATGGACCAAGCAGCCTCCGTCTTTTCCCTGCGCGGCTCTGCCCTATACGTCTCTTTTAAGCCCAGCCTCAACTACACCAACATCGAGTTCCCGCAAACCGATCCGGAGCTTGCTTTCGTTACCGCCCAGAGCTTCGTCGCCGCAGACAAGCACGTCACAGCCCCAGTATGCTACAATCTGCGTGTGGTAGAGTGCACATTGGCGGCCGTATTCCTAGCCAAGGCATTTGGACTGAAGAAGGAGCTCCCAACAGACTCATCACCACTAGGAGTTAGCTTGCGAGGCTTCCATGACACCTACTTTGAAGATAAGGAGGACGTGGCAGACAACACCAAGATATCCGTTTCTGAGTTCGAGACTCAACTTACAAAGCTCATCCAACACACCGAGAACTACCTCCCGCAGGAAGAAGGCTACACAAGGGAACAGATCAGCGGCCTGCTTGGCATTTCAGAAGACGAACTCAACCAGCGCTACATGTCAAAGTTCCCCGTTCGTGCGGACAAGTTCATGCTACGACAGCGTGCGCTGCATGTATTCACCGAAGCTCTTCGCGTTATCAGATTCCGATCGCTTCTCGCTTCACCGCCGTCCAGTGGCAAGGAGTACCTACAGGCGCTTGGTGACCTCATGAACACGACCCAAGACTCTTGTCGCGAAATCTACGACTGCAGTTGTCCAGAACTCGACGAGCTTTGCAACCTTGCTCGCGCAGCTGGTTCATGTGGAAGCCGACTGACCGGCGCAGGCTGGGGAGGCTGCAGTGTACACCTTGTACCAAAGGATAAGGTAGAAGCAGTCAAGAAAGCTTGGGAGGAGAAGTACTACAGGAAGAAGTTCCCCGATATCACAGAAGAGAAGCTAGCACAGGCAGTCGTGGTCAGCGAGCCTGGTAGCGGTAGCATGCTCTTCAAGGTCACAGGCGAGAAGCTCGCATAGACGTTGGTATGAGGAGATGATGGTGTTTGCATAGTTTTGGCTTGCGCCGTGGTGGTCCCAGACAAGGAGTCTGTCTTGTCCTGAGGTAAGACCTGGTCCGGTCAAACCCAAAGTGACACCATGCACGCTGTTTGAGAGCGACGTCAATTCAAAGTAAAAGACATTTGTTTTTGTCTCAATGCGACTTCTACTCGTGATTGTATATATGTGAATTTTTCCATGGATCACTCGTCACGTTTTCCGTTTTCCTCTTCACAATTTTGGTTCTGACAGCGCTTGCAACCATGGTTCGCGTCTTCCAACAGCAATATCGTAGTATACATAGCGCCGCTTTTGATCTGTTAAGTTCCTCATCGTACTTCCCTCGCTATTTCCCCCGACATCAGCATTGGCAATTTCAAGCATATCGACCGTACCTTCAAGTCTACCGTCAACCCAGCGTCTCTGTACCCTTCCGGCACCCTCATTACTTCTCATGTACCCTATACCCAAGGCCTATATTGCCCAACATGTCCAACGACGATGTCCCCTACTACCTCTTGAGACCAAACATGCCTCCTAGGCTCAGCGAGGAGACTGAACAGCCCCGACCACAACTACAACTAACACCACTACAGCCAACATTCCCCTCCCCCTCCCCCTCCCCCTCCTACGGGAAAATTTGTAATCACAGTCCGGGAGAATGCAGAGCCTTCTACGGCACGAACGCCTCCGGCGGCTTCGACAATGATCCATATGTAGCTTTCTACACCACTGAGGTTCGCCTGCCATACTATTCTGAAGCCGGGAGAGCACAGAGGAGGATTGAAGATGCTGAAGAGGTTGAGGATGCGGAAAAGGCTGAAGAAGCTGAGGAGGCTGAGCAGGACGAGGATGTAGCTGGTGACGATGACGATGATGATGACGATGAGAGCGATAGTGGGACGCAAGATACAGACAATGGATCTGTGAGTCCAACTGATACTCCATCGGTCGAAGATTACTCTGGGTATTACGCGCAGGCTGGACGGGTTGTTCATGCAGAGGCAGGGGTGGAGTGGACGCCTGAGGGCTACTTTCGAACAGGGTATTTGTCTGCGCCCCGGGAGTTTCAGGGAGTGGTGTATCTGGATGAGCTGGTGCCGTGGGTGGAAGATTATGGTGTTTGGGAGGGCGATGTAGTGGGTGCGTGGGAGCCTCGTGGCAGGGACGATTGGGAGTGCGACTTTTGTGGTTTGGAGTGTTTCTGCTGGGCTGTTGTTGGGGCGGAGGATGATTGGATGTGTCGGTGGTGATGGAGGATAGGGTGTGTGGGGAGATGTGTTGTATAGATTTGGGAAGTTCTGGCGGAGTTCGTCTGCTGTGCTTGACAGAGCAATGTAGATCTGGAGGGGGGATATGTTCGGTTTGAAGAGCATCTCTCGGTAATGAAGTAATGACTATAAATATCTAAGTCTTCTGTCATCTTTTAAGTAGCCTGCTTGACAGACAAGATCGAGGTTGGAAACACCAAGTATACTTGGTGGCGGATTGGACAGACAAGGTTGCACCACGTTCGACGTAAGCCCAGGTTTGCTAGTAGTTGTATGTGATGGATCTTGCTTGCTTCTTGAGTTAGGTAGGTTTCTAACTCTCAATATCATACACATTGACTCGGCGTAGCTGTTTTGAGAATAATGGCATCTCAGCGTATATTGCTATATCGATCCCAAAGTTCGTTCGCACAGGCAATCCAGGTACTCGCTTGGTCGTTATCGCATGTGATAGTATCCGATACGTACGCGTATATCTCGGTGACGTCAAAGCAGCTTTCGAACAGCGGCACTGCGAGAGAGTCATATGGTCCGTGCACCAAGTCGAGCTCACATAGAGTCTGTTGTCGCGCTCTACACGCGCCGCCACAAACAACCACACTCTGGAAAGCAAATTGACTCAAATCAACACTGTAGAGCACAGATATGCCGACCCACGGGAGTGTGCGTACCAACACCGCCGGTCCAGGTTTGTACGGCCCAAACAACCCGCCGCCTCCTCCCGCGAGTCCGCCGCCGCAGGTTCATCGGAGCCAGCGCCCACCTGAAGATTCCTCAGGCCAGTCAAAGAAGAACAGGCATCGCCCATCGAAGTCCCAACGAATGCGTACTTATAACCAGGGTGAAGCTGCGTGGATCAGCGATAAACGTGATCGCAGCCGTTCACCTGACCGCAACTATCAACGTCCTGACCATCATCGCTATCGAGAGCGATCTCCGATCCAGCGTGATCGCCCAGCTCATTCTGAGCATGTGAAGCTCTCGAACAACGACCCAGAGCCAGTCGTCGATGCAAGTGGTGTACGGTGCTATGCGTGTAACGGACGGGGTGAGTGGGAACTGAAGATACAGCATCTTCTATGGCTAATCGCTGTCTGAAAGGTCACCTTGCTGTAGATTGCAAAGTACACACGAATAATGGCGCACCCAACCAAAAAGCATGTTTTCGATGTGGAGAGATAGGACATGTTGCTCGCGCATGCACAGCCAAGGCAGGTTAAATCAAGAGCAGCACCAGAATTGATGCCAATGAGAACAACGCACTGACTAGTCGAAACCAACAGCCAGAAGAGGCGTCAGATCGTGCCCAGGACCGTCGTAGTCGCTCCCAGTTGCGCAGCGTCGAGCCTAGGCGGAGTAACGAAGAGAGGCATTGGTCGCCCGAGGAGGAGATCAATGCTGTTTCTCAATACAGACCTGCTGAAATGAACGGCTGTTCCCACTACAGAAACGGTTCAATGTATGGGACTGAGCATGAAACCAGACCCTTCCACGACGTGTATAGGCCTACACAAGACCGCCCTCAGATGTCGCGTACGGGCTACGATGACTACCAAGAGATCGATTGGAACCGAAGAGTTTCAAGCGTAAGTTACATGTATCCTACGGACGCGCACGATACTGAGCGTGCCCTGCAGTCAGACCCGAAGAGCATGTCGCGCCACGAGCATCCAAGCCGACTTCCAGCGACACAAAAGCCTCACGCCGTCGGCCACGGCTACAAAACTCAGCCTGAGTCACAGAAGGCACAAAAGTTGGGCCTGCCGCATCTTGTTGCAGCAAAGGATATCCAGACGCCACCCACGGTATATGATCTTCGTGTGTACGACACCCGCATCAGCGAGACGTACTCAAAACTTCCAAAAGGAGAACGATTCGAGAATGGCATCAACGGAAAGGTTGCCCCTTCCATCTATGGATCAATGTCGTGCCATGACCTGGGTCTCTGCTTCGCGACATTTCTTACGCGGAAGTCCTGCGAGATGGGTCTTGGATGTCCTTGGCGCCACCACCCGCTCTCCATAGCCGAGAAAATCTGGATTATCGAGTACGGAAAGACACGTGGAAAGGAGTTCTTGGGGAACGTGGAGAGGTGTTATACGACCCCCCAAATGCCTGTCCCTGGTGCGAACATGCACCACGTGGCTGAAAAGTAAGGGCTGGCAGCGGTAAAAGGAGGTACCCTAGAAAGTGTAGGCGGAGGAATAAAAGACGAATGGGGCACATAGGTGCTGGTCTCAAGGAAACCGGGTTCGGTTCTGGTTTTCACAAAGTCCCGCCTCTTGTGTGATACCAGCCTCGCATGTCGTCCAAGCCTCTTATCCCGACGAGTAACATATTCCCAAACACGTCCAAGTCATCTGGCTGGCCATGTTGGAGGACATCTGTAAAGTCTAGCTCTTTGATCAGGAAATGGTTTTTCTCGTTCCAGGCGACAGCGAAATCAAAGGCGTTTGCAGCGTTCCATAGGTGCGCAGAAAGTGTGACACGGTTATTGAGAATGGTATCATGAGCACAAGACTTGAGTTGACCATTCAACAGAGTACACATGACAGTGATGTGAATGGTCGATAAAAACGTGCGACGGGCAGATTCCCGGACTATATACGACCTCCACGCCGACCGAGTAGCTGTGCCGGGGTATAGTGGGATATTGCCCACTGGATCCGTCTGTTCGGCTGCTATGGGTAGGAGGAGAGTGCCCATGTCATCCAGGTATGGCAGGAGAGCTTCAGCTTGTGCGTAAAATCGAATATCGCCTCCAAACATGAGCATGGTCTGATAGAGTATGAGGGCTTGTGTTCGAGCCAGGATCTCAATGGCTGAGGTCGACAAGATAGTAGCAGTGACCAGCTCTTCCGTACGACTTGTAATGTACCGTGCCACAAACGCGGCATTGGTATCGTTCTTGGCGATGTACAGCGCACATGAAGCATACGCGTCTTGGAGTGATTTGGGCATGTACTCTTCATAGAGCTTCGGATGAGCCCAGGGTGTACAGTTTTGTTCCACCATCATCTTTGGGGTGGACTTGAAATGCTCAATTGAATATGCTACTCTTGCTTGCGCAAAGGACGAAAGATGCGCTGCAGAGAACGGCTTTCTCGCCTGACCTCCGATTTTGTGAACCGCCATCTGGCTGTGATCATCTGCTGGAAGATTAAACATCTCTGTGAGCGCATCCAGTGAGCTTGCGCCAGTAGAAAAGTCAAAGTCCAGCATGTCGCCGGCGATAGTCGTCGGCGCAGATATGTCAAAGTCGAAAGAGAGACTCGTGTTTTCCAATACATCCAATCCCCCAAGAATTTCGGTCGCACTCATGTCAGTTTGAGTTTCGGGCGTCTCAATTTGCGGAGTTATGCTTTGCGAGCGAGGTTGTGGTGGGTAAGTGCATAACAAGTGCTGCCTAGTGCATCGTGAACAATGAGGCTGTTCTAGGCCACATTTCCGTTTGGCTTTTGCACAGGAGGAGCACGACTTTTGCCTGCCCTGTGAATTCATAGTACGAGATCGGTCTGGCGGCATTTTCGATGAATCAGGCGCTGATAAGAAAGAAGAGGGAAGTTTCAAGGTTGTGAGGACGCGGCGCGTCAGCCTACTCTCTGGCCCGTGTCGCTGTTGACGTTACTTAGTCAGCAAGAGTGGGTCGCCTCGTCTGAACCACTCCTGAATTTCTTCCCCTCAACAACGGGCAATCTACACAAGGCAACTTTCCTTCAAAGTTATTTTTACTCCTACACGTGATTTTGTATTGTTGCACTCGGATCCGTTCTCGTGTGGCACTGCCTTGGTGTCGCACTAGGTGGCGTCTTTTTACCTACCTAGGTAGGCACGGCGATTTTACACGTCCATACCAAAATCGTTAGCAGTTAATCAGGCTAACTGCTAATTGACGATTGCAGATATCAAGCAGACTGATGACATGTCAAAAGGGCAGGTGGCACATGTAGTCGATGATGTATACAGGAGGAGGCGCGAATGTACAACCAGAAACAAGACGTGGTCAGCATGCTATTTGGTATGTATATCTCAGCGCTCAAAAGATATATGTCGCAATTGGATACAGTGACATGAAGTGTTTCCGTGGCTTGCCTCGCAATACTCTTAACTCGCCAGGATAAGGTATTTATGCAATGAACAGTGGTATCATTTCTTTGACCAAATGCCATGCATTACGCATGTGCTGCAGGAAACCGAGGTGTACTGTGATTACGTGCAAGGCTTTCCCTGTACTAGCTCATTATCTGTTTTCTTTTCTTTTTCCATTTCCAGAAAGTTCTCTACAGATCTTCCAGCATCCACATCCGAGCTTCATAGCCTTTGTATCTTTCCCGTGTGTTTCTGGAAGTCACCGTAGCCTAGTCACTGTTCGCTCTCCCTGTCTACGATGCGTTTCCGCGCCACCAACTCTTCATGTAGTACACAACATACGCCGATGCGCAGATTGTCCAGAAGATAGCGTCGTCCATAGCTTTAGCTGAAGTCTCCGAGAAGGTCCTGGTATGGCTCCTTTTGACTAGTGCACTCTCACGCTGGCTTTTCCATCGTCTCCGGGCAGCCAAACCCCCGCCAACGGTCGCGAATGTTCCAATTCCAATACCCCCGAAAATTATCACGGCCCCGGAACCACCCATCATGGCGCTGGTACATGTTGCGAAAAGTGATCCTGCGACGACATTGCCGATTCCTGCTTGTAAGCCTGCTGCAATACTACCTGCGAAGGAAGTCAGTACACTGCATCTCTTGAGTTTGAGTGATGGTCCATACCAGCTGCGACACCGCCTGTTCCGAAGCCCACCGCAGAAAGACCTATCCCAGTACATGCAAGGGCAATGATAGTGACGATAGCCGCAGTCTCCCAAGGATGTTCCTTCATCCAACTACCAATCGCTTTGGCTGTGCCGACCGCTCCAAGCTCTTTGGTCTTCTTGATTGCATTGGCTACGGAATCTTTGGCCCGAACTGCCAATTCAGTCGCCTTGCTGACAGCTGCACGACGTGCGGTGGCCCAGAGCTTGCCGAGGCTGCCGTTCGTACCGTTGATACCGGAGGATCCAGCGCGGGCTGCTGCGTCAGCGTCTGTGGCCTCTGTTGGGACGTCTTCGCCACTCTTGGTGTCCTCTTCGTCTGAGCCATCCTCTAACCTCGCCTCACGGTTGTTCTCATTGCCTTCCTCATCCGAGCAATCTTCGACACTTGCCCTGTGGCTGTTTTCCTTGTCTTCTTCATATGGCTGCATGCTGTCGTGCTGTTGTTGCTCTTCAGTCGGAGCAGTTGTGTGAGCAAAGAGCTTCGTAACCTTCGCATACCAGACCGCCATCCAGGAGTTTTCCGCCATGATGAATTTGGTGGTTGGAGCAGGTACACAAGGTACTGTGTAGTAGAGGGATGATAGTGGATGCGGAGGTGCTGCGAAGAGACGCTCGGATCAACAATCGTTGAAAAGGTAGCGTATCACACGGTGAGAAGCACGTAGAAATTGCTAGAAGCGCAGGGTTTCATTTACTGTACTATAGCCGCAGCCCATAGAGTACTAGTTCTCTAGTATGTTGTAGGATTATTATTATTATTATTATTATTATTCCATTAGAGTCCTTTTTCAGTCAGAGACTATGTAGGACTTTGGCCGAAGGCCGTTCTATCTTGGTTTTTCTAATTTACATGGTTTTCTGGTATGGTTCGCTAATATGGTTTTTGGCTTTCCTACAAAAGATAGCTTGTATCTGTTTGTTGCCAGGTGCTAAAGAGCAGTTTGATAAGTAGAAAGAGATGTAGCAGCGGGCTCTTGTGGTAAAGGAGAGGGTTGTGGTTTTAGTTTTATACAGTGTCTCTCTGTTGATTGTTGATGTTGATTATGGTTTAACGCCCTATCTGTAACCTCCCATAGGGTATTCGGGCGGGTCCCGCCGTGGTCTTATAGTGCTGTCGCACTTGCCTCGTGGAACCTATTCCTAGGTGTTTTGTATCTAAGGGGAGTGATGTCCTGCCTATATACATGTTCGTGAAAAGGACTCCCGCCATTTGAAGCCGTTTTCCTACAATATTCTAGTATTTCGTGGCTTGCGCCTTTGATCGATGCAGTACAATGACTGCTTTTTAGAGAGAGAAACGAAAAAGTAACAAGAGGCAGTTTGAGATATAATGAAAAGTTTGAAAGAGAGCGTGTGGGTTGTGGCATCTATGCGGCGTTCTGCCGCGAATCCTACACTGAATAATGCCAAGGAATTCAGCGGGTCTTTGTGAAATTCAAAAATAGAAATCACTCGTTATAGAAGGAGTTCGTTACCTTAACGAAGGTCTCGAACTCTTGTGGCTGGTCTATTAATTGCGCGAGGTACGCTAGGCCTTCCTGTCTTGTGCGAGGGGGCACGATGGGGCGTAGAGGCCACTTCTTGAAGTGTGTTGTGGCTCTCTTGCAGAACACTAGGTGTTCTGGCGTCTTGGGCCTGCCGCATAGGCATTTCGAGGTATCCTCGTGGTTGAATTTTCGGTGGTACCATTCAAAGTCGCCATGCGTTGAGCGTATCATAAGGACTTTCGCGAGTATCCTTCGGGGTAGCCATAGCGCTGCGGGCGTGCGCCTAGTATCGTATGGCAGCTGCCATTGCGTGTACCATGCTGATAGCCTACTGCTCTTATCCTGCCACCAAGTGTCCCTTGTATGTTCGAGGAGGCGGCGGCCTACTGTTCGTATACCGGATCTTGTGGGGGAGGCGGCCATGCCGTATGGCTGGTGCGGGTCTTTGGCCTCGCTGTCAGCCAGCTGGTCGGCGAGCTCGTTTCCAACAATCTTCATGTGTCCCGGCGCCCACCGCGTTTTCACGTTGTAGGCCTCCATAGCTCCATGGATTTGGAGGAACGCCCATTGGGAGGAGGTAGGGGCGGTTCCGCGTATGCCCCATATTACCGAAGTGCTGTCTATGCAAAGTACGATCTCCCTCTGGCTAGGCAGTGAGAGTTGTAGTGCGTGTTTGAGTCCTCTGCACGCGCCTATAGCCTCCGCATCGAAGACGTGGCTAAGGGCATTTAGTGAGCCTTGTCCAGTCGCCACGGCGGCCTGGCCCTGGTATATAGCGTACCCGTAAGTGACCACCCTTGTACCGTTGATTTGTTGTTCAGACCCGTCTGAGAAGACAGTGATTGTCTCTTGTCCAAGAGACTCCCACCAGATGGTGAAATTCTGGGCAGCAATGTCCTTTCCTTGCCCTTGCGTTGGATCCTGCCTCGACCCGTCTGAAAAGTGAGGGCTGGCTAGGACGTTTCGGGGTGTGGCGGGTAGCAGTTGTGCTACGCGCTGAACCTTCGATCTTGGTATCCGTCGGTTGCCCGCTGCGCGTCCTCGTATGACTAGTGGCAGTGTAGTTCTATTAGTAAGTGGGTGCTTGTCGTCTATTGTGCGTAGGTGAACTGCAAAGCGGAGCTTGGCCTCCTCTAGCGCCACCTATGCCGACGGCATCGCAGCTTCTCTTAGCAGTACTGCGTTTGGTGTTGTCCTCCACGCAGGGAGGATTGCCTTCGTGGCTGCTATTAGTGCCTGATCTATCGTGGTTAGGTGCCAGCCTACCCTAGTGCTGACCGTGGGTTTACGGGAAACCCTTGCAATTCGTGGGTTCTTCGTCCTGCCCTCGTACCATGTTTCGGCTCCGTATAGTAGTATGGGCAGGATACATGTTATGGCTGCCTTGCGTAGCGATCCTGCTGGAGGGCCGTGGGCTGTGTTGGCGAGGCTCCGGAGATGGTTCGCTACTTTCCTAGCTTGCGCCGCCCTTTCTGCGACGTGCTTCTTGAAAGTTAGTCCCCTATCAAACCACACCCCAAGCCAGCGCAGCGCTGTCTGGCTTCCCCCCTGCGCAGGGGCTATAGGGTGAATTGTTTGATCTTCCAATTGGATTGGCGGCGCATGTAGTCCTTTCTGGCGCGTGAGGTGGATCAGCTCCCGTTTCTCTGGTGCAAACGTGATCTTGTTCGCAGCTCCCCATTCATTGATAGATTTGAGGTCCTCTGCTAGCAGTGCGACGTTCTCGTCTAAAGAGTGGGAGACCCGGTATAGGTTGATGTCGTCGGCATACCCGAACCGGAGTTTTCGGTCCTGGTTGAGTAGTTCAGCTAGGTATAGGGTGTATAGGACCGGTGATAGCGGCGATCCCTGCGGGGTGCCGCAGGCCACTCGATGTACAGGTGTAGTGACATTGCCTAGGCGTACTCGCACCCTCCTTTCCGACAGGAAGTTCTGGATAAATTTCCGGAGTAGGGGTGGCCACCCTTGTTGCCGCATTCGGTGTAGTAGCCTGTTTTTCAGTAGCGCGTCAAACGCCCCTTGGACGTCTAACGTGAGCATAGAGACATGCTCGTGTCTTGACCAAGCCATCTCCACGTCGTGTGTGAATGCGGTCGCCAGGTCCATCGCAGAGCGTTTTGGCAGCGCTCCACCGTGCTGTGGGCTTAGGATGTCAAAAGCCATAGCTGTGTGTGCTATGCGCCTTGCTATGATACGCTCGAGTCCCTTCCCTAGACAGGACGATAGGGCAATTGGTCTCATTGATCTGGGTGAGGACTTATCCTTCTTCCCGACTTTGGGTATCATGGCCACTTCTACCGTCTTCCAGGCGGCTGGGTAGTGGCCTTGTTCCATGCACGCCCGGTAGATGCCTAGCACTAGGTGTCTAATGTGTTCCCAGCATGCCTTTAGGAGTCGGACGGTCACCTGATCGGGTCCTGGGGAGGTGCTAGATACTCCAATCACGTAGCGTTCAGTCTCCTCCATCGATATGTATGTGTCCCATGGTAGTGGCGTGGTTTGCGGGTCGTTGTCAAGAGGCGGTGGTTCTAGGAGGTCGTCCTCCGCCGAAAAACGGTCGAGGATTGCCTCTCTAAGTGCCTCAGCTTTCTCGAGTGGTGCTGTGATTGTCCTACCTTCGATTACAAGTGGGGTGTCCCGTTGGTCGAATGATAGTTTATGCCAGCCTACTAGCTTGTATAGATCTTTGTCGTTATTACAGCCGTCTATGCGCTGCTGCCAGTACGTTCTCTTGGCTTTTCGTACCGTAGCTAGGAACGCACGGGTGGCTTCTGAGGGGGATTGGCCATAGTCCGACTTTTCCTGGATATGCCGCTTATACGCCACTCTACAGTCCTCTGTCCACCATGGGGCGGAGTGGCCTTTTTCTCTATTTGGTGTTCCCGCCGCGTGCATTGCATCTCCTATAGCTTGGGTGATTCTAGCTATGCTTGCGTCGATTACGTCCGCTGGGGCGCTATTGCTAATTGGCTGTACGCCTACTGTGTAGAGTTGAACTAGCCCGGCAAACCTATCTATGTTTCTCTCGTGGACCCGGTAGTGATGCTGTTCTAGCACCGCTCTCCCTCGGCTTGGAAGGACAGTCACTAGGGTGAAATGGTCTGACCCTGTATACATATCTTCGCGGACTGTCGTTCTAGCGAAGGGTATATTTGAGAAGGATACGTCTAGCACGTGTCCCGCCCGATGTGTTGGGTTACCTGCCTCGCCGATGTAGGGTATGTCGTTCTGAGTGGCCCAGCGGGCGATCTCTGCCCCCCTATTGGCCGACGTGGAGCCGGGCTCAAAAAGTTCATGGCGGGCGTTTAAGTCACCCCCTATAAGGCAGTTACGGGGTGGCGTTAAAGCTGTGAGGTATTGAAATGTCGAGTCATTCTGTGGCTGCCTATAAACATTCAATATGCGGTAGCCGTTGGCCTCGATCCATAGCACATCCCGGCTGATGCGTGGGTGTATAAGAGTAGCCCTTATATTTGGGCTCTTACGGGTATAGGTGAGCACCCGTGGTCGGTCAGTTCCCCACGTTGTGGGGTTGTTCCAGCTTATCACTGGCGATATCATATGGAATCCTGGGTGTGTAGAGGTCCGGGTTCCAGTGAGAGTAAAGGGTTCTTGGATGCATACTATGTCTATGTCTGCTTCCCATGCACGTTCTAAGGCTGTAATGTGGCAAGGCGAGCTTCTGGCCACATTCACCCAGCATACCTGCATTTGTCTGTGTCGGTGTGGCGTGGTTTCGCCGGGTGAATTTGCGGGTTGTGCCCTCATTACGCACTAGATCCGAGGCTCATTTCAGTGTCAGCGTGCTCAGACGATGACGTATTAGGGTCTTGGTCAGCGGTGCTAGGCTGCACGCTTCTAGCAGACATTCGCGCTAGGTTGAGGTCTTGCGTAGTTGCAGCTGTTCTCTTAGACCTCCTAGTCCCTAGGGTGGTTGCGGGCTCTCTAACAGTGGCTGTGTTTAGGTTGTTTACGTCTTGTCGGCTTCTTTTACTTGCGTCCGTAGGTGTTCCCACAGGCTCAGTAGTATTAGCTATGTC